TCGCGCAACACCGAAGGCAACGCTGATCTGCCGACGCGAAAAGAGCCGCTGCTGCGGACGGACGTGAAGAAGCCGCTAGCGTCGACGCGCCTGAATCGGCTGATATACCTGCTCATCCTGCTCTCGACAGCCATGTCGGCGTACTACACGTACCGGGTGGTGCAGTGGAAGACGGACGTCGGAGGATGGTGCGTCTCTCTCTTCCAGTCGTCACCGTGACAAGACATTACTCACCCATCCACGTCGCGCAGGTGGAACCTCGCGATGGGCGTCCGCCCGCCGACCGCGCACTCCGACCCGCGTCCCAACTCGAAATCCAAGTCCACGCCGTCGTCGGAAACCGTGGAAGACCGCATCTCCGCGCTCGCAGACGCACTGGGCATGCCCTCCGCCGACCTCGCGTCCGCCATCGCCGGGGCCGTGCGCGCGTACGTCCCGCCCGCGAGCCTCTCGTCGATCGCGGCGCACCAGACGGGCGAGGCGGTGAAGGTGCTGCTCGATACGGATCCGGAGGTGGGTGCCCAGCGAGGTGCCGGGGACGATGCTGGTTATGCGGCTACGCTGGCGAGCGGGATGGGCAGTTTCGTGGGCATGGACGAGCCGTGATCGGCTTCTTTTCTGTGAACGCATTTTGAATTTGTAATTGCATGCATGTATCGTTCCGTTCATTGAATAGCATTGAGCTTCTCCAACGCTTTCTTTCGCTGTCTTCGACCTAATGTAATATGTATGTATCGTGAACCTCGGATCCGTCCCCATTGAAAGTATCCGTACAAAGTGGGTTCACACAACAGTAAAAGTGCCACTAGTGCCAACGAACGGGGTGATCGTACCTCCCAGCGCCTTTGAATCACCAAAATAGCGGAACCGGTACGAGCCAGCTGTGGAAATTTGAGGACGGACTGAGAACACAAACATATGTACTTACCCGGGGTGCCAGATTCAACCGTCCACGAGATGTTGACAGTGCTGGTCCCAGTCAACCCATTGACCCGCGCCCAGCGATAGATCGTCGACGGATGCGAATCAGACCGCACAGGCGTCCACGAGCCGTTCGCCGCAAGATGGTCGACATACAAAAACGTCTGCTCCAGACGTAGGTTGTTCTGTCGGCAGTTTTTCAGTTTTGAGAGGAGTCGAATCAGGAAAGCTGGGCAAAACACGCACCCGGGGGTTCGCGCCGGTGAACACCGCGTAGGGCGTCTGCCCCGCCGCGTACGGCCCCGCGACGTCCGTCTGCACGCTCCCGAACGACTGCCCGCCGGGCGTCCCGTCGAACGCGACGCCCGTCTGCAGCGAAAGCGCGACGGACTGCAGCGCCGGCGGCGCGGCGTCGGAGGCGGGCGCGGCCGCGGGGGGCGTGCTGGCCAGCCACGGGACGAGGGACGTGTATTTGTCGATGTAGGCGGGGAGCGTGTCTAGGCGACGCTACTGATCAACCGGGAGAGAGCGAAGACGGGAAATGGGGCGACGCACTGGGGCCGTAGATGGTTGACGCGCCTTCGTAGCGCTGCACGGTGTACTCCTCGGGCGTGGTGATGTAGTGCGCGTAGGTGTTCGCGGGCCCGGAGATGATGACGTATGCGTCGTTGCCGACGATCCCAGACGCGATCAATTGGGCCCGGATGGCGGCACTGTGTGTGTGTGTGTGTTACAAAAATCAGCTTGGTTGCAGTTCATGAGAAGAGGGAGTGGCAACTGACCGCAGCCGGCGACCAGCCATGGTAGTCAGCTCGCCCGGAATCAACGCAATGACGACGTTGCCGATCTTGAGCATCTGGATGTCAACCGTGCTCGGAGACCAAGCATACGGGAACGTAGCATATCCCTGTCATTGGTCTCAGATGACCGTAAATTCAATCAAGAAATCAACGAAAACGCACAGTGTTCAAGAGAATCGGCTTCGGGTACTGGCACGCGGTCTGCGCTGCGCTGGGGACGGGTGTCACCGCGGACTTGACGATGTTCCAGAGCGGATTCTGGGAGGTCGAATTGTCGCCTTGAACAAAGTCGAATGCGCCGGGCCCGTCGCTGCGAAACAGTCAATAATGAAACGCATGGGAGAAACCACACTGACGTTGTTCCACCCGCAAACGAGAAGCCTAGAAATCGAATGAGATGCATGCACTCGAGGGACACAATCATCGGCTCACCCATCGCAGGGGGACACGTCTGCGCGACTGTTCCGTTCGGCAGCGTGAACGTATGATTCGCCCTGGAGCACAAACGGTCAGCAACCAGAAACAACAACGAATTCAGCACGTGCGACTTGCATGTTCAGGTACACGTGCACGCTTCTCACGCTTCCAGCCACCGCGCCCATCGCCCCACCCACAATGCGCTGGGCCGCGTCCGCCTGGACCTGCGCGATCATCGTGTTCGAGGCGAACCCGTACGAGTCGAGGCGGAATCCCGGCCCGCGGCCGTGGCAGTCCTGGACCGTCCCCCCGCACGTGGAGCTGTTCGCCTGGCACGGCATTCCGTCGTAGGGCTGCCCGGGCGACTCGCAGAACGCGCCGAGGATGTTGGGCGAGGTGTCCCCGACGTTCGCCTGTGCGAAGCCTGCAATGAAGGACTGGTTTCCTGGCATCGCGGTCGGGTTGATCCGCGCTGTGTTTTCGTTAGTGACGGCTGCAGAAACATAGCAAATCGGAGGACGCACATTCATACAGATATGCCGCCATTCCCTTGTTGTCCGTGCTCACTAGCGTGTTGTTCTGAGTCCGGTTGTCAGCTTGAACACGGTTGATGTGCACAATGGACCCGCACCTCGTAGATGCTCGTCCCATGCACGGGGAACCAGCTGATGAACCCACGGCTCCCAAAGTTCAGCAAGCTCATGAACTTGTCCTGGTCCCCGCCTTGTGCCACGTACTGCGCCCGTTCCGCCGCCGGATTCGCCAGATACGCAGTGGGGCTGCGATTGATGTTCCCACCGACGACCGTCGTGTTACCCAAGCCCAGCGTCCCCGGCGCCAGCGAGTCGTGCGCGCGCACGATGGCCAGGACGACGCCCGCGACGATCGCGTCGTAGCTCTGCTTCACGAACCCAAGCGCGGTCAGCTGCGGGAGGAGGTTCTCGAGGTACCCGCCGACGCCGGAGTGCTGGTGCGTGCTCGAGATCGCGACGTTCTGCGCCGTGTAGAGCCCGCCATAGCGCGTCTGCAGCTCCGCGAGGATTGCGCGCCGGATGCCCGTGTCGCCCATGGCGATGTCCGCGTTGACGAACACGACGCGCGACGCCGCGGTGTCCGCGGCGGACTCGCCGACGATCCACGCGCGCGCGCGCTGCCGCTGGTGCAGCCCCGTGTCCGTCTGCGCGAGCGACGCGTAGCCCATCATGTTCGTCTCCACGACGGGCCCCGTCACGTCCGCGATGCCCAGGCCGAGCAGGTACGTCGTCGGCGCCGCGTGGGCGCAGAGCGCGCTCAGCAGCGCCGTCAGCGCGGCGGTCGTGAGCTTCATGGTGGATGATGTGCTGGGTCGGTGGTTGTTTGCTGCCCTTGAATGCGGATGCGCGGCTGTGATACACTTATGATCACTGTGCTTATCGGGATATCAGAGATTACATGTCTTCCACGCACGCGAAACGTCGTCCACTTGTCGGTCGATCCTCCCTACTTTATGTCTATCGCATTCCATTCGGACTGCCCTTTTGTCCTGTGTCCTGTGCCCTATTACCCTCCCCGAACCACGAGTCGACTAGATTGTACGCATGTGCTGCCCCCCACCCTTCGACGAGCTTCTCTGACCACGAGGGGGAGCTCTAGAAGACTCCTCGCAGAGATAGATAAAGCCGCACACGACCTCCAAATGCTTCCGATTGATCGACGACGATCGCTGATCACCAGTGTTGTTGTGGCTGCTAGGCTTCCCTCAAGTCGTCCTTGACGTCTCGGCTGCGAGCACTTGAGTTGACCGTGTGACAGACTCAGAAACCGGCAATTCCGGGCTCACTTTGCCGTGCGTGCGATACCTAATCAATGCTAATTCTAGGCACAAAACCATCCGAATGAAGGCGAGGATTACAGAGGGGCCTGTATTTCTGTGGCTGGCTTCTTCCATCGATCTTTCTCTGCCGAGCTTTCATGGCTTCTCTTATCTTGCGATGAAGAAGCGAAGTGCTGGTGGACGGTGAAAAACACATGCCAGTGCATGGCCCGTGCACCCTGATTTAACACATGCATCACACAAATGCTTCTTCTGCCATCGAGCCATCCGAGTTTCCTTTTCCAGATCGGATTCTGTTCATATGGTCTCGTGGTCTGGCCCCACTGCTCATCTGTAACTTCTCATTTACAGAGGAGAGCTTGATCGAGAACACGCTGCCCATTACCATACGGTCATGTTTTCTTATTTCAGCGACTTGTGCCGACAGATCGCCTCGTCGACTTAGATATGCGATCGGTTTGACCCAGAGTTCTTTACCTTTACGACTATCTGCTGAAATTGCTTCATTCTAATGGGACTGTCATCATGGATATGAGTCTCGACTGGGACCTCGTCGGCTCTGAGGTGTGGACACCTGGCAGTCATCTTCGAACGGTGTGAGGCGTCCGCACTTTCTGCAATACTACTCGTACTAATGCCTCAAGTTAGTGAGCGGTGGTTCGGAAATGAGTTATCCTAACCACAAATCAAATGTGCGGTCTCAAAAAGACGGCAGCGAGTTCCTGCGCTTTGGGCCTCAACCGCGAATTGAACGCGGGACCACTTCCAGAGTTGTCTGCAACATGACCCTAAGGAAGTATCATACGACTAGACCATTGGGGCGTGGTCGTCTCGGAAAGACAGACTCATCTCGACATCGCCGTCTGCAGAAATGGATCTGCCTGTGTAGGCCTGTCGCAGCTAGTTAAGCAATTCAGCCGTCAGAGGCTCCTCAACATCAAAGAAAAAAGTTATAGACAACTTTAGATTCAAACACCGGGTTTTGCCTACGTCTATGGTCGAGTCGGCTACGAATATCCAGGATTGCTTCATTCAGCCTGCTAGGAGTAATGAAATCAATCACCGCTCTGGCTTGCATCTACCACACCATAAAAGGCTCTCCCAACCCAACCCACCCGCACCCCTCCAAGTCGTCCCCTCGCCACCCGATGCCCCACACCGGATCCTGCCTCTGCGGGCTCACCGCAATCGAGCTCTCCACGACCGAGATAAGCCAGGTACGAGCGGCGTCTCTGCATCACGTCGTGCCAGTGCACCAAGTCGACGACGCCCACAGGTGTTGTGCCACTGCGTCGACTGCCGGCGCACAAGCGGGAGCGCATTCAGCGGCAACATCCTCGTGCCCAAGAAGGACGTGCGCATCACCGGGCCGACCAAGGAGTACACCAGCAGGGCGCTCTCCGGCAACATGGGTGCGTTCTGTCGACTCGAGTAGACGATGCGTCGCTCAGACTCAGAGATCATCTAATCGAGACTTTGGCAGTGACGCGCGTGTTCTGCGGAACGTGCGGCAGCGCGATCGCGCACCGCAACGAGCAGTTGTTCGGGGACACACAGGTCGTGCTGCAGACGGGGAATCTGGAGGGATTCGGGAATGTACCCGTTGGGGTGGAAAGTGCGTGTTGATCGTCCCATTACCGTGGTGCTTCTACTCAAGTTTCGAAACTGGTATGTATCAATCAGTCTTTGTGAAGGATCGCTGGGCGTCACTGCCGGCGGTAGACGGCGCGGTGCAGGTAGAGGGGATGTTGGAGTTCTAGATATCTGGTTACGTTACGCCACTAGGAACGCATATGCCTGGATCAGATGACGAAATCTCCTACCGAGGGGACGCGGGATGAGCGCAACGGAGATGAATTCCTATAGTATTCCTTCATCCGACAATCGAGATCTTGCCAATATGATGAGCTCATAATTCCGTGTTCTGAGCTGCTGAGGGCGCATAATCCCCGACTAGTCAACTCGATCATTTGATCATGCAACTGTTGTCTGTCATAATCCTTTGATAATCCAAGACATGATCCCATAGGCTATTTCGCTGGGCCGAAGATGGTTGTATTAGTCTGCAGGATCATGTGTCTATTACGCTACGGGCATCACTGAAATGACCGAACTAAGTAGCAGGGCGCTCCCAGGCAACATGGATGCGTTCGAGACCATGCGGTGCCCAGAGATCATTTCATTGAGACTCCGGCAGTAACGCGCGTATTCTGCGGAACGAGCAGCAGTGCGATTGCTGTGTCTGGGGTTTGTCTGGCTGTTCGAGGACACGCAGGTCATGGTGCAGACGGGGAATTTGAAGGGATTCGGGAATGTACCCGTTGGGGTGGAAAGTGCGTGTCGATTGTCCCATCAATGTTGCTTCTATGCAAGTTCGTGAGGGATCGCCGGGCGTCAACGCCGGTAGGCGGTCCGCATGGACTGGGGAGATTGGGGTCCACTTACGCCATTAGGAACGCATACACCTGGATCAGATAACGAGATCTCATACTTGAAGGACGCGAGATGAGCGCGAAGTAGGGCTTCATCCGCCGCAATATCGCTCGCACTTGCATCGGGCAGCAGGACAAGATACGAGCGAGCTGATGGAGTGAACGGATGCAAGACCAAGGCAACATCACCGCTCACCTTCATCAGCCCTGGTCTGCCTTAGTGCGACCAGCCTATCCGCGTACTCCCAGAAATCAGGCTCGTTCCGGGTCCCCGCGAGCCAGTCGTGGGTATCCCGGCGCTTGAACACACACACCAGCCGCAGGTTCTGCTCGTACACCTCCCTCCGTGCGCCGAGCACCTCGTACAGCGGATGACCTGACGAGTCGAAAGTGGGCCAGTGTATGATCGCCAGCAGGCGTAGGCGCGGGCACCGCTGCAAGACGCGCAGCGCCAGGCGCAGGCCGTGGAAGGCCAGCCCGCTCAATGCGAGGTGCGAGAGCGCCGGCAGCGACGAGATGATCGCGATGTGGGCGTCCGTCTGGGCACCGGGGATTTTCGTGTCGTTGAGCTCCAGGTGGGACAGCCGCGCGAACGGTTGCGCCACGGCCGAATCGAAGCTTAGCCTGGGAATGAGCTGAATGGCCGCGAAGGGACAGTAGAGTCTTTGGAGGTTCGGCAGCCCGCCGATGAGCGCGAGCAGATCAATCCCCACCCTATCTCCCGCCCACATGTTCTCGATCGACCGGCAGCTCTCGAGCAGGGGGAGGCTGATCTCGTCCGCGACATCGTAGAACATCACGTGGCGCACGACGTCGCGGCACTTCTGTGGCTTAGAGTCGAGAAGCTCGTGCAAGACCGCGTTGGTGAATTTGATCATCATATAGGGAGAGCGGTAGATCGTGCGGTAAAGCAGCGGCTCGACCCTGTGCGTTCATGAGATCAGCTTTGAGCAATGGGGCGGTGTCCTGACCACTGCTTGACGCGGTGCGCAACACGTAGGAGACGAGCATTCGAAGCCAGATCAGCAATAGCGAGCAGAGTAAAAATATCGTGTTCCAGTTCCGGTGGCAGTTTCGGGTCGTCCATGGGAGTCGTAAGCAAGCCGAGAGTGATGATCGAGATAATCACGTCTTCTTGTGACAGTGCGAGTGATGGTGGCTGTCCCCGATCACATCTTCTCTCGCTACGAGCAGCACCCCACTAACCCCTCCAGACGCCATCAAACCACTCCCTACCCCTGACTGGAGGCCATCCTGGAGGCACCTTCCTAATTGGTACTCTGCCCAGTGTCATAGTTCAACCACTTTTTCATCTTATCTTCAACGATCTTATCTTATCATGGATCATGACATCTGACGCTCCAGGCTAGGGGTCCAGGGGATCATCTTTATTGATTCAAGGCTGCGCGACATATGCTCCAGAAGGTTCTACTCCAACCCATGACCAGTGCTCCATGCGGTACATAGCCTTATGACTCATTAGTTGTATATATGACTCAGACTGGATTTGGGTATAAATACTGTAGCTACTTGGTTGTATTCTCCAGTCTTTGAATTCACTTCTCTTTTCGACATTATTTCTTGTTGATTGTCACATAATTTAAAGACTCCCCTCATACCCTCCTACCTCATACCTCTTACCCCTGCATCCCTCACCGCTACACCCGCTATATCCTCTTAAACCCTTATCAACCAACTCACCCTTTTACCAAATCATCTAGTTGTTCTCTGCGATCGCAGTGAAGGGTTCATATCAAGCAAACAGCACCAGGCCACGGGTAACGTTGAGCCTGACCCAAGCCTTATGGTAGCTACAAGGAGTGCTGCGGAGACCTTCGTGAAAATGCACCTTGGGATCATTGGGCATGTGAAGAGCTAGGCCCGGGATCTTTTGCTAGCAAAAGAACCCTCCCTCGAGTGCTTATACAGCACACGAATCCACCATTTTGTTTCAATTCCCATCGTTGTCTGGGAGTTCGTCTCCTCCTCCCATCCTACCATCATCGCCCGATCTGGCGTATCAGAACCAACCGGGGCCCACCAATCCCTACCTCGCCCTCCCGCCGCCTGAAGACGAGATCCCCAACCTTGACGAGTTACCCTCCAAACAACCACCCTTGCCCCCACCTACCATGCCTGCTCCTACCATGTCAGGACACCACCACATCACCCTCGCTGCCAAACCCCCCTACTTCAATGGGGATAAGTCCAAATATATGGGCTTCGTGGACTCGTGCACCACCTACATTGGTGCTTATTGGTCGGAATTCTCGCACAATGAGACAAAAATCCTCTTCATCCTCTCCTACTCTGCAATGAGGCTGGCACAAGCTGCGCCACCTCAAGATGGGCAATGAACTGGAAACAGTGCAACTTCAAAAGCCTCAATGGACTGAAGGCAGGGGTCACATCAAAGAACTTCCTGGAGGAGCTTCAGAGGGCCTTTGGGGACTCCAATGCCAAGCAAGTTGCCGCCGCTTGACTCATGGCCCTGCGCCAAAACAAACAATCCTTTGCGGATTATATCTCTGACTTTGAGATGCTGGCTGCGGACGCAGGGTACAATGTGGTCACCACCACCGATGACAAGGGCGAGTACAAGAAGGGGGATCAAGACAACATCCTTATTGAGGTCCTTGAGCGTGGGCTGAGCAGAAAGATTGCAAGTCGCCTCGACAACACTGGTGTCCCTTTGCCCAAGGCGTATGGTGCCTTCAAGGACTGGTGTGTCAACATCGAGGCAAACCCTCTGCGCGATCAGCTGCGCAAAGCATCGCATGGGCACTCCATGCCACGACCACCTCCCCAATGACGCCCGCAGGCAGCCCCAATGACGCCTGCACCCGCCCCGGCCCAACCTGCTGCCAACAAACCAGTTCCAATGGAAATTGATTGCACCCACGCCCGTGGCCGCAATATCATCTGCTACAACTGTCAGCAGCCTGGGCACATTGTGCGGAACTGCCCGGAACCAAGGAAGAAGTGCACGTTCTTCAATCGGGCCACGATGCTTGAAGAGATCCAGAACGGGGACAAGGACAACGAGTTCCTCGAGGAGATTGCCAAGAAGCTGCACGAGAGGGGTTTTTAAAGCACTCCACTCCTCTAGCCAAGGAGGTGGAGCGTCTGGACTATGGACGTTTTTCTGTACTTGTTTCAATTAAAGATATGAACAATATTCCTCACTATACATACATGCTCCCCAACTCACTATGTACTAATATTCACAATTTTCTTGTTGCCGAGATGGAAAAAGAATGCAAAGGAAAAATAGCTCTAAATAGAAAATATTTACATGATAAAAAGGATCGGAAGGCAGCAGCTGCAGATAAATTATTTTTGGACTCCTACATATTTATGGCTCGTGGAGAAGAAACCACGTCAACAAAGACCAAAAAGGGGAGCATTGCTCCGGAGGCTCGATCCTTGAAAAAGGAGGAAGCGCCTAAGGAATCTGCCGAAATCAAGGTTCCAGAAGCACCCAAACGCACCAGGGTGCCAGATGCCGCCCAGAGGAAATTAGTGGCCAAGAAACAGAAGGGCCCCCAGCCCAGCAGATTGGCGTGGGAATTGCGCAGTTACCAGGCTGAAAGAAAGAGGCATTCAATGGATGTATATGTGCAGATCATGGGTCTGGACTCAGGAAAAACACAGTACCTGTTGCATTGATAGCAACTATGCATGGGCAGAAAAACTGGATATTCAAGAACTTCCCCAACCCATAGTGGCTTGTAACGCCAACAACACCGAGAACATCAGTGGCCGGATCACACATTACGTTGACCTAAGGATGAGAATTGGTCCTCATGTGGAGACACGCACGTTCCTTCTGACGTATTTGGGAAAAGCTTGGATCTTCATTGGTCTTGATTGGCTGATGGAACACAACCCCGAGGTGGATTGGCAGGAGCAGACAATGAGATTCAGCCGATGCCCAGAGCGGTGTCACATGAGGGGTCACGAGGAGCACCAAGCAATGATCGACATGGATGCAATTGACTTGGACACGGTGATAGGCTGGCTACCAGACACGCTCTGCACCAGCTCTATGAGGGCGTATTTTTGCGCTTTTACAGAGTTTACTCTCGAACCACTTGGTGTATCGTGTCGCGGTTGACAGTGTTACGTTCAGTAGGGCTTAAGGGTCTACTGCCCAGTCGACGACTATGGATAGTGTCGATGATAGCAAGGCAGTCAGACCACTACTGTGGAACTGGGCTTATGAGTCTATACCAGGCTCAGGGCTATGAGTGACAAACGCTTGGACCGCGACAATTCCCCAAAAAGGGATCTTTCGTTGCGGCGACTTCTCAAAAGGGTCATTCTCTGCAGATGGGAACTTGGGCTGAAGGGCTGAGCAATGTGCAACGTTCTCAATAATACAACTACTACTGGACAGGACTTGGCGTTACGGGATTGAACCAATCTTGTCGCAGCAACTCCCGGTTTTGGGTTGGACGTGTCCCCAGATCATGCCATGGTGACGACTTGTCACATGTCAGGATCCATTCGATCACGGGACATTGTGGACGCGTCGCGGTGACACTTCCAAGTATCACGGCAAGTCGCGCCCATACCCAAACACACTAAAATCGACGCGGGCTAGATCCGTGAACCAAGCCATGTGAGGAACAACTGGCGTGCCTCGGGCCATACGGCTTCTTGGGGCACCCACGTTGGACTCACCTGCCAAGACATACCCATTGGCCAATCCAGCACGTTGTATTCCAAAAGTATGACGCGGTGGGTTGACCCACATCAAAAGTATCATATGGACTATGGGGCGGGGTCCTGATCACTCAGGGCCTGTCCGATCATTCAACTTTTCATTACTCTAAAAGGCAACCGATCTTAGATAGCGTTGCTACTATGCAGTTGTACAGGACTTTACTAAGCATCGTCGTAGACAGTATAAGTAGCACATCGTTTCTTTGTATTAGAAAGCTTTCCCCCGGACTGTGAATCACTCTCATATCAGATTGTTTTGTACAATTTGCATGCCGCATGATTCCACCCTAAGAAGTTCTGCCACCCCTGCCCGGTCACGACGAGTTGCTCCCTGAGCACTTGTAGCTACTGTGATTTGAGCTCGAGTTGAGATATCAGAAAGTCGGATTCACCGCATCTGGTATTGTCGCGGCATTTAGTGTCGTCGCCCTTTGGGCTTTGTTGAGATTGTTCCACACCTCTAGCTTGGCAGTGCGTCGACTAGTTGTGCTCAGGTTGTTTTGGTCAGTTGGCAGTGCGTCGACTTGAGAACTTTGGTTCCACACTTCTTGCTTGGCAGTGCATCGACAAGTTGTGCTCAGGTTTTGGATTGGCTGTTAGTTGGCAGTGCGTCGACGCGGCATTTTGTCTTACTAGTTGGCAGTGCGTCGACTCAGTACTTTGGTTGTCTTAGTTGGCAGTGCATCAACTTGACATTTTGGTTCTACTAGTTGGCAGTGCATCAACTTAGTATATTGGTTGTATCGGTTGGCAGTGCGTTGACTCGATATTTGGGCTTTGCGTCGCCATCTGGACGCTGTCGCTACAAGGGATCTTAATACTCCGTATTAAGCTCTGACTTGTTATATTGTTGGTTGTGATTGGATTAGTGTTGGTTGTGTTCGTATAGAAGATATTGGTTGAGACACCATTGTTTACTATATATAAATTCTTGTCGTCGACTTCGTCTTCCGCGACTATTGATCTGTGTCTATTGAGAGTTGTGATACTGGTGTCCCGTCCACCCCAAAGCCCTCAAATCTTTCACACACTGAGAAGCTGATTACGAGGAGTGTGAACGTGTTTATATTTGGGTTCACTTCATAGTAGATTCACCTGTGAGCGCGCCCTCAGCATTTCAACGCCCTGTCCAAGATTATCGGAAACTGAACGAGATGACGATTTGAAATCAATACCCGCTGCTGCTGATCTCCAAACTGGTCCATAATCTATGCGGCACCAAGTTCTTCACGAAGCTTGACATCCGGTGGGGATACAACAACGTACAGATCAAAGAGGGTGACAAGTGGAAAGCTGCGTTCCACATGAACCGCAGACTGTACAAGCTCTTAGTCATGTTCTTTGGCCTCACGAATTCCCCAGCAACCTTTCAAAACATGATGAACGACATACTCCGAGAACTGATCAACAAGGGTCACGTGGTAGTTTATCTTGACAATATATTGATCTTCACAGAGAACTTGGACAAACATTGGCGGATCACCAAACGGGTACTTGAATTGCTGCAAAAACACAAGCTGTACCTGAAACCCGAAAAGTGCGAGTTTGAACACACGGAAATTGAATATTTGGGTGTAATTATTTGACACAATTCACTGCGGATGGACCCTGTCAAGATCAAGGGCATGATGGAATGGCCAGAACCAAAGAGCGTCAAACAAGTCCAAGCTTTCCTAGGGTTCACCAACTTCTATCAGCGCTTTGTCCGGGGATACAAGCAGGTCGCCAAGCCATTGACACAACTGACAGGGAAGGCAGGATGGTCATGGGGTATGGATGAGCGTGCAGCATTTGATGGGTTGAAGAAGAGAATCGCGGAAGATGCGGTCTTAGCACTGCCAAATGACACTGGCCAATATCATCTGGAAGCCGATGCTTCGGAAGGGGCAACAGGATCAGTTTTGAGCCAAAACCAAGATGGCATTTGGTGCCCAATCGCATTTATTTCGCACGCATTAACGGAAACCAAGCGGAATTACGAGATCTACGACAAAGAAATGCTCGCGATCATGCTATTATTGGACAAATGGAGGCAGTTACTACTGGGAGCCATGGAAACGTTTGAGATCTTCACTGATCATCAGAATCTTGAATACTTCCGGAAGCCGCAGAAACTCAATCGACAGCAAGCACGATGGATCACAGAACTGGCAGAGTTTGATTTCACCTTACGACACTGGCCCGGCGCACTCAATCGCAAGGCGGATCTCTTATCTCGACAAGCGGATCACAATCAGGGCAAGAACAACAACAAGGATGTCACTCTGCAGAAGCCCGAATTCTTCTGGTCACAAGAAGTTACATTTGAGGGACAAGATCAGCAGCTAATCAATGAGATCAAGGCTACTCAATCGATTGTTGGAAGCGTCAAAGCGGCCTTGGAGAAGTCACTCGTCGGATGGAAAAAGGAAGATGGGCTCATCACGTACCATGGGAAGCTCTACGTAGCAAGGGACAAGGAACTGCAAGACAAGATCATTGGGCTACACCATGACACACCTTTGATTGGACACGCTGGGATCATCCGAACACAGGAAATGGTGGAAAGGAACTACTGGTGGCCAAGGATGGGAAACCAAATTCGGAAATACATTGAGACGTGCGAAGCGTGCCAACAGACCAAGACCAGAAGAGCAAGGACGGGGACTCTGCACCCGCATGCAGTCCCAAATGCACCGTGGGAAATCATCTCCATGGATCAAATTGGACCCTTGCCGGTCAGTAATGGGTATGACGCAATCCATGTGTGGTGTGACACCTTCACCAAAATGATTCACGTCAAACCAATTAGTACTGACATCAGCAGCAAAGGGGTAGCACGGTTGACAAGGGACCGAGTCTTCCACTATCACAGGATCCCTCGCAAGATCATTACCGACAGGGACTCCCGATACATCAAGGGCTTCATGAAGGAGACGAATTGGATGTTGGGTGTGGAAATGAACCCGGGGACCGCATATCACCCGATCATGGATGGACAAACGGAACGCATGAATCAGGAGATTCAGTACTATCTCTGCATCTACATCAATTACCATCAGACGGACTGGTCGGAGTGGCTGGGAATGGCGGAGTTCGCATATAATAACAAAATGAACAAGTCTACCAAAATATCACTGTTCTACGCAAATCACCGATATCACCCATGGAAGGGAGTGGAGCAGCGGATGGAATCGAGGAATGAGTCAGCGGAGGAGTTTGTAAAAAGAATCAAAGAAATACAAGACAAAGCAAAAGAAAAAATGAAAAAATACTACAATAAACAAAGAAAAGAAGTCCCGGAGTTGAAGGTTGGGATGAAGGTGTACATAGAAGGGGACAATATCAAGACAGACAGGCCTTTGAAGAAGATGAGCGACAAGAGATTGGGGCCGTATTGTTATGATTCAATCATTTTTCACAATCATTCCATCGATCACCTTATCTTATCATTGACATGGGACTATCTTATCACGGATCACGGCACCACATGGTCTGGGTTTAGGGTTCAAGAGGGTTATCTGCACAAGAGGTTGCGCGGCGTGTGCTCCAGAAGTCTATACTACAACCCATGACCAAAGCTCCACATGGTACATAGTCAGATGACTCATTTGATGTAGATAAGACTCAGACTGAACTTAGTATAAATACAGTAGCTATTGTGTTGTATTCTCCAGTCTTGGAATTGACTTGTCTTTTCGATCATATTCTGTGTTGATTGTCACACATATGAGATACTGGAGAAGGTTGGAGCGGCCGCATGGAAGCTGGATTTGCCAGACATGGATCGAAGACACCTGGTGTTCAATGAGTCCCTGTTGACACCCTATCACGAACCACCCCCCGTTGCCGAGAGAAGAGACCCATAGCCAAGATGATCGGAGGAGCAGAAGAGTGGGAAGTTGAAGAAATCATAAAGGAACGAAAATTTGGCCAAGGAAAGCAGTACTTGGTCAAATGGAAGGGATGGCCACATAGCGAGAACACCTGGGAACCATCACGTCACCTTACCCACACAAAGAAGGTCCTGAGAGATTGGCAGAGGAAACAATCCAACCCAGACACACGCATTTGCCTCCTGCCAACACTCAAAGCCGGACATTGGGACTATCTCATTCACCGCTACAAACCCAGAGACAAGCGCCTCTCATACCCCCAACGACAACTCTTCAACCCTTACGAGAACGTCTTCAAGCCCATTGGCCTAGTCAATGAGGACATCGACCCTAGAGAGGGGGTAATGTCATAGTTTGATCACTTTTTCATCTCATCACTGATGATCTTATCTTATCTTGGCATGACTTATCTTATCACGGATCATAGCATCAGACAGTCCGGGTTAGGGGTTCCAGGGATTATTCTCATTGATTCGAGGCTGCACGATATATGCTCCAGAAGGTTCTACTACAACCCATGACCAGTGCTCCATGTGGTACATAACCTTATGACTCATTAGTTGTAGATATGACTCAGACTGGATTTGGGTATAAATACTGTAGCTACTTGGTTGTTTTCTCCAGTCTTCAAATTCACTGTAAGGGCAACTCCTGCCAGCCCGAAGGAAGAGAGCACACAGCACACAACAACCTCACATGAGTCTGAGCACAGAGGGGGATCCTTAGAGACTATCAAATACAAGGGAGGTATACTACTCACCTGAGCACAGAGGGGGATCCTTAGAGAACGGTTCAAGGATCCATGTGCCCAGGTGTCACACTATATAGTCAGCTGTGACAAGTGACTGATGATGATGGGATATCACTGCCATGGAACAATGGCAGATGACAAGTAGATAATGACAAACCCAGATAAGATAGTGAGTGGCTCAGAGGGGCCAGTGACGGCCAGCTCCTGAGACACCAACAGTGGAAGGCCGCACTGGAGGAGCCCAGTGGCCAGGCCAGTGCCGGGCCAGCCAGTGGAGGCATCGGAGGCGAGGACCAATGCCCGACTGGGAAGAGGGGTGGTGCGGATGAGCGCAAGGCATCTGGTACAAGCCTGTACGGCAGTAGACCACATCCGCGGGGAGAAGGCCAAAGTAGAGGGGGAGGAGTGCGTACGGCAGTAGCACTCCCTGGTGCAAGGAATCAGGCTTGGCTAGACCGCTTGCGGGGATTCGAGGGAGATGGCCAGGGGAAGGAGGAAGAGGGCGGATGTCGGCATGGATGGAGATGAGGATCGGAGGAGGAGGAGGAGGCTGGGTGATCGACAGGTGAGCAGGCACAGGTCGGCAGAGAGGGCGCAGTGGGTCACGTGCATGGTCACGTGCCCAAGGAGCGCGGCGTCCCCTGACATTCACTTCTCTTTTCGACATTGTTTCTTGTTGATTGTCACACAGATGTATGCAAGGAGTGCTGAAGAGAGGTCGGTTGCCAGGGCAAAACATCTTGCGTTTTCACAGCCCAGCAGGGTGCCCATTGGCTGGCGTTGTTCAGGGAAAGCAAGGTCAATGAGAGCTAAAGTTGAGGGACTTGCCTAATTTGTCCCCATACCCATAACCACACCAATTATGTTCCCACTGTCACCAACGGTTACGAGAAACATTGAGGCATTGCCCAAATCGCATTTATATTTCAGGCCTGATGCAAAGAACAGAAGTCATTTCTAATGAGAACGAGCAGCTGTAGCAATGTTTGATGAGTAGGCACTGGTCACCGCCTGTTGGCTAGGCATGACCTATGTGTGGTGATGCACCTAGTCACGCATAATCCCAGCGGGGTCTACTTGATTAGCACATGGCTTGTACTTTATCATCCCCACATGTGGGCTAGTGGTCTAGTCCCCAAGGCTCTAGATGTCTGGACCCGGCTCGTTCCTGGCCCGGACACAGCTCGGACGAAATCCTCCCCGAAGGGGCCGGAATGCTGTGAAAGCTGAGGTGGCTGTGTTGTTTGATGTGCGTGCCAATCAGTTTTGATGCTCGACACGATGGCAACAAAAACAGTGTGCGGTGGTAGATTGTAGAACACCGCTGCCGATTTGTGTAGCTGATTGTAGCCTCCAGCAGCGAGCGCGGCCGAGGGACCACCACTGGAGTACCGCGGGGTCAATTGGGACCACCGCTGGAGTCCCGCGGGACCTGCTGGACCTCCGCTGGAGTCCCGATGGAGTCCGGCACACTGGTAAAGCACTCCGGCTGAACCCCCGCGGGGTCATTTTCCAGTCCCCTGGGCTCCCACTGGATTTAGTCCCGCGTTAGGTAGATTCCCACGGGACCAGATTCTTCGACCTTGTCATTCTCAACGATGTCAACGCTACGACTGATGCAAAAGATTGGGATGACTTTCTACTACATCAGACTTCATTCTAACGCTGATAGAATGTCGAACTGTGCCGTTGTCGTCGAGAGCGGGACATGGATTTTTCTGGGGTCCCGCGGGTAGTTCTGTAGGACCGTTTGGGGGGGGGCATGCCCATTGTAACAAGAATGTTTACTTGGGCTTTATAGATGGTGTCTATGACGCGACGGACATCACTGAAATGACCGGACCAAGGAGTACACCAGCAGGGCACTCTCCGGCAACATAGGTGTGTTCCAGACGATGCGCGTGTTCCGCGGAACGTGCGGCAGCGCGATCGCGCACCGCAACGAGCAGCTGTTCCGGGACACGCAGGTCTTGCTGCAGACGGGGAATCCGCAGGAATTCGGGAATGTAACCGTTGGGGTGGAAAGTGCGTGTCGATTGTCCCATCAATGTTGCGAAGTTCTCCTCAAGTTGTAAACTTCTATGTATCAACTAGTCTCTGCGAACTGGGCGTCCACGCCGATAGGCGGTCTGCACGCCGCGGAAAATTTTGGGTCTAGTTATGACATTAGAAACGCATACACCCGGATCAGATGACGAGATCTCCTACGGAAGGGACGCGTCATAAGCCCTAAGGGCTTCATCCGCGGCGATCTCGCTCGCACTTGCATCGGCCATGAGGATAAGATACGAGCGGGCTGATGGAGTGAACGGATGCAAGACCAAGGCAATATCGCCGCTCACCTTCATCAGTTCTAGTCTGCCTTAGTGCGACCAGCCTATCCGCGTGCTCCCAGAAATCAGGCTCGTTCCGGGTCCCCGCGAGCCAGTCGTGGGCATCCCGGCGCTTGAACACACACACCAGCCGCAGGTTCTCTTCGAACACCTCCCTCCGTGGGCCGCGCACCTCGTACAGCGGACCTGACGAGTCGAAAATGGGCCAGTGTATGATCGCCAGCACGCGTAGGCGTGGGCACTGCTCCAAGACGCGCAGCGCCATGCGCAGGCCGTGGAAGGCCATCCCGCTCAATGCGAGGTGCGAGAGCGCCGGCAGCGACGCGATGATCGCGACTTGGGCGTCCGACTGGGTACCGGGGATTTTCGTGTCGTTGAACTCCAGGTGGGACAGCCGCGCGAACGGCTGCGCCACGGTCGAATCGAAGCTGATCTTGGGGATGAGGTCAATGGCTGCGAAGGGAAAGTAGAGTCTTTGGAGTTTCGGCAGCCCGCCGATGAGAGCGAGCATATTCTTCTTCACCCTCCTTTCCACCCACACGTTCTCGATCGACCGGCAGCTCTCGAGCAGGGGGAGGCTGATCCCCGACGCGACATCGAAGAACATCACGTGGCGCACGACGTCGTGGCACTTCTGTGGCTTAGAGTCGAGAAACTCGCGCAAGACCGCGTCGGTGAATTTGGGCATCATATGGGGAGTGCGGTAGATCGTGCGGTAGAGCAGCGGCTCGACCCTGTGCGCTCATGAGATCAGCTTTAAGCAATGGGGCGGTGTCCTGACCACTGCTTGACGCGGTGCGCGACACGTAGGAGAAGAGCATTCGAAGCCAGATCAGCAACGGCGAGCAGAGTGAAGATATAGCGTTCCAGTTCCGGTGGCAGTTTCGGGTGGTTCATGGGAGTCGTAAGCAAGGGTTATCAACCGATCAATGACTCCTGTGACAGGCACGAGGCCTGATTATCGTGCGAGGGGAGGAGCGGTTCGATCGATCTTTTCAGATATCCCCGAAAGGATCTCACGTGACTTTGACAACGCCCATCGCTGACCATTTGGTCCTAGTCCGGACTAAGTCCCAAAGTCCACTGCCAGTAATATGCTTGTTGCTTGAAAATTGTACCAGCAATGAATTTTCAATTTGGATCAGTCGATATTGTCATGACTTTTATCAGCTCTAATACTGCACCAATTCATTATGCAGCTGTAGAGCATTGTTCCGGAAAGAAATGTGACTGGCCTGGAGCCCGATGAAGAGTGAAATGATATACAGCAACGCAATGATTACAAGCACATTACCCCGTGGATTTGATATAGGAAGCTTCTTGTATTGAATTGATACTGTGTCTCTCGATGTATTTTCCACTGCTGAAATTTGGCCCGCGAAGGGCGTCCCCTTGAAATTTTTGTAGCACAGTTCAAACTCAGGGGAAGTCGCTGGGCAGATGCTGTGCAATTGGCTTAGATTGTCCGGCCACCAATGATCGGTCTGTAACCGAAAAGACCTAAGGTATGCCGCATTAGGATCCAGGGACCCTTTGTAAGCGTCACACTGTGACAAACAGCGACGGAAGATGACGACGGCCACGGAGGGAATATAGCTAAAGTACTCACATGGGGTGTTTCTGGAGGCCTTTAGCACACCTGCTATGTGAGTAGAATTTTTTATTTTGCCTCCTGGAGAGCGTGATGTGAGGTTCAAGAATTCTGCATCAAAAGTTTTCTTTTATTGTAGAAAGTGATTTCCAACTGAACTGAGCATCTTTAAATTTTGGGTCGGAAGATTTGACCATTCACGTGACGTCCCAATTAGGAAGTGGCGGTGCTGCCGGCGTTGAGATCCCCTTCTATAGTCATAGTAGCCGTAAAGAAATTCAATTATCCTTCGGACACCCATTTTGGATCACATTGGGTGCATACATGTCCATAATGACACCGAAAAGAAGGGCTACGTTTTTCGGACTGTGAATTTGAACGTCACGTGACTGTCACGCACTGCTTACTAAGGGTCCCTGGATCCTCATGCGGCATACCTTAGGCCTCCGTGAAAGAGTCGTTGGGATGGGCACAGCAGACCTCGATTTACCAAGCTAAAACAAAAAGTGCAGAGCAGGAGCTTCAGATTCTAAAGTGGATAGCACTGGTCAAAACCCCTGGCGGGACTCGAACCCGCAGCCTTCAGATTCAGCACTGCACGACCATAAGGAGTAGAAGTCTGACGTCATAACCATTAAACTACAGGGGCAGCACGGACGGGGGCGACAGATACCAACAAATTCATCGATCCTTCAGTGTTTGGGAGGTCTTTCGAACCTACATGTTATGAAATCATTTTCACAGGAGGCGCTGCTCTGAAAGAATCCCCCTCTTCCAGTACGGAGGGACTTTGTAACAAATTTCAATGCGTGCTTGATATCAATCAGCTCGTCTCTCGTCCAGACTGCCCACTCCCGTGTCTGCGTCTCGAATGCCCTGACTAGACATAGCCACGGATGGCAGTAGGGGCTTGTAGGTCCCATTTTTTTTCCTGGGTTCTTATGAGGACCATTAGGGTTCTCATATTATGCGCTGCGGGATATTTCATTCTATACGCCCGAGCCGATCGTATGCGCGTCTGAATAAGGGCCGGAGAAAATATCTCATGTCGATAGGATCACAAAGTTCAACGAATCTTGTGGATCAGACGCATTGGGCGCAGACCCGGCAAGCCATTCCAGTGTAGCCTATGACGGTGGGTTGCGGCGTTCAGCTTGATGAGACGGGAGATGGAATGAGATCTTTGGCAGCAAATACAGGCTCTTGCAGAGCGCACACCGGTAAATCGAATGCCCCCGATGGGAATACACACCAGAAACCACCAAAATCACTAGGTGTCTCGGGACTAGGTTTCAGGCTGAGGGGGGAGATGGAAGCCGCAGCGCCAACGATTGGAAATTTAGCACCATAGACCCTTGCCGGCCAGGACATCATCTCGAGACGCGCACAATGGTTGAGAACCCTCATACATCAAATGGCAGTAACGACGATGCGATGCGTCCGTCTCCAAAGGGGGACTGGAATCGTCGGGATACACCCCCAACTATTTCTCCGGTAGATGTAATGCAGGTATCTAGGTATATATGTATGTATCCGAAAGCAGAGAGCGAAGTGCGCGAGGATGCGACGACTAGTCAGTAAAGGTGGTGGTGGTGGTGGTGGCGGCGGTGGTTATGTGGGTAAGTAGATCACGTGCAGGCAGCAGTGAGGTTGTTCTTTGGCTGCACCTGCTTGTAATCCGTCGTCCAGGTCGTCAGATTCGGGTTAGTGTAAGCCTCGATATATCTGTGGAACAAACACGTGAGAAACCCTCAGAACGCAGAGGGAGGGAACCAACGCACGTGTTGATATAGTCCTGCGTCGGGCGGTTAGGTGGGTCGCACCCGATGTTGATCTGGTCGGCAGGCTGATAGACACGAATATAGTCGACACGCATAATCGCGGGGAATATCAGACGCTCGAAGTCGATCCACGAGAAGGAGTGCGAGATGGCAAGATTGACAATGATATACTGCGCAATTGAAATGGTGTCAGAAACTGGCGACGATGAATAGAGCAGCCAGCAACGTTGACTCACGAGAGGCTCTTCGGTGACGGGCCGCGGGCCAATCTCCACACGCGTATCCGCCTGGAAACCAGCTCCACTGACCGACCACGACACCTTGCCGTTTGCGATCCACGAGACGTACTGTGCCCACCCGGTCAGATCGAAAGTCACTCGCGACGAGGATGAGCGAAAACACAATGACTCACTCCACTGTCGTAGCCGGGCTGGTACTGGAAACCATACAATGCGAAGCAATCTTGGACAAGCTGGTAGCAGGTCTGGTTGGACTGAGATACGACGGAGGAGGCCTGCTGCAGGGTTCCTCCGGCATACGAGTTGAGCTGCGAGATCGCAGGATCGGGGATCTGGAAGTTGTCCGATGTGTTGTACCACGCGTAGTACGCGTTGAACGGCTGTTATGCTCTCGTCAGTCCGATTGCATCGCACACTGACAAAGTAAAACGACATACAGCCCACTGAGCACTCTGCGATACAGCACCAAAGTTGTTCGGCGAACTGCCCCCAATCTGCGCTTCGAACATATCGATCTCGGGCGCCGAGCGGCCCACGTACGAACCGTCGGCATGGATCGGGCCGGGATGCGACTCGCCGGCGCAGGTGCAGCGCGAGAGCCGCATACCGGGAAGAATCGAAAGCTGTCCGTTGTTCGTCCCGGTGTCCGCAGCGGCGACGGGGCCGCCGCCGGGGTGGGTCTGGTTCGCGAGTGTCCCGACGTCGCATGAGTCGTACGAGTACGGCCACATGCCGTCAAGCGTCGCACCGTAGCCCGCCCGGCCGAGGTTACCGAGCGTCCAAACGGCGGGCCATAAACCGAAAACGTCGTTCGTGCCGGGCAGCTGCACATTGGCGAGGATCAGGCCACCGGTGAAGCAGAACTGCGGGGGACGGGTGTTATTTATAGATCCTTGGCAACGATCATGACGGGACAGACCTTGTTCCATGTGCTCATCATCCCACTGGTGTAGTTCAGGTTGTGGTTCTGGCTGGGGTCGGGCGCCTCGGTCATCGTGATCTCCAGCGCCCCGCCACGAGTGGTGATCGCCTTGGGGTCGTACCACTCCAGATCATTCGTCGACCAGTAGTGCATGTCGCCGGCCTCCCTGTATGCATGTCAGAATTTGTCATCTTCGCACGCACGGACACTCACCAGAAGGGATCGTCACCGGGATAAAAGGTCCGACCGTCGGTATTAAACTCGTCGCTGAACACGAGCTGAAGCTCCTGCGTCGGGTCGTGGAAGCCATATATCTTGTGTAACTCCTGCCGCCGGCGTCAAACCCGTCACCCACAGAAATTAGATACCGCGCGCAGACAAACCTTGGGTGTCTCCAAATCAATCAACCCAAAGTTCCCGATGCTCGGGACCTGCCCGGTCCCATTTACCACGTTCGCCGAAATCGTATTCGTGGTATGCTTCTGCGTGAAATGCTGCGCCACGGGATACCCTAGACTGCGCAAACGCGTTAGCTTCCTCATTCCCAGCGCGTAGGATAGAAAGACACTCACAAAAGCGCGACGATTCCTGCACCGAGGATGAACAAGCACCCTATGTTTTCCATTCCACGCCCGGTGAATATCGTCCCGCTCTTCCCGCGGTCGAGCCGAGGGTCGGGCGTGTGCAGCGCGTCGTCCGGTTCCGGACGCGTCAAATCCGAGTCCCACATCGTCGGGTCCGCCGCGAGGTGGAACTGCAAGAGTGGGAGGGAGCACAGTCAGTAAGCTGAGGGGCACAACGCCCGGGCGGCGGGTGACGTATCCCGTAGGCGCCACACACCTTCTCAGATATGGAGTGCGTGTCCGACGACCCGGTCCCGGCAATGCTGCTGGCCCCGCCGAACGAGCGCATGGATGTGCGTCGGCTCGGGGGTCCGCCGGGACCCCCGCCGCCCATCGTGGGGAGGAGGTTCACGTTCGAGCCGGAGGGGGTGGGCGAGAAGGGGTATGGGTTGCGCCCGTGTGCGCCGCCTGGGTCAGACATGGCTGCAGGTAAAGGGAGTTCGAGTGCTGGTGCGTGTGGGCAGTGGGGGCGAGGGACGGGGACAAGGTGGGACAGCGACGACGGAGCAGAAAGAGGGAGAGGGATGAAGGAAGGAAGGCAAAAGGTGGTGACGGCGTGAAGGGTCGCTGTGGTGATCGGATATAATGTACTCGGCAGTAGTGATGCGCCGAAGCTTCTCTTTGAGATATTTTTTTCTTGCAAGTCGCGCTGCGTGCGCACGTCCTTGGAACGCAAGTTTCTGTGCCCGCGAGCTCTAGTTGTTACACTGAAAATCTTCCATCTGTCTCTCTCCGCTGCATTTGGAAGATTCTTGACACGGCACGATGGCCCGACGGCAAAGCCTTGGTGTGTCAATTTCGGCCTTGATCGGATCATGCCGGTATTATGGAGCGGCCGCCGCTAAGCGGTTTTTCTTCATAGCTACTCGTTAGTTGGGGCTCTCCCGTAGCCAGCTCCCTTCACCCTTGTTGACCTCTTGCCCAAGAAAGGGTTTTTCCACACACTTCCTGAGCTGAATTTAGGCTTCTCCACGAAAAACTGCCTCAGGGGCTGTGTCACACTCAACTCGTTGCAGTTCACTGATGCATCCGACCCCACAATTGGCAACGCAGACACATCGAAAGAAACGGAAAGTTGAACAGACTCTCATGTCACCTTTGCGGTCACGGATTGTGCATCTCGTACTTGAGTGGCCTTTCTGGCAAATGGGATCGTCCTCTCGCAGACTATCCCGAATTATGCCTGGGATCACTATCCGAATTTTCAGCCCTGCATTGAAGAGCGCAGGTCTGACTTGGCACAGCTTCTGGTATTGACCAAGATCGACTCGGTCCTCAAAAAAGATACGGCCACGGGCTCGAGATGATGCTGAAGTATGGAGGCCGGGAATTATATGCTGATAAGCGGAGGACATATCACTGATACGCGAAAGTTTGCCGACATGGCATCAATGTCATGATGCGCTCTATGTCATGATGCGCTCTGTCTGGACCCCGAACGCTCGTTAACATGTATGAAAAAGGCCAAGTACATGCACTGTAGAGTAGCGATAGAGCGTAACTACTTACATGAGACTAGACAGTCCAAAAAACTTGCAGTAACCGGAGCATACATGCTGCTCAGGAAACTTCTCGAAGAACCTGCCTGAATTGCCACCACCAAACAGACCACGTTCGAGAGTCCTGATGATCCAGTCAGATATCAAGAGCACGCAGATTGACACAGCAGTGGACTGCGCACGGTGAAGTCATAACCTGCGGATCCGTCAAGAGATTTCCGGAGCCTTGGATAGAGTTAGTATGAAACAGTGAGCCAGATCGAATGAACCGGCCTTGAAGATCAGAAAGAAAGACCAAACGCCCGGTGTGTTCGTATTGGACATGTTGTGTAAAACAGAGGAACGATGCCAACAGCTTGAGATCTTCTGGAAGCGACGGAACGGGCACTGCACTATTGTTATTGATGTACTTCACAAACTTGCCTGAAATTCAGTGAGCAATATACTCGAGTCGTTGCAGAGAACAAACCCGTTCCAATTAATTCTTCAATGAGATATGATCGTCGGAGTGATGTCATCATTTTGCTCGACTTGCCATCTGCCGCCGCATTGTGAACCAGAGCAACGCCGGCCTCGACGAAGCGGACTTCAAAGATAGGGAGGTCGCCTGGTGGCGCGACATGCTTTGATATGTAGTTACGCACGAAAGAATAAACGAAACTGAGAAGGGTAGTGCCCCAGAATAGGAGATTTGCCTCCGATACATGGTGCGCATATTCATCGATGGGGTTGAAGCGGATCAAGACGGTATTCTTGTTGTTCTTGAACATGCGTTTCGCGGCAACGGCTTGATTTGGAAGCGCTCCGAGGGGTGTGGTCGGCAAAGTGGACAGCGTCAGAAACGCAGAATGAGCAGATTTGAACGAACCGATCCCCAGAGGCTTCTCCGAAGGCTGGAGCGACAGAGTACCGGCTTCCGCCTTCGCAATATCGCAGACAAATTTTTGTCCGCCATTTGCGAGGAGATTATTGAGATCGGAGGTCCCAGTGATACGGAAGAATTGGATTATCTCCGTTGTGTGCAAGGCTGCATAGAGATTAGATCTGAATACTTAAGTTTCATAGTAAGACGCACCTCTCGCAATGTTGGGAAAGGAGCCGCCTATACTGAGTGCCTTTCGAAGACGTTGCTGGTCAACCGGATGATAATCGTCGATTGGACTAGCAGCACGCTTTTTCGAAGTCGCTATCTTGCTACTGGATTCCTATTCCATGTATGTATCGAGTCAGCGACAAAACATGAGAAGGGTAAACGAACACACCTGAGACGAAATTTCTCTCGTGCCAGAGCTTGGAAGCGGCGACTCTGGCAGCGCTTGATCTGGCTGAGTAAAGTCCTGCAAGCTTGGCGCCGATCGAGAGGGTCGAACGGAGCTGAACGAACTGGCAGTGGCAGTCTGCTGGATAAATAATCAAACAGATACAAGAATCAAGATAGAAGCGCTCACCTTGCTCTTTGTTTTTGAGCGTGTCAAACACCCGTTACTCGGTTCCTTAGTAGTCTCCGCGGCCGACAGGACTGTCAATTTGAGGGCCGAAGGCTCAGGGGCACGCTGTACCATGTGCGAGCGTAGCGCAGATGAGACGGTATCGGCATTATCCTTTCAGAAAGTCAGTCGTGCCAAATACCGGAGAGTACTAGTATACGCACCTGAATAGAGAGTGTGTCCAGCTCCCGGGCATCACGGTAATTTTCATATCTGAGCCATTCTTTGGCGTCGATGACAAGTGCAAATTGAAAGGGCTTTCTCGGTCGCTGAAACACGAGTTGGCCCTTGTCGGCACGAGCCTTTGATGTCTTGAGGCAACGCTCATAGAGCACGCTGGATCCTGGGAGCTCCGCGTGGACATTGATCCACGTTTCAGTATCGCGTACTAAAAAATTAGACTCATCAAATACAAATTGAGAGTCAGTTTCCTGAGCGATGGCTTGACGAAGCTTGGGCGCCACGTTATCAAACACGGCTGTGATAATTTCGCTTGCGGTAATTGTTGCAGGGACATTCTTGCCCTCGTGAATCGTCTGGAAGCACAAATTCGTGACAAAAAATGATACACGTCACCGTAACATACCCCAAAGACTTGCCCAGTAGGTCGACCACGAGTCTCATAGCGGACACCAATGTTCAGGGTGATCCACTGCGGCGACATCCCAGTATACGCTGATTTGGTAAAAGCCCCGCGTGCCGCGGCATACTGAGAGTGAGCAGCAGAATAGCCTTGGCTTGAATATTGCCCCGGATTAATTGGTGCACTGGACGATCCGGAACTTGATATCGGTTGGTTTGGAAGCGAAACACGAGGACCTTAAGAATTCAGATATTAAATTTGAGCAGATCATGATGTACGTGCCTGTGGATCGCTGTGGGATCTCAAGGGGCGGTCCCATTAGACCCGATGGAATGGCCGCAATCCGGCCTCCACGAGATGCGTCTGCGAATGCTCAGTCAGAAGCAGGGTATAGAACAAAAATAACATACCTCCAACGCGTCCTTGGATGTTCCTCTGCCGGATAGATTCTTTCTCGCCTTCCAGATCGCCCCGGAACGTTGCTGCACAGATTGTGATTGATAAATTGCATCAGTTTTAGCATCTAAACGTACCTCGGACCGAGCTCGAGGCTTTCCTTGCGTAATGCGCATGGCAAGCTGCACACACAAGCCTGCCACCGGAGACAGCAGAAAGGTTCTCCACCCGGAAGCGAGGCTGACCGGGCAAGATCAGCAAGCCCTTTGTGAGATCAGAACGGTCGCGAGTGTAGCATCGGGCTCCAGTCTGGCACACAACGGGCTCCTGATCAGAACTATCATCGGTGAAGTTGGCAAAGAGGGTTGATCCAGACATGATCAGAGCACCAGTAGGCGACGATTAAGTCCCATTTTGTGAGACGCTTTTAAGGCCTTTGAGCGTCAGCAATTAGTAGTGGGTCGACAATCTCGGCTGTGTTGCCAGAGTGCTCCCCCAGGCTCGGTAAGACTGCCTCGGTCTCAGTAAATTTCACGGTGTGTCATGGATCCTCAGTTCTTAATCAACGTGTTTGGTGGAATGGATGTAGCGCCTTAAGCATGTGCCCGGCCGCACTAGGGCTCCGCCAATTACTGGGCTGTTAAACCCTTGAATTTTCCGCGGTGGTATGCAACGAGCACAGCAAGCGCTCAACATGTGCGATTTCAGTGTTGATGCTGATGTTGAATTTATTACTGCCGCCCTGCGTGTTCTCAAGCGAGGCCCTCGTTGAGAAACAACGACTCACCAAAGTACATGCCTGGGAAGTTGCACTACCGGACAAGGAGAATAATTATATCAATTGGGATCCGATCCGAAATGATATCTAGGTTTGTAAAAAGTCCTTCGGTTATCAACATTAACATTATCAACATGAGTTGAAAATAACTCCGATCAGCAACGTTTTTGTTTACCCTGACTTTCTAAGTACATGCATATGCCTTCCACTCCGTACTACCGCCGTACCCAGCTCGTTGATCGTGTTCTCAGATCGCCACTATAAAGTGAGTCCTGGCTTATTCGCACTCCAACAGAAGCTCCTCCTCGGTTCTTTTGTGCCACCAGCGGTCTCATAACTCTCTGAATGCCCAATCAGTACAAGCCCGTTCGTACGTGTTACACTTCCAACTGTTTCACCTTGCCCTTGCTCTGGAACGTTCACAGCTAATGCTGAAGACCTCCGTCCTTTCATCGAGAAGTACTGGAAGCAGAACAAGAAGGATGTCGAGATCGTCGAGCTGCTCAAGAAGTATCACATCGATCTCAACAAATACGGCCTCGAGTGCGTGTATATTTGTGTCTTCATTGTGCAGGCTACTAACCGCTCTCAATTAGAGTTCAAACATTTAGAAAAATTCGCGAGAAGCTTGGTTTCATACGCACGCGGCGTCAAGGCCACACCGTGGACACAATTGGGGTATTTATTGTCAAACTCCGTCCGATCTATCCCAAGGCTGGCGGACGGGAGATGGTTAGCTTGCTATTACACGAGGAGAATGTGCGCGTGTCCCGGTGTGTGATCCCTCCAATTGTGTTCTCATACGCTCACATAGGTATGTTTCTAGCGAGACTGTAATGCGCTATTTTCACACTCATGAGCCCGATCTTGTTCGTGAGCGCCGACGTGGACACTTCAAGCGCAAGCAGTTCTGGGCAGCGGGTGCCAACGATATATGGGCTGTAGATCAGCACGACAAATGGAAGTATAAATTCGGTTTAGCGCTACACACTGGGATTGACCCATTTCTCGGCATGATTCATTGGTTGAAGATTTGGTGGAACAACAGCAATCCCCGCCTTATATTCAGCTATTATCTGGAAACCGTGGAACGGCTTGGGGGTATGTGCAGTATTGATCTCTTCGGACTTATATTCACGACGTTTTTATCGCAGTCATCCCACTTGTGACCCAGAGCGATCCTGGGTCAGAGAACGTGGGGATTGCGAATGGACACACACAGCTGCGTCACTATCAGGACCCCTCACTTATCGGCACCTCTCAGCACCGTTGGATGCGAAAGAAGAAGAACATCATGCCGGAAATCACATGGAGTCAGATGCGGCGTCGATTCACTCCTGGCTTTGAAGACATCCTCGACGTTGGTGTAAACGAGGGCTGGTACAATCCGGGAGTTCTACTCGAAGCGTGTGTATCTTCCTTACTTTCAAAGCGATCTTCGACTTCTGAATCACAGCGCAGCTTAGTCTTCCGTTGGGTATTCATCCCGTGGCTTCAGGGCGAGCTCGAGCTGTATCGGCATCGCGTGAACAATACCGCAAAGCGCTGTGATCGTAACAAGATCCTTCCTCACGGTGTTCCGACTAGCATGTTTGAGTTCCCAGAGGATTACGCCATCCTCGATTTCAAGGTACGAGTCCAATTTCATCAAGTACAAGCCACTAACTACTAGTCCCTTACAGATCAAGGTCGATCCTATCGGTATTGAAAAAGTCCGACAGATGTACGCACCACCTGATCATGACGTCTTTCTCCTTGTTCCCCCTGACTTCGAGATCGCGATCTTGGATATCTATGCAAAGCTTAATAGCCCTATTGTGGACCGGGACTCATGTTGGGATGTATATCTCCAGCTCCTGAATTGCCTCAAGGAGTTGGATCAGCTCAACGATATCGATCAGAGTGCCGATGCAAGGTGGGGGCATGTGCTGACCCAGCCGGTCGATGAAAACATTCCCCTTCTCCCAAACTTGCAGGAACTGCGGGGCGGTGAGGGGGTCGTCGGAGAGGGTGCTTATTATATGGGTGGAGTCAACAATGGGGATGGTCTCGGTATGTTCCATTACTTGGGAACCTTACTGTTCACTGACTCGTCTCCTTTTGGAGGTCCTGAACATCACGCATGTCTGAACGCAATGATCAACGATATCGAGCCCGAAGTGGATCCCATGCCCAACTCCCAGTTACCGGATGACGCTCACGCATTGTACGCATGGTTCTCGGACGAAGAAGACTCTCAGGATTTCAATGATCATTGGTAGTACATACATGCTGACGAGCAGTGATGCGCCCTAGCCCTGAAATCAATCGATCACGTGCACGAAAAGATCCAATGGATTTGTCAGCGAGCTCGTCAAGGTTGTTGCACGTGATCATTTGATCAATCTATCACGTGCACTGAAAGATCTCAATGGATTTGTCAGCGAGCTCATCAAGGTTGTTGCACGTGATCATTCTGATCATCACTAACGAGCGTTCGGGGTCCAGACAGAGCGCATCATGACATAGAGCGCATCATGACATTGATGCCATGTCGGCAAACTTTCGCGTATCAGTGATATGTCCTCCGCTTATCAGCATATAATTCCCGGCCTCCATACTCGAGATGATGCTGAAGAGCAGTCCAGAGTATCACCCATCAGTTAGGAGGATACTGCAGTAGCAGCTGGGTTCGTATCGTGCCCGGGATCTCGTGTTTTTTCTTTGCGGGCACTTCGACTGGTGCTTGGAACAACCGCTGCGATTCTACACTTCGTCTTTTGAATTCGCCTCCACTGTCTACCCATCCTTTCCGAGATCTTATGCATTTCTTCCAAAACGCTGAGTCTCATGGGCTTTGCCCTCCTCGCTAACCCGGAAGCTACGCTGTTTGGAGCGACGAAATTAGCACATCTCGCAATTCTCAAGATACCTGATCCAAATCCCGCGCTGAAGATCTAAACCGACTGCTATCGAAGCATGATCATCTGAATCTAAATACATCGATCGTGCGAAAATGACACGCGCCCGCGTTCGCTCCACCAAGTCAACACTCCACTGGGTATCCTCCCAGATTGATCACTCTGCACCTCTCGCGTCTCATCCAGCGGTAGATCCCTCCAGCGGCGGTCGTCAAACGGGATGCGGAGAGGCGATGTTACCCGCGCGATACGGGGCGGTTCAGCAAATGCTTGCCGGGAGCGGGTTCTCACACGGGTTCTCTGTAGGTACGAGATGCCGTTCGTGGTTCCATACTACGACGGGGCCCCGAGAATCTCTGATTGATTGACGCAAGTGAATGAATTACGAATGCAAACTACTACTGCAAATGTAAATATACGACGACGACGGTGAATGAACTAAACTGTCACAGAAGCACAATCCTTTTGAGGGCACATCCGCTCGCTCTCTCATGCAGTCTCATCAAAGAGATTAAAACAACATGAATCCACCAGTCGCGAACACGACCAGCAGCGCCAGAGCCTGCGCCGATCCTCCGAGGGACGCAGCGCCGGCCGCTCCGGATGTCGGACTGGCGCTGGCACTGGCACTGGCGCTGCCGCTCGCCGCCGAGCTGGCACCGGGCGCCGTAGCGCTAGCGGCGGCCGCAGAGCCCGTGAGTGTGCCGGGAGCGAGCGTAGCGGCGCTGGGGAGGACCGGCACGGCCGAGGCCGAGGCGCCGACTCCGACGAGGCCGCCTTGCGCTTGCTGCAGGAGGTGATCAGCTGATCTGGTCTCCAAGATGCTTGGACATGAAAAAGGCGTACACCGGGCGTGGCAGTGAAGGCGACCGCGTTGGCCTTGAAAGAGGAGTACGTGTTGCCGGAAGCAGGTGCGTTGATCGAGCCGACCATGCCTGGAAATTCGATATCTCAGCCTTGCGTCCTGAACGACACCAGAACAGAACACGCACCGGCTTTGCAGTGCGGACTCGGCTTGAGCTGCTTGCAGTAGAACCAGATCGCTGTGGGAAAAGCGGCATCAGTTATGGATTGAACGGACATGCGGAATGGAACCAAATCCCCACGTTTTGAGTCATCCGTAATAGTCAGCTCCCACGTAGGCGACTGCGCGGCCGTCACGCTCGTGCTGTTCAGGAAGATCCAGCCCGAGTCAAATCCGCCGCTGAGCGGGTTGCACGGGTCCGCAAAGGAGGATTGGGTCACGCTGTGGTTTCCCGGGCTACCGATCGTGGCGCGTCAGAATCGGCTTCGAACTCTGCACCACCAGCAGACGCCTACGCACTTGCCGGTGAACTGGAACGTCACGACCGAGCCGTTCGTGGCGGTGATGCTCGACGGGATGAACTGGAACACGCCGCCGGCCAGCGTAGCAGTGCCTCCGACCTGGACGGTCACAGTCTTCGAGACAGGTGAGACATATGAGCGACGCCACCGGTGAAAACGAACCTGGTTCTGCGCGGCGACGTACAGGGCCGAGGCAAGGAGCGCAAGAGCGGTTTTCGCGAACTGCATGGTCGGTTGAGAAGGAGAAAGGAGAGGTAGTTGGACTGTGGGAGCTCGAGACGTACTTATATACACTACCCTTACCCCGTGGGTAAAGACTGTGCGAAGATCGCCTACCACTTGGCTGCCCCACCAATTCCCGAAAACCTCACACGCTGCGCAGCGCAATAAAGATGCCTACTCTCTCTCGCCCGGGCTGATCATCACAAATCCAACTCCGTGGGTCTAATGCGAAACAAGTCCGAAGGCTCGATCGGGCATGTGGACTTGGGGAATATTCCAAGCAGAAATGCCGCTTCTTTGTCCTCGGGTCTGAGGGCTGTGCTGTGTCTTCGGTCGTCGTCAAGAAGCTAGATTGAGATGCAGGCAGGCACTGAATCAGACCTGTAAACACGAAATTACGATCCCTTTCACACGTCGAGGCGGAATTTGTGCGCTGGTTCACCGTCGGCGCTGTCCCCAGGGTCCTAACCCTCTAAGAGATAATCGTCCGCGTCGCACCAAGAGCCGACGTCGAGTAGTAGGAGCTGCAAATGACAGTTCTCATGTGGAAGCGCACATTAGCGTGGTAGCTAGAGGAGAAGGCCGACTCGTTGCCGGTGCTTGCCGGTGCTTGGCGTGAAACGGCGAGGCGTGATGGGTCGGGTTGTCGGCCGATGACTCTGCGACAGGCTGGGGGCGCTGGATCAGCGCGGTCTGAGCACACACGGGACACCTTATCGAAACGCTCGGCCTATTGAGCTCTCCAGCTTTCCTCCGATAAGAGGATGCACGTGTCCGACGTCATTCTGAATGGTTGAAATAATCAGCTCACGCGTGACGTAAGCGCGATTTCGAATGAGATGTCACGCAACATATTAGAGCTGTCCAGCAGAACACTTGGAGCTCTTTTCTTATTGAGATCTTATCCAAATTTGTTAGAGGCTAATCGAAATATAAATGAGAAACGACCTCCAAGGTTGTGCTCCACCGCGATCATGTGACACCCCGAACACGGAACACAGGCCTGAAGCGACTCTCACGCACTTCTCCTCCGCTACATGGAGCCACCAGTGGGGTCGTTCTACATCTCCCTACGTCACAATGATGCGCATTGGAGCGGTCCCAGAAGTACGGGTGTGCAAGCGTAAGGTCAAGAGGCAGTCGACAAACTTGACAGTGCAGAGTGCCCTGTCCACATGTGTCTTCCGGGTCAGAACGTTGATCGCACGGACCGCGAATTGCCAATTTTGGACACAATTTCGGAGGCTCCTTGTCCCAATTCAGTTTACTCATAGCTCCACTAAACAGATTTCAGTGAGCAAAAAATGCTCCACAACGAGATTCTTCTTATAAAAAAAAATCGTTTTTAGCTTCTGCTGGACAGCTCTATTAAGGTAAAGAATATTTCTTCAGCATGTATTGGAAGAGAGGCCGGCTCCGTTGAATCTCTGAGCGAGTTCTTTTTCTGAATTCCATGTAACAAAAATTGGCTGCACAGCCTAAATATCCTGTGAAACAGTTCGCCTCTTTTCATTCATGATAACTAGGTGAGAGGAAGGATAATTGATCGATACATTGCCGAAACATCGGTGGATACGTCTGAATGACTAGGGACGCGCGGCACCATCGACACTCAACACAGCGTCCGTCTTTTAGAATGTGGAAAACGGGCTCGAACGGGGTGCCGCTTCAAAGATAGATATTGCTATGATTCTGAGGCTTCTAAAATGACGGACGTATCGCTGAGTTCAATCAGCACTCAAATCGATGAAAAAAATGCATTCCAAGAAGCGCAGGTAATGTGCCATATCCTTTAGATCATCTCTTGATGCTTTCACAACAGAATTCCGTGACACCCTCGGCATACCTATGTATCTGGCTCTCGTCCTCTACTCGGGAAAGAAATGGTGCAGAAGCTTGAATGCTTCGAAGAAAGAATGCAGATCGTTGGGATACTGAGTCAGGGAAGAATTTTGGGCCGTCGCGAATGGATTCATGGTTACAATGTAGCTCCGTCCAAAGTCGTCAGCTATTGTGGCGAGTCTTTGGGGAACCTCGATGACAGCTGGATATGCTTTCTCCGCTTTCTCCACAGCGCTGAGCCACAGATCACGCGCCACAGATTCCGTCAAGGCCCACTTTTTACCCTCAGGAAAGGGAAGGTCGTTTGGAGGCTTTGCACGCCAGGCCGACCATCCGAGAGCGAGTGACATGTATCCCATGAGAATGCGCTGGACGTGGATCGGATCCAGTCCCACTTGATCGATCCGGAGCGGCTTGGGGTTGATCAGCATGGTCTGAGGCTCGACGCAAGATTGGCGGATGAAGATCATGTATAGTCTGACTAAGCTCTCCCTGTCGCCGACACGCTCGGCAGCAGAGATCGCTTCAACACAACTCGGTACTGACGTCTTTTCTTGCAAAGACTCTATCCACATGTTCATGATTCTCGATCGCCTTGGAGAGTCGTCCATGCGTTCGAACAAAGTATGCAGGCGAGAGAGTGGAAGCTTGCCAGAATCCTTCTTTCTCGCCGGCTTCAGTCGATAGTCGATGACCGAGAGTGACCACTCCCTCCATGCATCGAGCTCGTACTTGTGCGCAAACGCAGCAAGCGGGATAACCTCTGCGATCACATCCGAGGGGAGTGTGTTGACATTCAGCGCGAGGGGGCTAAAGTATCATCACGATTGAATCGCGACGGATGCAAATATCACAACAGCGACGCACCGAGAGTACATCCACTTCAGCACCATGCGAAATTCGTCCGCACTGTAACCCTCCAGAACCAGCGGGGCTCCGTCGCAGGAGCCCTCTGCAGCAGCGCCGGGGCCCACGGGGAGCGTAAACATGCTGCGGAAAATTGCAGAGTCTCGGAAGATGAAGCGATGGACCTATCCTGATTCAACCCACATATACTTCTTGACGACGAAGAATGCTGCACATACATTGAAGAGCGTTGATTCCGCTCTAATAACAAGGTCGCCGTCATCGTGGTAGTGCTCTGAGTCTCTTGAAACCCCATCAGCGGGGCTTTCGGTTTCCATCCTACCTTGGATGAGGGTCGGAAGCGGAGAAGAGGAAAGATGTGATCTCCGGCACATGCACCCACGTGAGGCACAAACGTCATTGACTCTCGGTAGTTGCCGGTTTGAATGATCCTTTCTCTGATTGGACGTTGAAAGGACTCGATTTTCAGGTGGACCACGGACATTTCTATTTTGCCCTTGAAGTGACACAGGCCCAGGCGATATAATGAGGTGAAAATTTGAGATCGTTTATGTCCATGCGTGAGTGGAGGAGAACCGCCAGTAGATATTCCAGTAACGATCACGTATCCGAAGAAATCAAACGCCGGGAAATTAGAAGATAGCAACTGCAGATCAGCAGGGAGAAAATAATATGGTCTGTATTACGCCAAGTGATGTATCTACCGACTCAAGAAGCTCTAAAGAACACCGTTTTACACAAAGCAGTACCATCGGTGCTCGGAAGTTATTGCCGTGCAGAGACATAGTCTCATGACTGACTGAACGATACTTTTGTCGCCAGAAATAGAGCGTAAATTTGATTATAGTGAGAGTAAGCTCATATCATCAAATTAGACATTGCCATTGGGTGTTTTTTTACAGGGCACGTCCATTGGGCCAACTCAGTTCAGCAGAAGAAATGATCCGCCAGCCGAAAACCATCCAATTTCGCGCACACATCTGCGATATACAAGCTTGAGGACGGCGAGACTGTCTTGTACCCAGCATGGCTGTGTGAATACGGCGTGCGTATGAGCTCAGTCATACTTTCTGTCAAATGATGCTTCATCATGAAGATGCGTTGCGGAATATCAATCGTGTCAGGGCATGTCGACTCCGCTGCCTCCACTGCCTTAAGCCATGCGGAATTGAACGCAGCGTCCGAAATCGCCCAGTTGGCGCTCGACGGCGGCGAGGGAAGCTTGATACCGGGACTCACGCGCCAACTCGACCATCCGAGCGCCAGGGACATGTGCCCGGTTAGAATCCGCTGCACGTGGATCTCAGCGAGACCACCCCCTGCGTTGATTTCCAACGCGGCGGGTTTCAGGAGTGTCACGCTCGAAGTTGGACAGAAACGTCGGATGTACAGCGTGTAGAGATTCGCCAAGTGATTCTTTTCGCCATGGGTTTCCGCTGCATCGATGGCGTCGATGATGTCCGATTTGGTGCCTAGTGCCTTCACAAGCGACCAGACCCAGAGCCGCATGACCGTTTTCCGTTTTTGAGGGTCACTGATTTGCTCGTAGAGTGCGTGGAGCAGGGAGAAGTGAGTCGGCATCAAAAATGTTTCTTCAGTGACGCAGAGATCAAGGAAGGCCAGGGCCCAGGTCTTCCACATCTCGAGCTCGTATTTGTGCGCGAACGCTGCGAGTGGGACAATATCAACGATGGCACTGACGGGCAAGCAGTGGATATTCAGCTCCAGCGGACTGCGTGCGCAGTCAAACAACACGATGCATACACAAGCCAAGTCAACACGCACGGGGAGTACATCCATTTCAGGATCGCACGAAACTCCTGAGCAGTGTGGCCCTCCAGCACGAGCCGGAACTCTTCGCACAGGCCGTCAGGCAGTTGCTCCGGTCCCACAGGGCGCGAGAACACGCTTTGGAAGACGGCCGATTCGCGCAGAAGAAAACGGTGGATCTAGACGTCCAGAAAATGGAGGAAGCGCGTGTCGGTGTGAAAGAACAGCAACACGTGGTATTAGGGCCTTACATTGAAGAGTGTTGACTCGACTCTGACGACCAGATCACCATCCTCATGATAGTATTTCACGTCCTTGCGCACTGGGCCGCCGAGATTTCCGACCATGGTCGAGCGTTCTTGGAAGTTATCACCGGCTCGCAGGTCCCTTCGTGATAGAGCAGGACAAAAACACGGCTGTGTCAGCATCAAGATATCATTCGCACGGCCGGCCGGCCAGCCGATGTCGGGCACGTGAGAATTCATTCAACCGTGCCGTCGCTCTTGGGTTGACATTCAGCGCGAGGGGGCTGAAGTATCATCACGATTGAATCGCGACGGATGCAAATATCACAACAGCGACGCACCGAGAGTACATCCACTTCAGCACCATGCGAAATTCGGCCGCGCAGTAATACTCCAGAACCAGCGGAGATCCGTCGCAAGAGCCTTCTGCAGCAGCGCCGGGGCCCCGGGAAGCGTAAACATGCTGCGAAAAATTGCAGATTCCCGAAAGATGAAGCGATGGACCTGTCCCCATTGAATACACACTTATTTTCCTTCCACTCTGATAACAATGTCACCGTCATCGTGGTAGTGCTTGGAGTCTCTTGCAAACTGATCAGCAGGGTCTTCGATTTCCATTCTGGTCTCAATGAAAGCCGGAAAGGGAGAAGAGGAAAGAATGTGTTCGTGATCTTCGGCACATGCACCACGTGAGGGGGTGCCCTGAGACTACTAACGTCATTGACTCTCGGAAGTTGCCGGTTCGAATGATACTTTCTTTGATTGTCCGTTGAAAGGACTGGATTTCCACGTCGACAACGTAAATTTCCATTTCGCCCTGCGGAGATATCGGCATAGTCTATACGACTGAAGAGGAAACTTTGGATCGTGTTCTGTCCGTGCATGGGTGGAGTAAAAGCATCAGAAACATTAGAGGAAAGTCCGTGGGACCAACAGACAAAAATGTCAAGTAATTAGAGGGTAGCAACTGCATGAGAAGATATGAAGGATGAAATGGTCCGACTGGTCTAGTAATGTGTTGACTAACTTACGAAGCTCTACAAGGAGAGTTTCGCCGTTCCAAATTAAGTAGTGATTGAATCAGTGCTTGCCCGTGATTGTTATTGTTGTGCGGAGACATAATCTTATGACTGGCTGGGGATACATCGCGGGGGGACTGCTTTTTTTCTGTGGAAAATGCGTGACAATCTGGAAGTCCAATTTTCACTGTTATGTTATCAGACGAAAAATATATATTGAAAATAGACGTCGATTTACAGCTCAATTTTTACCATGAATAGACATCTATTCCTCCCGAAAACAGAACTGTAAATAGATCATTTTTGATTGATTGATTCTCACTGGGAATAGACGTCGATCTTCACTGAAAAAGGAAACAAAAAAAGATGATCTTTTCTCACTGAAAACAGATCAAAATCACTGGAAGAATCTGTTGATCCTGGCCCCAAATTGCATCTCTGGCCTTGCAAAAGGCTACTGGATGCTACTCACAACATGTTGGAATCATGCTGTAGGGCTTGTGAATTTCCACCCCTCACCGTTCTGAAAATCAAGGCTATTCATACCCGATTCCGTGACAATGTGCTTTCTGGACAGTTCTGATACCGCATTCCATGTTTGCGCTCTTCCCTTCCGCGCTCTTCCCTTCCTGCACTGCATCCGCTTACATTATCCATTGAGAATCCTGCCAGTCCCATTGTTCCGTTGTTATCAAGTACCTACTGTCCGCATAACTGTAATCTGCCTTCACCTGTCTGTATCGAAAAGGTCCGTTCATCGTAGTCAAGAGTCCATAGCATGTGGTCAGTCCATATCCGTAGTCCATCCGAGCATGTAATGAGTAATGAGTCTATCCGAGCATACAACCAGTCCATCTGAGCAATTGGTACATCTGTATCCCAATGCATTCCAAATCTCCTGCATGACCTCAAACAACAAATCCTGCATGCGCGAACCACCCTCTCGCCTTCTCCGGAGTGATACAGGAGCATGCCTCGAGGATGGCAAGGAGAGGATCCTCCGCAAGACCGATTTCTGCTTGGTGACGGCGCATATATGCTTTCACTGGAAGGATGTGAGGGACAGCTGGCACTGGAAGGGAGTGTCACACAAGCGCTGAATGCTTCCTCGATTGGGTTGAAATCCGGAGAGTATGGTGGCAGGAAGAGAAGCAGGCATCCTTTCAGCTCGCGTTGGGAGAACATACGGTCGGCTGAGCTGTGGAAACGCACCAGCGTCTCGCACCAAATCCTCCAATTCCTCCGTGTGGTGGATGCTGCAGTTATCGAGGACGAGAACACTGTGCTCTGTACCAGGGCTGTATGGGTTCATGTTGGGCAGCTCCGAAGAATGAGAATGAGTATGAGGGAATGGATAAGCACGCACGACAGACTGGGCAATGAACTGCACAAAGAGATCCCCGTCAAACGAACCCTCCACCGCATCCACCGCCATGAGTCCTTCGGTAGTCAGCGCAGCAACAATGGAATAGCGTCGACCGCGCACAAACGGCGCCTCAATTGTCGCTCTCGTACCCAACTTGGATCGGCCGTACCTGCGCTGGATGGTATGCTCGTTCTTGTGGGTCTCGTCCACCGTCACAAAGTACGAGGCTTGGTCATCGAAGTTATTGTGTATGCATTCCCTCCAGGTGCACCGACGCTCGTTGTCACGCTCCCGTGCAATTTTATGAAGTAGCTTCCGTGTGAGGCCTTCCTTCTCAAGTGTGCTTTGAAGCGAAGAAATGGAGATGGCGACATCGTGCTTGACTGCCAGATAGAACTGGAGTTCTTCGAGGTACATGTCGGGGGATTGCTTGTAGAGGCTGTGGATTACATCCATGATATTCCGATTGATAGCACTGCGTCGACCGCCGTTGCACGCATGCGGATTTGTGGCTGTTCCAATCGATTCAAAAGTCTTCTCCCAACGATAGATGCTTGCACGCGAGACACCCATGGCACTCGCCACATCCTCCGTCGACCAGCCCAGCTCCTTAAACCTCAGCGCCAATTCTCGGTATTGGTTGGTGTACAATTTGTTGCCCATGTGGAAGACGTCAAGTGAGGGAGATGATGACAGGTGTCTATCAAATGGCAGATGACACCGCCCAGCCGACTTCTCGCCACGAGCTTGGCCTGCATTTCGCGTTGAGACACCGTGTGGGAGTAGCTGTATCTACTATATCTTTGAAATTAAATTCATAATGTACTCTGGACGCCCAGAACGCGCCAGGGAGCTCTCCCGTTGAAAATTTCCTGTTTGGGAAGACGTAAAATAAAAATCACTGATCTCATTAGTTTCCGGAACAGCTGTAACAACCTTCAACTTGCTTGCAGGATCACATTTGGCGCAAATAGTTGTATAGCATAAATAAGGTAAAGACTCTAGACAGATTTTATATAAGACGACATCTAGTGCTATGTGATCATACATGCGGAGTACGAGATAGGTATTCAAGCCTTGGTCTTGGTCTTCTTTGGCCAACGGGAATTCTGCCTGTCCATCGAACGAGCCAAGCCCTCAAGCATCCAGGTGACATCAGCAACTTTTGTCAGCCACTCGTCGTATAGCGTGGACTCCTCGTTGATTGACACACCCAAAATGGCTAATCCCGCAACAACAGTGATGCACCCATTAGGTCCCGGACAATCAATGGGATCCCACTCGGTATCCTTACCGTACCGGGCATCACCTCCGCTCACCAGCGTCCCATTCGAATCCCTCATACGCCATTCCGGCTGCAGTACATTCCACCACTTGTGGAATGTCTCCTGGAACCGCTTTGCGCTGCGCTGGACTTTAACCACAAAGGTCTTGCTCTTCATCCAGTCTTCGACAGCCTTGGGACGATGCTTTGTTGGCACTTCTGAGTGGAAATCCGAATCGAAACCTAGATTGGTCTCTAGCCGTACCAACGTCTGCAGGAGTGCATCGAAGTGCACACCGAGCAACGTCTTGGCAAGAGCATTGACACGCGTCTTGAGCCAGTCTGGGGCATCGGGTGGGAACTGAAGGTCGAGCGAGGCGGTCCGAGTGACTAGGGTTTGGTCCACGACAATGGCTGGGGTGATTGCGCGCAAATTGAGAGGGGGCGTGTGAGGCGTGGTGCGAGGCGAGTCAAAAGGAGGAGATCTACGCGTATTGGCAGGGGGTACGACTTCACGTATGGGAGATGGCGACTGCATGTGCATAGAGCGAGAAGGAGAGATGGAGGGAGGAGTGTCAGATCTGGGGGCAGTTCCTTCTCTCAACGCTGGTGCAGCCGTCGTGGATGCAGGCTCCGTCGTGGATGCAGGCTCTGCATATGCGGCCTGGGAACGGCGAGGGCGCTTTGCAGCACCAGCAGCCCTTGACAATGCGCTGTCCAGCTGGCGAGTGCGCTTCTTTGGCGCAGGCCGCGAAGACTGCGTTGGCTTTGCCATGAGTGCCTGCATATCATTCCTGAGTTTCATGCGCTCCATAACAATCTTGTTCACGGCCATCCGGAATATGCGTCGGTTAGTGTCAGTCACGAGGTCGACCGGGGAAACGGTGTCCATTCTCACGTTGTCGTAGTTGTCGAGGAGCGCCGTCTGAATGACCTTGCGCACAAACGGGGCTGTCCATCTATCGGTGTATTGATCAATGTCATGGTGGCTGGGAGCCGCATCCCTCCCCTCTGCCTCTGCCCGCAAACCCGATGCGCCAGAACTCTCGCCCAGGCCGCTCGAGCCTGCCACGCCATCTGTGCTTGGCAGGGACACCTCGCAATGAGACTGGTTTTGTGTTTCCTGAGTGCTGTCCAAATCCAAATCCGAGTTCGAGTCAGAGTCCGAGTCTGAGTTATCTGAGTCGGTCTCGGAATCGGTGCCCTCCTGCTCATCGGCTTTCAGAGCTGCATCCACGTCGGGGTCGATGCGGTATGCTGCGGTTGCCAGGTCATCCAGAAGCGCCGCTTCTTCGATATCCTTATCATCTACAGTGAGAATGTCAGCGTCAACGCCAAGCTCATCAGATACATGCACATACCAAAGGCTGCTTTCAGATATTCTCGCACCAGTGAGAGGACCTGCTTCTCCCAGCGTTCACCAGCAAATTCAGGCAGGTGTGTGCCAGCCACAGTTGCACTCCGCCCATACGAGATGCTTCATTATACATCAGTCAAGGTACCAACGAATCGGAGTCCACTCGGACATACTGAATGCTGCGCAACTCGCCGTTGTATTTTGGAATGGGTCCGCCAGCAATTACAGTCGTGTGTAGGCCAGTATACTCGTAAATGCCCTGGAGGATGGGCGCGAAGAACTCGCCCAATGCATCGATTCGTCTTTTCAAGAGTGGGTAAGCATCCAAAGCCAAAGGGCATGTGAGAGCTACACACCTCTGCCGAACTGCTGGATCCTTACATTGACCATTCCTGACCTCATCCTGCTCGCGCTGAGCCGCTTCCTTGGCCTGCTTTGCCTTCTTGCGGTAACCGTCCTGCTCCGCCTTCGACATGGCCTGGAAGAGGGATGATGCGATCTTGGTTTTGAAGTTGATGTCGGGGTTCGGAGTATTTACCGCCTTCCTCCCCGTGGGCATATCCTCCCAAGCCTTGTTGACAATGGGGGCAATGACTGTGTTGTACGCCTCATGCATGAACTGCTGAACACCCGACCGCGCCTTGTTGACCCTCTTTACGCCAGCGAGCTTGAGGAGGAGTGTGTCAAAGATGTCGATGGCAGCGTTGTCCCCCCGTCTCATGCGGCGAGTGCGATACTTCAACCATTGTCGAATCCGCTGGCGACGAGAATGACATGTCAGTGCACAGCACATCAATGATGATGTCACTGGACTTACCCGATTCAGCGTGATTTTGCGTTCGCGTTTGATAACGAGCTCCTCCTCTGTCAAATCCTCGTGTTCCTCTCGTGCTTTGGGATCATACTGGGGAAATGGTAACTGGGGCTCCTCGTCATCGCGCATATGCCATGGGATCTGCGCATGGTACTCCTGACACACGGCTTGAAAGTAAACACGTTCGGCACGGCGACCTCGGGCGAGTGCATCAGCATAGCCGGCCAGATGAGCCTTGAGCAAGACCTCTCGAGCTCCCTGCGCCCAAAACTTGTTGCTTCTTCGCTCCGACTTGGACTTGAGCTTGTGTTTCTTGACACCAACCACTGGCGACATTGTCAGCTTGAGTTTGCTACACAACAGGACAATGGCTTACTTTGTGTCCCAGATAGGTCTGGAGCAAGTGGGTGGAATAGGAATAGACGGAAAAAAGGTATTTGTTACGGGTACGTCCTGCAATGGTGTGATGTGTGTGCTTTGATTTCCCATTTGATTTCCCCTGAATTTTGAGCCACATTGCGATTAGACAGACCCGGCCGGAGCAAAACTTATCGATCCATCAGAGGAGACGCGTGCTCCCACTTATACGGCCTTGGCTTTCATCGCTCAGTATCTTCCCCCCTCTCCCCCCATCATGAAGCTTGATACACTGCCGTTTGATGAAGGTATTGTCGTCCTCTGCTCAATTGACCCAGTCCCATCTAACCCGCGCAAAGTTCACATTTCCCTGAGCAGTGCCAATGAGTCTATGGACAAGCTCATTGCCAGTGTTCTGGCTCTTCGTGACGTCCCGCTCGGCACAGGTGGGCTATATCCTCTTGCTCACCGCCACCGCTGATAGGCTGGCTACCAGACGCGCTCTGCACCAGCTCTGTAAGGGCGTATTTTTGCGCTTTTTACAGAGTTTACTCTTGAACCATTCGGTGTATCGTGTCGCGGTTGACAGTGTTGCGCTCAGTAGGACTTATGGGTCTACTGCCCAGTCGACGACTGTGGATAGTGTCGACGATAGCAAGGCAGTCAGACCACTACTGTGGAACTGGTCTTATGAGTCTACACCAGGCTCAGGGCCATTAGTGACGAACGCTTGGACCGTGACCATTCCCCAAAAAGGGATCTGTCGTTGCGTCGACTTCTCAAAAAGGGTCATTCTCTGCAGATGGGAACTTGGGCTGAAGGGCTGAGCAAGGCGCAACGTCCTCAATAATAGAACTACTACTGGACAGGACTTGGCGTTACGAGACTTAAACCATCTTGTCGCGGCAACTCCCGGTTTTGGGTTGGACGTTTCCTCAGATCATGCCACGGCAACGACTTGTCACATGTCAGGATCCATGCAATCACGGGACATTGTGGACGCATCGCGGTGACACTTCCAAGTGTCACGGCGAGTCGCGCCCATACCCAAACACACTAGAAACCGACACGGCTAGATCCGTGAACCGAACCATGTGGGGGACGACTGGCGTGCCTAGGGCCATACGGCTTCTTGGGGCGCCCACGTTGGTCTCACATGCCAAGACATACCCGTTGGCCAATCCAGCACGTCGTATTCCAAAAGTATGACGCGGTGAGTTGGCCCACATCAAAAGTATCATATGGACAATGGGGCGGGGTCCTGATCACTCAGGACCTGTCCGATCGTTCAACTTTCAATTACCCTAAAAGGCAACCAATCTTAGATAGCGTAGCTACTATGCAGTTGTACAGGACTTTACTAAGCAGCGTCGTAGACAGTATAAGTAGCACGTCGTCTCTTTGTATTAAAAGAAGCTTTCCCCCGGACTGTGAATCACTATCATTTCAGATTGTTTTGTACAATTTGCGTGCCGCGTGATTCCACCCTAAGAAGTTCTGCCATCCCTGCCCGGTCGCAACGAGTTGCTGCCTGAGCACTTGTAGCTACTGTGATTTGAGTTTGAGTTGAGATATCAGAAAGTCGGATTCGCCGCATCTGGTATTGTCGCGGCACTTAGTGTCGTCGCCTTCGGGCTTTGTTGAGATCGTTCCACACCTCTAGCTTGGCAGTGCGTCGACTAGTGGTGCTTGGGTTGTTTTGGTCAGTTGGCAGTGCGTCGACTTGAGAACTTTGGTTCCACACTTCTTGCTTGGCAGTGCGTCGACAAGTTGTGCTCGGGTTTTGGACATTGGATATTGGCTGTTAGTTGGCAGTGCGTCGACGCGGCATTTTGGTTTACTAGTTGGCAGTGCGTCGACTCAGTACTTTTGGTTGTGTCAGTTGGCAGTGCGTCGACTTGACATTCTGGTTCTACTAGTTGGCAGTGCGTCGACTCAGTATATTGGTTGTATCAGTTGGCAGTGCGTCGACTCGGTATTTGGGTTTTGCGTCACCATCGAGACGCTGTCGCTACAAGGGATCTTAATACTTCGTATTAAGTTCTGACTTGTTATATTGTTGGTTGTGGATTGGATTAGTGTTGGTTGTGTTTGTATAGAAGATATTGGTTGAGACACCACTGTTTGCTATATATATATATCCTTGTCGTCGACTTCGTCTTCCGCGACTATTGGATCTGCGTCTATTGAGAGCTGTGATACTGGTGCCCTGTCCACCCCGAAGCCCTCGCATCTTTCACACACTGAGAAGCTGATTACGAGGAGTGTGAACGTGTTTATATTTGGGTTTACTTTCATAGTAGATTCACTTGTGAGCACGCCCTCAGCATTTCACCGCCTCATCCTGAAATCAGTCGAGTCGACGCTGGTCAAGCTTGACTCTGAGATCGCTGCAGCTCGAGCCGCTATGGCCCGGCTCTCTCTTGATATCACGCGGGCAGAGTCTGTGGTGACTGACGAGTTCGTGGCGGTGGCTGCATTGGCAGCTTCTACGGCAGTGGCAACTCCTCCCTCATCTTCCTCAGGTGCGGTGCAATGATCAGGCACTCTTGCTCTGGCTGACACTGTTTCAGGCGCTCCGCAGATCAGCAATACTGCTCCCTGGGTTGCTGGGACGTTCTACTCGGTTGTTCCCCGTGGTGAGCTCCAGCCCATTCACGACAAGGGCGAGAAGTGGTACGCAGTCACTCGTGGCAAGTGGGTTGGTGTCACCAACAACACGGCTCTTGCCGTCAACGCTACTACTGGTCGCTCCGCCGGATTCCAGAAGGGCTACGATAACCAGAGTTTGGCGCTCAGCGCGTTCAACACAGCGCTGGCCATGGAGGCAATTTTGGTGATCTGACAGTACGTCCGAGTCTCTATTCTTGTGCAGGTATCTCACTCATTTGTTTGTCGCGGCCAGGAGTTGATTGGGTCATACACAGTGTGTATGTAGCTATGTACTTACTGTGTATGATCCTAAATGTTGTATCCTGCTTTTTCTCGTGTGTCTGTCTATAATCAAGAATCACGACTCGGCTCATAATCAAGAGTGAAAAACAAGGTGGATAGCAGCCTACTCAACAACAAAATGTTTGTAAAATAAACGGAAAAGTCCTACGACTTTGTACAGCTGGCCAACAATAGCTGCCGCCATGTCTTGGTGACAAAGATCGTCCTGATCCATGTCACGCTGGCAGGAACAATCGGCTAGGAGATCGGGTAGTGCACTGATGCTACATGAAAAAAAGCTGGTGCGTCACGGACAGAGTTACATGCGTAGGCTACGTTCTTCTGCCGCGCGGGCTCTTCGAGCACGAGCCCTGTGCTTGAGCACTACCTGCATCCTGACATGGCACACGCTCATAAGCCCGGAGTCAATGCTCGATGGTGTCCAGGATGACTTACTTTTCACGATAACGTTCGGCTGCCTCCCTCTTCCGCTGCTGGCGTGCTATATGCTCCTGCTCTGGGACCCCAATTCCGTAGTACAGACGTGACATACGCTCACGAGCAGTTCTGCGACAGTATTCAAGATTCCTGAAATGGCCAATCACTCTCAGTAAGTAATTGTGAGCACAAAGGCACCCACTTTTGCCGATATCGGTAGGAATATATTGTCTTCATGTCCGGGTCGACATATGGCTTGGGCTTTACGCGCGAATTGGAGGACTTGGTCATGAGCCAGTCGTGGTGGTAGCTGGTGAAGATAACTTCTTGGCGCTGTCAATATCACGTGCTATGATGAATGTATCCTCCCAATCCAGAAATTGACCTCCCCCTTCGCATTCATTTGACAATTCTGAAGGCTCTATCTTATCCTAGGTTGTGAGACTTGGCATACCGATTTTTTAGATCTTGAGCTATCAGAATCTGCCAAAAAAACGCGGCTGGAATTGTACTCATTAAGAAGTGCAAGGAACTTTGGCTCAAGGGGGGTACCACGCCGTTGTCAATATTCTTCTCGCTGGTCATGCTTTGTATAGAATTCTGGGAGACAACCTTTTAACCAACAATTCTTTGATATCTAAACTGTGCTGCTATACACTTCTTAGCGCGCAAAATCTTGAGGCTTGCAAGTAATCCTCAAGCCAATATGGACAATGCTTGGGGTCAGACACAGAACAATGCCGGATGTTTCCCAGCGTCAATCCTCTTGAGCTTTTTGAGCGCTGCAGCGTCGGTGTCAGGGGACACTGTGCTCCTTGGGCACGTGACCATGCACGTGACCCACTGCGCCCTCTCTGCCGACCCGTGCCTGCTCACCTGTCGATCACCCAGCCTCCTCCTCCTCCTCCGATCCTCATCTCCATCCATGCCGACATCCGCCCTCTTCCTCCTTCCCCTGGCCATCTCCCTCGAATCCCCGCAAGCGGTCTAGCCAAGCCCGATTCCTTGCACCAGGGAGTGCTACTGCCGTACGCACTCCTCCCCCTCTACTTCGGCCTTCTCCCCGCGGATGTGGTCTACTGCCGTACAGGCTCGTACCAGATGCCTTGCGCTCATCCGCACCACCCCTCTTCCCAGTCGGGCATTGGTCCTCGCCTCCGATGCCTCCACTGGCTGGCCCGGCACTGGCCTGGCCACTGGGCTCCTCCAGTGTGGCCTTCCACTGTTGGTGTCTCAGGAGCTGGCTGTCACTGGCCCCTCTGAGCCACTCACTATCTTATCTGGGTTTGTCATTATCTACTTGTCATCTGCCATTGTTCCATGGCAGTGATATCCCATCATCATCAGTCACTTGTCACAGCTGACTATATAGTGTGACACCTGGGCACATGGATCCTTGAACCGTTCTCTAAGGATCCCCCTCTGTGGTCAGACTCATGTGAGGTTGTTGTGTGCTGTGTGCTCTCTTCCTTCGGGCTGGCAGGAGTTGCCCTTACAAACAGATTGCACATGAGGCTGCATAGATTGAGCATAGAGTCGAACTTGAGGTTACCCATTTTATGTAATCACTGCGCAAGAATGACTATGTTTTGTATCCTGCGGTGACCCAAACACTCTAGAACTTGGGATCTTACATGAGGACACCTTAATAGTGAGGGCTGACATGTATTCCGCCGGCCTGTATGCCCCGATGTCTCTCAGTAGGTTGAGCTCATTGAGTCCCAAAAAGGAAATGCCGTCGATCAGACAGAGCACCGTATGTTTTGTATCCTGCGGCGACAAAACGCTCTAGAACTTGGGATCTTACATGAGGACACCTTAATAGTTAGGGCTGACATGTATTCCGCTGGCCTGTATGCCCCGATGTCTCTTAGTAGGTTGAGCTCATTGAGTCCCAAAAAGGAAATGCCGTCGATCTGAGCATTGAAGACCTCACGCTCGACACTCGAGTCAAATAAGTCAAAACATTCTTCATCAGCCAGATAGAGTGAAATATGGTCGCATTTGACAAATCAAGCTACTCTACGCATTCTACTGAAGCCTTCCATCGCGCGGACAAGGTGGCCTTGCTCAATGATACTCATGTCAAACAACTGATCACACAACAGTTCTGGCCCGGTCTGGCCGGTGCACAATCTACTTCTTGGGGATGGCTGTGATGCCCGTTGTATCGCTCATCATCAGCGTGCTCGGCTTACACCAGTCCATGAACATGGATTGTGGGATCATTGTCCCACGCATACTCAACCTGTTGCTGGGGCCCCAAGGCTGGCCTGTTCTGGTGTGGCAGCACAGCCCTTGGCGTGTTTTATATCTGGCTGTCCACGCCTGAAGCTGCGGGAGAACACCAGCAGTGAGACTCAAAATGACAAGATCACAGTAGATTACGGGCAGGTATCATGACACAGATGAGGGGATAGGTGTGGGTCGTACAGATTTTCGTCGACATAAACAGGGAGGGGAGTGGGAGAGCTAGTCAGCTGAGAGTATCAGAACGTCGTCTAGTGTTTGTGCCTGTATCAAGTTTGATGATCAAGGTGTCAGCACGTGCATGGGCAAATCCACGCGTGCCTTTGCGCTCAGCTCTGTTCCTGGGTCCCTCATGGCTACCTACCGACAGGGCGCATTCGCCAAGCGATAACAGATATGGAATGAAATTGTGCAGAAATGACGCTAGATCTGAGCCAGTGAGTCACCGCCTTTTGCTATTATACCACAGCGTCTCAGCCCTCTCCAGTCATGGGCCGCCGTGCCACAAATTTTGATGTGTCCATTGGGATAGACGGTGAAGACAATGTGCATGACCTACCTGTGGAGATGAGTGACCGTCAGATTCTTGTTGCCAATGACGGCCGCAGTCTGCGGTGGACCCACCAGAATGTCACATACAAGAAACGACAAATCCGCCTGAATCCTGAAGACCTAAGCGACTCTCTTGCTCAGTGGGTCCCCGCAGCGGCACCATTAGAGCTATCTCAGGAGCTGGAAGAGACATTGGAGATGGTAGATGGCACCCGGAAACGGCGATACTATCAAAGCTCAGTATGTTCTCACCTTCCATCCCAGCTCTTACATCTGAGCTCTCTCTAGGACGATCCCATGGCCGATTTCCGCCAGGAGGCGGAGATTTATTTGGCAGAGATGCTCAGGAGTGCTGGGTTAGGCGAGGCTATTGAGGTGACGCTGATGTGTGTGGGATGCAACTGCGTGCTGAGCACGGACGCGGGAAGCATTTGGCGCTGCAATGACTGCGGCGAGAGCCTCTCTTGCCGGTCTTGTTGCTTGAAACGACACGCTGCATCGCCGTTGCATCAGATTGAGGTGTGTTATCCTTATTTTCTCGAGAACTGCAAACTGATGTACATAGTAGGCATGGTCCGGTCTCTTCTGGGATCATACAAGCCTCCAGGATATGGGTCTCGTCTACCAGCTTGGATACCATGGCTCATCGTGTCCATTCCCTGACCCTCATTTACGCACTATGACTATTCTTGACATCAACGGCATCCATCACCTCTCATATCAACGCTGCAACTACGACCGTTCTGACGGTGTTAGCGCTGTTCAGCTGTGCCTCCGAAACTGATGGTTCCCAGCGACTTCGACAGACCCAGACACCTGCGCGACCTTCCGGTGTCTGGACTGGTTCCGCGCTGCCACTGTCATTGGCTGCATGAACGGACAGGACTTTGTGCGCACGCTGGAAGAGATGACGCACGCAATGGCAGGAACTGGCATGGTGGAGGTCCCGGTGAGCTATCTGTGCATACATGCTTGACCGACTGTGACGAACTGCAGCAAAGGGCCGGTATAAGAGTTTCCTCCAAATGTCACGCAAATACGCACATCTGCTACGTGCCAAGCGCGCTGGTCGAGGTCATGATGTAACCGGATTGAAGGGTACTACGGAGGGCGAGTGCGCTGTTAGGTGTTGGGCGTGTCCTATCGAAGGCCGTAATCTACCGGAGGGATGGCGCAACGTGGATCCTCAGCAGGCGTGGGTGACCCATGACCACGTGTGTTTTTGCATGAGCGCTGATTTGAGAGTCATTCACAGGTACCTGTACCGTCTGACACTTGCCATCGACGCCAACTTCAAGCTGAAGAATCTGATCCGTGCTAACGAGCGGGATGATCCACCTCTTGGGCCGGGCTGGGGCTCATGGGTTGAGCCAAAGAAGTATCAGGAGCATCTACGAGGATACGTCAACGAGAAAGATGTATGTTGTTGTCACTTGTCTGCACAAACACTAAGACATGAGATAGATAAGCTCCTGTATTGGTTTCGCCGCCCTGGCGCAGAAGGACAACAAGAACACCGTTGGCCTCCGTGTATCTGGCATTGGAGGATGTGTCTGCGCTCGTCACGAATCCGTGCGGCCCAATGGTCTAGGCGACCTACAGAAGGGAGAGCGGTACATTTATTCATCCCTTTTCATAGGGCCAGTCTGACCATGCTAAAGGTATGCAAACATGGACTACATAGTCATGTCATCGCTACGTGGCTTCAGTGGCAAGCAGCTGGTTTTCTCATACGATATCGCCTGTCAGTGGGGCGCGAACTTGCTCGCACGGGTTGAACAATTGCCCCCAGAGCTTCAGCTGGACTTGCAGAAGTTCTGGGTACGCTATGGGCTACCTGTCTGGCATGCCACAGCACACGAGAGCGCATGCACAAACCGATTCAGCCTCAGCTTCATCCCGGGCATGGGCAAGACCGACGGCGAGGGCATTGAACGACTGTGGGCTGAGTTGAACGCATTTGCTTATCACACCAAGACAATGGGCCTGGGGCATCGTGCTGACACCTTAGACGACAAAATAAACTATCACAACTTCACCAAGAACTTGGGACAAGGTACGCGCTCTCACTTATGCCAAGCACCATGTCTGATTCGATCCATCTAGCCGACGCCCTTCTCCGCAAGCTCATGATTGCTGAGGCAGAGCGCGCTAAGCAGGTGGATAGCTTCAGAGAAGTCGATCACACCGTGAAGGAAACAACACGCAAGATCTGGCAGGACCCCATCACCGCATTCGAGCTTGATCCGGTCAATGCTGCAACACCGTATATGACATTCGTGGCAGGTACGTCTGCACATTGTCGTTGCTCTATCTTGTTCTCATAATTCATCAGCGGGTCCAACAGAGACCGAGGTTGCGGTGCAGCTCAAAGAGAAGGAGCAGGCTGAGCTCGCTGCAGGCTTGGCTCCTCTGCATGGCACGAGCGCGACCGCCTTTCTCACAGCGGGTCTCCAGCTTGAGGAATGGCAGTACGTGACATGCCCCCACTGCTGAGCCCGTGAACTGATTGATTCCCAGACGCCGCATCATGAGCACTCTCTCCGGAATCATCAAGATCACGCCCCATGTCGAGAACAAAGTCCAGGACTATCGTATGAGCTGGCTGTCAAAGCTCCGCCCCTATCGCTCGCTCCAGGCGATCTACATGCCGGCGGCGGTCAGAGCGCTGGAGGCCGTGGAGGCTGGTCGTAGCGATAGCGATAATGCGGTTGCGGTCAAGGCCAAGAACATCCCGCTGTTCTTGCCCTCAGCATTGGCGCAGGAGGAGCGGGACACGGGTTGTCTGCGGGGTGTGGTCAGTATGGAGGCAAGATTGCGGGAGACACAATGTGAGGACTCGCTCCGTGCTCTTCGTAAACACCTGCACGCCAAGCGTCACATGTGGTTCTGGCGGCTGAAGGACGACAACGGTCAGAGGGCAGGGACACGCGCAAACAGCCTCGCCAAGCAGCTGGCTGGACGTATTGATGCCGTGGCTCGAAAGTACAGGGCTGCATGGCAGGCTCTTGTGGCTTTGAAGGGCACCTCTCATGCTACCCATTTCAAGGAGCTCCAAGAGCAGGATATCATCCTTGACGACATGGATGAACCCGACTGTAAGGGCAACTGTCATAACTTGACTCTTTTTTCATCTTATCATCGGCGATCTTATCTTATCTTGGCACGACTTATCTTATCACGGATCACGGCATCAGACGGTCCGGGCTAGGGGTTCCAGGGGTTATCTCTATCGATTCGAGGCTGCGCGACATATGCTCCGGAAGGTTCTACTACAACCCATGACCAGCGCTCCATGCGGTACATAGCCCTATGACTCATTAGTTGTAGATATGACTCAGACTGGATTTGGGTATAAATACTGTAGCTACTTGGTTGTATTCTCCAGTCTTCGAATTCACTTCTCTTTTCGACTTTGTTTTTGGGTTGATTGTCACATAATTCGAAGACTCCCCTCATACCCTCGTACCTCTTACCTCCTACCCTGCATCACTGCACCGCTACGCCCGCTATATCCTCTCCACCCTTATCACCCCACTTACCCTTTTACCGAATCATCTAGTCGTCCTCTGCAATCGCAGTGAAGGGTTCATATCGAGCAAACAGCACCAGGCCACGGGTAACGTTGAGCCCGACCCAAGCCTTACGGTAGCTACAAGGAGTGCTGCGGAGACCTTCGGGAAAACGCACCTCGGGATCATCGGGCACGTGAAGAGCTAGGCCCGGGATCTTTTTGCTAGCAAAAGAACCTTTCCTTGAGTGCTTGTACAGCACACGAATCCACCATTTCGTACCGATTCCCATCGTCATCTGGGAGTCCATCCCCTCCCCCCATCATACCATCGTCGCCCGATCTGGCGCATCAAAACCAACCCGGACCCTCCAACCCCTACCTCGCCCTTCCGCCGCCTGAAGACGAGTTCCCCGACCTTGGCGAGTTACCCTCCGAACAACCACCCTCGCCCCCACCTACCGCACCTGCTCCTGTCATGTCCGGACATCACCGCATCACCCTCGCCGCCAACCCCCCCTACTTCGATGGCGACAAGTCCAAGTACCTGGGCTTTGTGGATGCGTGCACCACTTACATTGGTGCCTATCGATCAGAATTCTCACTGGACGAGACAAAAATCCTCTTCGTCCTGTCCTACCTCCGCAATGAGAGCGGCACAAGCTGCGCCGCCTCAAGATGGGCGATGAACTGGAAGCAGCACAATTTCGAGGGCTTCCAAGGACTAAAGGCGGGGGTCACCGCGACAAGCTTCTTGGAGGAGCTTCAGAGGGCCTTTGGGGATTCTAACGCAGAGCAAGTCGCTGCCGCCCGACTCATGGCCCTTCGCCAGGGCAGACGGTCCTTCGCGGACTACATCTCCGACTTCGAAATGCTGGCTGCAGACGCGGGGTACAACGTGGTCACCTCCACCGACAGCAAGGGCGAGTACAAGAAGGGGGAACAGGACAATATCCTCATCGAGTTCCTGGAGCGCGGACTCAGCAGTGAAATCGCAAGCCGCCTCTACAACACTGGCGTTCCCCTGCCCAAGGCATATGGTGCCTTCAAGAACTGGTGCGTCAACATCGAGGCCAATGCCTTGCGCAATCAGCTGCGTAAGGCCTCCTATACGCACTCGACTCCACGGCCTCCTCCCCAATTCCGCCCTCAGGCAGCACCAGCGGCGCCCACGCCTGCTCCGACCCGACCGGCTGCCAACGAACCGGTCCCAATGGAAATCGATTGCACCCATGCCCGCGGCCGCAATATCATCTGCTACAACTGTCAGCAGCCTGGGCACATTGCGCGGAACTGCCCGGAACCAAGGAAGAAGCGCACATTCTTCAATCGGGCCACGATGCTAGAAGAAATCGAGAACGGGGACAAGGATAACGAGTTCCTCAAGGAGATTGCCGAGAAGCTGCGTGAGAAGGGTTTTTGAAGCGCTCCACTCCTCTAGCCAAGGAGGTGGAGCGTCCGGACTATGGACGTTTTTCTGTACTTGTTTCGATTAAAGATATGAACGATTCCCCTCATGCATACACGATCTCAGACTCCCTACGTACTAATATTCATGATTTTCTTGTTGCTGATATGGAAAAGGAACGTCAAAAGAAAATAGCTTTAAATAGAGAGTATTTACAGAGTAAAAAGGATCAGAAAGCTGCGGATAAATTAATTTTGGACTCCTACGTATTTATGGCTCGTGGAGAAGGAACCACGTCAACAAAGACCGAAAAGGGGAGCATTGCTCCGGAGGCTCAATCCTTGAAAAAGGAGGAAGCGCCCAAGGAATCTGCCAAAACCAAGGTTCCAGAAGCACCCAAACGCACAAGGGTGCCAGATGCCGTTCAAAGGAAATTGGCGGCCGAGAGACAGAAGGACCCGCAGCCCGGCAGACTGGCGCAGGAATTGCGCGACTACCAGGCCGAAAGGAAGAGACATTCGATGGACGTATATGTCCAGATCACGGGTCTGGACTCAGGGAAAACGCGCGGAGTCAAGGCGCTGCTCGATAGCGGCTGCAGTACCTGTTGCATCGATACTGACTACGCACGGGCGGAGAAGTTGGATATTCAAGAGCTTCCACAACCCATTGTGGCCCGTAACGCCGACAACACCGAGAACATCAGCGGTCGGATCACGCATTACGTTGACCTAAGGATGAGCATCGGCCCTCACGTGGAGACACGCACGTTCCTTCTGACGTGTTTAGGGAAAGCTCGGATCTTCATTGGTCTTGATTGGCTGACGGAACACAACCCCGAGGTGGATTGGCAGGAGCAGACCATGAGATTCAGCCGATGCCCAGAGCGGTGTCACATGAGGGGTCACGAGGAACATCAAGCAATGATTGACATGGATGCAATCGACCTGGACACGGGCACACCGGATCTGGAAGAGGGAGAATCGATCCTGTTGGTCGATTTTGGGAAGGAAGTGGATCTGCGGCTGAAGGAAACGCCGGCGCAGAAATTCGCAGAAGAAGCAGAAAAAGAGAAGGAGAGGATGACCGAGGGGAAGATTCCGGATCAATATCGGGAATTTGTCAAAGTATTCGCCAAGGAATCGTTCGACTCGCTACCAGACCGACGGGCATGGGATCACGCAATCGAGCTCAAACCTGGTTCCAAGGCAGTGGACTGCAAGGTGTACCCATTATCACGCAATGAACAAGTCAAACTCGACGAATTCTTACAAGAGAACCTGGCCAGTGGACGGATCAGGCCATCAAAATCACCCATGGCATCAGCATTCTTCTTTGTCAAAAAGAAGGATGGCTCGCTACGCCCCGTCCAAGATTATCGGAAGCTGAACGAAATGACAATCCGAAATCGGTACCCGCTGCCGCTGATATCCGAACTAGTCCATAATCTATGTGGCGCCAAGTTCTTCACAAAACTTGACATCCGGTGGGGGTACAACAATGTACGGATCAAAGAGGGCGACGAGTGGAAGGCTGCATTCCGCACGAACCGAGGGCTGTACGAGCCCTTGGTTATGTTCTTCGGTCTCACAAATTCCCCGGCAACGTTCCAAAACATGATGAACGACATACTCCGAGAGTTGATCAACGAGGGTCACGTGGTAGTCTATCTGGACGATATACTGATCTTCACAGAAAACTTGGACGAACATCGGCGGATCACGAAACGAGTGCTCGAATTGCTCCAGAAGCATAAGCTATACCTGAAGCCCGAAAAGTGCGAGTTCGAACGCACGGAAATCGAATATTTGGGTGTGATTATTGGACACAATTCGATGCGGATGGACCCAGTCAAGATCAAGGGCGTGATGGAATGGCCCGAACCAAAGAGTGTCAAACAGGTCCAAGCTTTCCTTGGATTCACAAACTTCTATCGGCGCTTTGTCCGAGGATACGCGGAGGTTGCCAAGCCATTGACACGGCTGACAGGGAAGGCAGGATGGTCATGGGGTGCAGATGAGCATGCGGCATTTGATGGATTGAAGAAGAGAATCGCAGAGGATGCGGTCCTAGCACTGCCAAATGACACTGGCCAATATCGTCTGGAAGCCGATGCTTCGGAAGGGGCAACAGGATCAGTTTTGAGCCAAAACCAAGACGGCATTTGGCGCCCAATCGCATTCATTTTGCACGCATTGACCGAAACCGAGCGAAATTACGAGATCTACGACAAGGAAATGCTTGCAATCATGCTATCATTGGACAAATGGAGACAGCTACTACTGGGAGCCACGGAGACGTTCGAGATCTTCACTGATCATCAGAATCTTGAGTACTTCCGGAAGCCGCAGAAGCTCAATCGACGGCAAGCACGATGGATCACGGAGTTGGCGGAGTTTGATTTCACCTTACGACACCGACCCGGCGCACTCAACCGCAAGGCAGATCTCCTGTCTCGACGAGCAGATCACGATCAGGGCAAGAACGACAACAAGGACGTCACGCTACTGAAGCCCGAGTTCTTCCGATCACAAGAAGTCACATTCGAGGGACAGGATCAGCAGCTAATCGATGAAATCAAGGCCATTCGATCAATTGATGGAAGCGTCAAGGCGGCCTTAGAGAAGTCACTCGTCGGATGGAAGAAGGAAGAAGGGCTTATCACGTATCATGGGAAGCTCTATGTACCAAGGGATGAGGAGTTGCGGGACAAGATCATCGGACTACACCACGACACCCCTTTGGTCGGACACGCTGGGATCAACCGAACGCAGGAGATGGTGGAAAGGAACTACTGGTGGCCAAGGATGGGAAACCAAATTCGGAAATACATCCAGACGTGCGAGGCGTGCCAGCGGACCAAGACCAGAAGAGCCAGGACAGGGAGTTTGCACCCGCATGCAGTTCCAAACGCGCCGTGGGAAATCATCTCCATGGATCAGATCGGACCCTTGCCGGTCAGTAACGGGTATGACGCAATTCATGTGTGGTGTGACACCTTCACCAAAATGATCCATGTCGAACCAATTAGTACTGACATCAGCAGCGAAGGAGTGGCACGATTAACCAGGGACCGAGTCTTCCGCTACCACGGGATCCCTCGCAAGATCATCACCGACAGGGACTCGCGTTACATCAAGGGCTTCATGAAGGAGACGAATCGGATGTTGGGTGTGGAAATGAACCCGGGGACCGCATACCACCCGATCACGGATGGGCAGACAGAACGCATGAATCAGGAGATCGAGCATTATCTCCGCATCTACGTCAATTACCATCAGACGGACTGGTCGGAGTGGCTGGGAATGGCGGAGTTCGCATACAACGACAAGATGAACACGTCTACCAAAATATCGCCATTCTATGCGAATCACGGATATCACCCGTGGAAGGGAGTGGAGCAACGGATGGAGTCAAGGAACGAGTCGGCGGAGGAATTTGTAAAAAGAATCAAAGAAATACAAGACGAAGCAAAAGCAGCACTAGAAAAGGCAAAAGAAAAAATGAAAAAATACTACGATAAACAAAGAAAAGAAGTTCCGGAGTTGAAGGTTGGGATGAAGGTGTACATAGAAGGGGAAAATATCGAGACGGATCGACCATCAAAGAAGATGAGCGACAAGAGACTAGGACCATACGAGATACTGGAGAAGGTTGGAGCGGCTGCATGGAAGCTGGATTTACCGGACACGGACCGAAGACATCCGGTGTTCAACGAGTCACTGTTGACACCCTATCACGAACCACCCCCCCATCGCCGAGAGAAGAGGCCTGTAGCCAAGATGATCGGAGGAGCAGAAGAGTGGGAAGTCGAAGAAATCGTGAAAGAGCGAAAAGTCGGCCGAGGAAAACAGTACTTGGTCAAATGGAAGGGATGGCCGCACAGCGAGAACACCTGGGAACCATCACGACACCTTACCCACGCGAAGAAGATCCTGAGAGATTGGCAGAGGAAACAATCCAACCCAGACACACGCATTCGCCTCCTGCCAACTTTCGAAGCCGGACATTGGGATTATCTCATCCATCGCTACAAACCCAAAGACGAGCGCCTTCCATATCCCCAGCGACAACTCTTTGATCCCTACGAAAACGTCTTCACGCCCATCGGCCTAGTCGATGAGGACATCGACCCTAGAGAGGGGGTAATGTCATAACTTGACTCTTTTTTCATCTTATCATCGGCGATCTTATCTTATCTTGGCACGACTTATCTTATCACGGATCACGGCATCAGACGGTCCGGGCTAGGGGTTCCAGGGGTTATCTCTATCGATTCGAGGCTGCGCGACATATGCTCCGGAAGGTTCTACTACAACCCATGACCAGCGCTCCATGCGGTACATAGCCCTATGACTCATTAGTTGTAGATATGACTCAGACTGGATTTGGGTATAAATACTGTAGCTACTTGGTTGTATTCTCCAGTCTTCGAATTCACTTCTCTTTTCGACTTTGTTTTTGGGTTGATTGTCACAGCAACTCCTGCCAGCCCGAAGGAAGAGAGCACACAGCACACAACAACCTCACATGAGTCTGAGCACAGAGGGGGATCCTTAGAGACTATCAAATACAAGGGAGGTATACTACTCACCTGAGCACAGAGGGGGATCCTTAGAGAACGGTTCAAGGATCCATGTGCCCAGGTGTCACACTATATAGTCAGCTGTGACAAGTGACTGATGATGATGGGATATCACTGCCATGGAACAATGGCAGATGACAAGTAGATAATGACAAACCCAGATAAGATAGTGAGTGGCTCAGAGGGGCCAGTGACAGCCAGCTCCTGAGACACCAACAGTGGAAGGCCACACTGGAGGAGCCCAGTGGCCAGGCCAGTGCCGGGCCAGCCAGTGGAGGCATCGGAGGCGAGGACCAATGCCCGACTGGGAAGAGGGGTGGTGCGGATGAGCGCAAGGCATCTGGTACGAGCCTGTACGGCAGTAGACCACATCCGCGGGGAGAAGGCCGAAGTAGAGGGGGAGGAGTGCGTACGGCAGTAGCACTCCCTGGTGCAAGGAATCGGGCTTGGCTAGACCGCTTGCGGGGATTCGAGGGAGATGGCCAGGGGAAGGAGGAAGAGGGCGGATGTCGGCATGGATGGAGATGAGGATCGGAGGAGGAGGAGGAGGCTGGGTGATCGACAGGTGAGCAGGCACGGGTCGGCAGAGAGGGCGCAGTGGGTCACGTGCATGGTCACGTGCCCAAGGAGCACAGTGTCCCCTGACACCGACGCTGCAGCGCTCAAAAAGCTCAAGAGGATTGACGCTGGGAAACATCGCCGAGCACCGCGTCATCAGCCCAGCTCGTCGAGGAAGAAGATGTCGTGGATTTGGACGGTGCCTGGAGCAGGAGAGGGCGAGGAGGAGAGTCTGCACGACTGTGAGTGGCACTACGTCTCGTCCCAAATATCTCTATTGATGTATCGAAGCTATCCGTGTAGAATGGACCCGTGCTAAGGCAAGGAAGGAGCGGTGGGAGGAGGAGGTCAAGCTCATTCGGGAGGAAATGCGGCGGGTTCTTCGGAGCTTGGCGTGGGAGGTGTCAACGTGGCAACAGCGGGCGGTGATGGAACGGAGCGATCTAGACCCGGTGACAGCAATGGGCGCATCAGCATATGCGGCAAAGCAAGCAAGCTTGTATGCGCGCCTCTCCGTCCACTTCAAAAACCGTTTTAGTATGTCTCTTGGGGAGGCTGCGAGATATGCGGAGAGTACAGATGTAGACTACGAGGGCGTGCCAAGGTTGTTCCAGGAATAGAAGTATCTTTGTCAATCCACAATTGACAGCGTCTGAATGTTTGTGCCTAAATTCACGTCTAACAAAAATGCATGTGTTGCTGGAGTCCTCTTGCGCCGTACCATGGTCTCGAGAGCAAACAGCCAGAGGAACGGTTTTCAGAATTGCTGGTCCGAAAGACCCCTGAGGACTGAGGATTGCTGATCGCTTGTCGATGATCCTCACGTGTCCTCACCGCTCGGCACTGGTAGCGCTGTGCTATGAACCTGTTTGTTTAAAACAAATCATGAAAAGCGAATAAAAACATGTTTTAAACATCAATAGCAAGGCTTTGGTCAAATCTGCCTGCTATTAATTGCTATAAAGTCCGAAATGGCCCGATTGTCAAGATTCTTGAAAGCGAACTAGCACATGAGACGGGCGACCAAGCATCCTGTCATTTTGCGCTCGTAGACACGTTGCATCCTCTGAATTTGTTTGCTTGATAGCCGCGCATTGGCCACGCCCATTGTCCTGAGCGCCTTCAAGGCCAAAATATAAAAGGCCGCTTTTTATTACGCTCAAAATTCCGCACTATTTTATACCGGTATATCCGTGAGCAGCTGTGATCGATGCGGCCGTACCATCATGATGCAAAAAGCAACTGAATCAATGCGGGCGTTTCAGACATCAGAGGACCATCATGATTGAATGAGTGCAGGCAATTGATGGCTGAGGATGCAGAGTCTGATGCCAATTTCGCTGTCAGGTGAACAGGCCGTATTTGGCTTGGCCAATAGTACGGTCATGTGCAGGTCAGGTGCTGGCTGCACTCAGGCGTGGCCATATAAACACACAGTTATGGTTTTATCCAGACCTGTGGGTACAGGCACTAACTTTGCATTCGCTAAAACTGGATATATCCACAACGGTTTGCATTATTCTACTGCCTGGGTTGGCGCTGAGAGTGGTGGGAGTGCACTAGTAGGCCCCCGGTGGGTGTGTTATATATACGCTCGCCGCTAGGATGCTGGGAAAACAGGGTGGGCAAGTGACCTGCATTGAATCAGTAAACGTCCCGTTCGTGGCATTGTGGGAGAGATGGGGATACAACTTGAGCCCATTGGGTCATGCAGCCTGCCCCCGTCAAAAATATTGTCGCAGCATCGCACAGCACAAATTGCAGCAGGTTTTTGCCGCGGGTTCGGGGTCAGCGGTTCCAGAAGAAAGAAGTGGGGCTCTTCTCGTGCAGTTCGAGATTATCCACTGTGGTATGTTGTGAACTCACGGACAGACAGCGCCCGTCATTGTTCTCTCAAAGTGTTACCTTGCGGCTTAGTTCAAGATGGGTGGGGAGCACGGCCACGCGGCGGGGTGCAGCCTTTGTCCGTTTGTGAATTCGCGACGGACAGTGGTGGGCGCCCCGTCACTCCCGCCATAGCCGTCACAGCGAGGGCTGCCCACCGCCTGTCTCGGTGCAAAGCAAACCGTGATTGGCAGTGGCCGCAGAAACAATGACAGGCACAGCCACCTGTCAACGTCCTGGCAAACCACCTCAGTTACCACCGCCAACCCCCCATATAGACCCCGCGGGGGACCTCCTGGGTACCCTTAGACGTAGCTCTATAGGTACCCAGGAGGTCCCCCCCCGCGGGGGTACAGGGGGCAGCTGGCCATTTTGGGGCAGGGGGATGGGCGGGGGTCAGGACGGGGGTCAGGACGGGGGTGCCCATACATACCATGTGACTTGTCCATAAGAGCGGGCAGCTGGGCGGGAAAAAAAAAATCAATCACATGATGCACCAAATGGGCGGGATGGCGGGAAAATCACGTGATGAGCTGCAGGAAAAATTTCAAAATGGCGGGGGTTGGCAGGGGTGTTGGCGGGGGCGCTACCGCCCCTCCCGCACACTGCAGCGGGCAGTGGGCGCATTATCACGTGACTTTTTGGGGGCCCCTTTTTGCACCATTTGGCATGATTTTGGAGGTGCTGCTTGATAGATTGCATGTTGTGGCAGACAGTGGGCGCAAAATCACGTGATTTTCCGCCCAAAAAAAAAAATGGAAGCCTCTCTAAATCATCCCAGTATAATTTCCATAGGTAAATACACTAATTGACCATGCATTTGAGCTTAGAAAACCCCAAATGCACCCTGCACAATAGGATTGTTGATGCGCTTGATCCCATCATCTGGCGGGGTCTGCCGCGGGGTCAGTCTGGCATATTCTATATTTGACCTCCTTTAGCCGTAGCAGTAGTGCTGCTGACCACCAGGGCAAGAATACAAACATTTATGAAATATCTTATCAAGGTAGACAAAGCCAATAGGGAAGGTGAAGATGTGTAACTGGATATTGCAATTGATGCAGGGCCCAGTGCGGGGTCTGGTGCGGGGTCTGGTGCGGGGTCTGATGCGGGGTCTGGTGGGGGAGCAGGGGCAGGGGTGGATTACACAAAATTTTGATGTATCTACTCTGGCTAGGGTTGTAGAATATCACGTAACTTTTCTCTATTTTGGCAGGGAATGGGGGATAAAGATACACAACATTGCCCGCATGTTTTGGCTGGGTCTCCAGGTCAAGTCATGTGATTTACCAATGTTTTGGTGGGGGGTAGGAGATTAATGGATGATGTTACCTATATAATCCATGGCATGTGAAGTCAAGCAGAACATGTGATTTTCTCATTTTTTGGCTGGCAGGATGGGTGGCATAGTAGATTGGCAGACCAGGGTCCACACTCCACTCATTGATTGTTTGCTTTACCCATTTAATATATATGTGTAGCACAGTGGTATCCATTTTTGGAGCTTGTAATAGAACATATTAGGTACACATCTCATCCCCCCCTTCCTGGCTGAATGCACTTGAGGTCTGAAACTTGTGTGTTCCCTTGCAAGCGATCTGCTTGGGTTTCAGCATGAATTCATTAAATAGAGTGGATTTGAGGTGAACTATATTCATTACTCGGTGTGATGTGAGAGGATGTATTTACTGGCAAGTTGTCCCACAATAGTCAGAGCTTGGTTATCAGTGCAAATTTGACATGTAAACTCTTAACAACTTGTGTCTTGGCTTGTATCTTTTGGAAGACCAACTGCAAACACATGGCTGATTGTTTTTACCAATGAGTCTCTACCCACCCCAGCCATGACCACCTTGCCTGCACCCCCGCCTTCACCCCCGCCCCCCCGCCAGCACCCCTGCAACTACCCTGCCACTGATTGACCCCCGCCATCACCCCCGCCACACCGGTGCCTCAGCCCCTGCCATCTCCGAATATGTAATATTATGTAAAGTGACAGCCCGGAACACATCAAGTCAGTAGCCAATCAGGACCTGTATAAACGTCGTACCTAACTATGTTTTGCTCTTCTGAGACTGTTTTTACATATATGCTGCTAAAAACCATCGGAATTATGTCTCCTTATGCTGTTCTTGTTGAATATAATGCCACTTCATGTCCTCTGTCAGCCCGAAATTCGAAACATGGAAACAGCTCATAGTGACTCAATGTTCCTATATAGAGAACACTTCAACATGGTTCACTTTGCATATTGCGCAAAATATATTTTCTGCAAGGGCCCAACTTCACACAACCGAAGGATACACCCTTTGGCAATGCCTGAACAAAATCTGGGGAGTGCTGGACCCTGTAACGATTCAAAAATACGAAATAAATCCAAAGTATAGTGTGATTTATAATGTGGGATACGGGCCAGTTTAAAGAGATGTGAGCCTCTGGTCATCTTGAATATCGTTTCTAACAATGTTTCGGTCCCCTACCTCCTTCCAGACAACCTCTGTTCTCACTGGAACATGCAAAACCCACCCAAGCTTGTAAAATCAATTGTTGCCCAGAAACAAGAGCAGTCGAGTTCCTTTGTTGGAATTGGGTAGAGGTAACCATGAAGTTGCTTGGGCTGCAGTATAAAAGCATGGGAATGTGTTTCTATGTGTGTTCATCTGGTCGCTCCACATTTGATTGGCCAGCAGGGGCTGGCGCACCCCCGCAGTCAACCCCGCCCAATCCCCTGCAAGAATTGTATTCACAAGGTTTCTGCGCAATTCTTTGTCAGGGTTCTGTGTATTAGCACACTCATTACAGTGTCTCAATGTGATGTTCACAGGTTATATTCAATCCAGCAAATGATGCTTGGAACAGCTGTATCAAATATGCTATTAAAGAGAGTGAAACATTGGAGATGCAGTCATCCTTAAAAAGCGGGAGGACCACTTCAGCTGTTCGGAAGGGGAGCAGTAGCCATGACTATTCCTGCTGATCAATGTAGCTGTGACTGGACAACCCCCTTGGGGATTTGCTGAACACATGTAGTTGCGCATTTTTTAATATGTTAGCATCTTTTGAAGCCACAAACTCCACCAAAATGTACTGGCAAAACCATGCTTTAATCTCCTACCCCCCACCAAAACATTGGTAAATCACATGACTTGACCTGGAGACCCAGCCAAAACATGCGGGCAATGTTGTGTATCTTTATCCCCCATTCCCTGCCAAAATAGAGAAAAGTTACGTGATATTCTACAACCCTAGCCAGAGTAGATACATCAAAATTTTGTGTAATCCACCCCTGCCCCTGCTCCCCCACCAGACCCCGCATCAGACCCCGCACCAGACCCCGCACCAGACCCCGCACTGGGCCCTGCATCAATTGCAATATCCAGTTACACATCTTCACCTTCCCTATTGGCTTTGTCTACCTTGATAAGATATTTCATAAATGTTTGTATTCTTGCCCTGGTGGTCAGCAGCACTACTGCTACGGCTAAAGGAGGTCAAATATAGAATATGCCAGACTGACCCCGCGGCAGACCCCGCCAGATGATGGGATCAAGCGCATCAACAATCCTATTGTGCAGGGTGCATTTGGGGTTTTCTAAGCTCAAATGCATGGTCAATTAGTGTATTTACCTATGGAAATTATACTGGGATGATTTAGAGAGGCTTCCATTTTTTTTTTTGGGCGGAAAATCACGTGATTTTGCGCCCACTGTCTGCCACAACATGCAATCTATCAAGCAGCACCTCCAAAATCATGCCAAATGGTGCAAAAAGGGGCCCCCAAAAAGTCACGTGATAATGCGCCCACTGCCCGCTGCAGTGTGCGGGAGGGGCGGTAGCGCCCCCGCCAACACCCCTGCCAACCCCCGCCATTTTGAAATTTTTCCTGCAGCTCATCACGTGATTTTCCCGCCATCCCGCCCATTTGGTGCATCATGTGATTGATTTTTTTTTTCCCGCCCAGCTGCCCGCTCTTATGGACAAGTCACATGGTATGTATGGGCACCCCCGTCCTGACCCCCGTCCTGACCCCCGCCCATCCCCCTGCCCCAAAATGGCCAGCTGCCCCCTGTACCCCCGCGGGGGGGGACCTCCTGGGTACCTATAGAGCTACGTCTAAGGGTACCCAGGAGGTCCCCCGCGGGGTCTATATGGGGGGTTGGCGGTGGTAACTGAGGTGTGGCAAACAGTTCACGGTAACCGTGTGTATTATAATACTATGACTCTGACTGACTATGACTGAGTCGGATCAGCATGCTACTTAATGATCACAGTTGTCTACAAAACTATATTACCGATGTCTAAGTCTACAATTTGGTGAGCGGGACCCCAGATCACGCCATCACTGTCAGCCGTCTCGGTTATTGAGCAGGGCCTTCCGGGTTTCCATACTTCTAGATTGTCACGCATTTTCCACGGAAAAAAATCAAGTCCCCACGCAGTGCTGTCACCTAACGTTGAGTGAAATTACAATCGTAGTGTAAATTCGATCATAACATCAAATCCGTCATTGACATCGACTGTTTTTTACAGAGCACATTCATTGCACCAACTCACTTCAGCAGAAGAAATGATCTGCCAGCCGGAAACCGTCCAGTTCCGCGCAAACATCTGCGATATACAACCTCCAAGATTGCGAGACTGCCTTGTATTGAGCAGGACTGTGCGAATACGGCGATCGTGTCAGCTCAGTCATACCCTCCGTCAAATAATGCTTCATCATGGAAATGCGTTCCAGGACATCAATCGTGTCGGGGTACGCCGCATCCGCTGCCTCCGCTGCCTTAAGCCACGCGGACTCGAAAGAAGCTTCCGAAACCACCCAATTCGCGCCCGACGGCGGCGAGGGAAGCTCAATACCGGGACTCACGCGCCAGCTCGACCACCCGAGCGCGAGCGACATATGCCCGGTCAGGATTCGCTGCACGTGGATCTCATCGAGGCCACTCCCTGTGTCGATTTCTAGCTTGGCGGGTTTCAGGAGTGTCGCGGTGGTACTTGGGCAGAAACGCCGGATGTACAGCGCGTAGAGATTAGCCAAGGGATACCTTTCGCCATGGGTTTCTGCTGCATCGATGGCGTCGATGATTTCCGATTTGGTGCTGAGGAACCCGTCAAGCGACTGGACCCAGAACTGCATGATCCTTTGCCGTTGCTGAGAGTCGTTGATCTGCTCGTAGAGTGTGTGGAGCAGCGAGAACTGAGTCGGCTTCAAAGATGTTTCTTCAGTAACACAGAGATCAAGGAAGGACAGGGCCCAGGTCCTCCACATTTCGAGCTCGTATTTGTGCGCGAACGCTGCGAGTGGGACAACATCAGCGATGGCCCTGACGGGCAAGCAGTGGATGTTCAGCTCCAGCGGACTGCGTGTGCAGTCAAATTACATGATGCATATGCGAGCCAGCGGACACGCACGTAGAGTACATCCATTTTAGAATCGCACGAAAGTCCTGGGCAGTGTAGCCCTCCAACAGGAGCGGAAACTCATCGCACAGGCCGTCAGGCAGTTGCCCCGGACCCACAGGGAGTGAGAACATGCTTTGGAAGACGGCCGATCCGCGCAAATGAAAACGGTGGATCTAGGTGCCCAGAAAACGGTGGAAGCGCGTGTCGGCGTGAAAGAACAATAACACGTGGTAATATCGGCCTCACATTGAATAGCGTCGACTCGACTCTGATGACAAGATCGCCATCCTCGTGGTAGAATGCGGCATCCTTACGCGCCAGCCCGCAGTGACTCTCTAACATGGTCCAGGGTTCTCGAAAGATGTCAATGATTTGCTGGGCCCTTGATGATGGAAGAGGAAAAAAAGACGGTTGAGTCAGTATCAAGATATCATTCACACGGCCGGCCGGCCAGCCAGCCGATGTTGGGCACGTGAGGATTATTTAACCTCGTACGTACTACTTACTTACATACTGATCGGACTTCTTCCGACGCTTCTACATAGGTTCGACAGTTATGAGAAAGAAACACCGGACTCAATCCCAATTTTGCGACTCACATGGCTCACCTAGCGCTTCGCTCAGTTCTACCCACTGGATCTAAATGCGCCTGAGATCCAGTTATCCTTGAGCCCTGGTGGGGCTGATAGGGAGCCTTTTTAGTACTGATAGTGGGGGCAAGACAAGTTCGGTATGGTTCATACAGTGAAGTACGATACAAGGAGCAGAAGTAGACAACAGTGATGCGCCGATGTTCGTGCACTTGGTCATTGAGATAAAACGACTTTGACGATGAATCAGGCATGGTAGCAGGAAAGTCCCTAATACTTTGTCTCGCTTTCATGGATAAATCTGCCATAGTGGATGATTATCCTTAGAACGCTGCTCCGGAGAGACTTGAACTCTCGATCTTCTCATGAAAAAATTTCACTCCAGAACCATAACAGTCAAACGCCTTAACCAGTTGGGCCACGGGGCAGTTGAGCCAATTCACTGCTCGTTGTCACAACTCACTGATTTAAACATGACAATCAAGTACAGTGATTACTCTATTTGAAAACACGACAAACACAGCAGTTGGATTTGCTTCAGACATTCGGATACAGCCCCTTCTCCCTTCTGGCCTTGGTCATCGCAGCGATGATCGCACTGCCAACACCGCTGCCATCTTCAGCGTGTTGCGTGACAATATTGCGGCCTTTGTCGCCGAAGACATCTTGCAAGCCTTCGTGAACGCGGTCTGCGAAGCCAGGGTATTTCTACCGGGGGGCGCAACTAAGATCAGACTACATCCGCTGCAATGAGATTGCGCACGTACGTTATACAACGAGCCATCCGCCCCAACGACACACTTCTCCCCATTTTCCAAGTCCCCCTCAAGGTATCCCATCTTTGTCACGATCGCGGCAATTCCACACGCAGACAGTCTGGCCGCACGGCGTCCGATGAGCTTCGCGAGAGCGCGGAAGAACTGTCGCTCGGCGAGCGTGGTCTCGAGCGCGAAGAAATGCGAGAAGATGCCGATGACCATCAGCAGCTCGTCGGTCGGGTCCATCTCCATCAGGGAGAGGAATGCTGTGTCGAGCACGTAGGGCGCCTCGAGCTTGTACGTGTTTTGACCAAGGAAAAGGATTCCTTCGTCGATCAGCTCGCAGAGAACCAGACGCATGATCTCGCCGAGGTACCGGCCGGAGATGAGTTTCTGAGGGGCCACTGTTAAGCACGGCTGTGATGCGAATGAGCGGTTCATAGACGCACTTCGAACGCCTGCTCGCCCGGTTTGTTGGACGTGTCGTCGACGATTGCGTCGAATTTCGTGCGAGGAAGATGTTCATGCTCAAACGAGTCAAACGCACCCTAAGACGTGAATGACGACGTTAGGGCGATCAATCGATTACCAATCGCGGCGCTCACCCATTCACAGTTGATCGCCATCTGCGCCTCCGCCTCGATTCCCAGCCCACCGATCTTGGGCACGTCGCCCACTGTCTCCATGTATGCCGCATTGCACCCCGTGCCGAAGATGACCGCAATCTTAGTCTTGGGGTCGACATATCGGGACGCGATGAGCGTGCCAGTGGTGTCGTTGATCAACGCCGTCAGCTCAATCGGCAACTCATACTTCTCCAGCGACTTCCTGAACATCTCTGCAACATCGTGTCCCTCGGTATTCGGCGCGCCGAAGCCCTTGGTCCAGCGGATCAGCTCTCCGTGGTCGATCCTCTCCTGGGTGCACGGGTAGGAGAACGTGAAGCCCAAACTAAGCTTGCCGCCCTCGGGAATTTGCACGCCCCCGTCAGCCTCAAGGAAAGTCTTCAGGCACTCGGCGCAGAAATCGAACAACTTCTGGCCGTCGTCCTGCTTCTGCTCCTCCGTCAGCCGGTACTTGCTCTGCGTGATCTCGAATTTGCCGGAGCCCTGCAGGGTGACGAGGCACACACGCAGGTTCGTACCGCCTGTCGTGCGTCAGATGTCATTGCTGTGCAAGGCCCAAGGGGCAGGAACACAGTCACACACCGAGGTCGAGGGCCAGAAAGTCGCCCTTCTCTTCGCCCGTCGGCCATCCAAACACGTACGTGGGTATCATGGGCTGTCGTGCGGGATGGTGGTCAGGAAGACGAACACGGGAGCAATGACCAAGGGAGACACGTACCACGATCTGCCCCTTCTTCTCTAGGCCCGCCTCAAGCGTCTCTCGGAACGCCTCGACAATCATCCGCATCCGCTGCGGCGTCAGTGTGAACAGACTCTCGTACTTCCGCAGGTGGTCTGCCATCGTCCTGTCGTAAGTGATCAGTCTCACGTCAGTCCATCTAGAATCGCAGGGGAGAGGGACGCGCGCAGAATGGAAGAAGGATGCAGAGCCAACGCATCCCCCAAAGCACTGGTAAGAGACCCGGGTAGAGAGCGTATGCGGGCACAGCGACAGCTTTCACGGCCTGCCGCTCAGAAACGACGCAGACCCTGTTCTGTATACCAGGACTCTCCGGATTGTGGATGCCATTCTTGTCCCAATTCAAAGCATATCTCCTCTCCAAAGCCTCCGCACCCTTCTCGCATAGTGGGAGCCCCTTCAGGGATGCTGCACAGGGTACCGATCCAATCCAAGAAAGCAGAAAATGGCAATCGAGACATGCAACGCGAAAGACAGAAAACAGCGGGCAATGACGCACTTCTTCGTGGCATGGACCAACCCCTCCTCATCCTGCGTCCTCGTATGCATCGCCATCGTCTGTCCCGAGGGCAGCACGATGCTGCCACTGCCGCGGCGCGAAGGGGGCATTGTCCTAGTGTGTTCGGTGGTGTTTGTGTGGTAGTACTGGTACCGGCGGTGCGGAGAGCAGGAAGAGGGAGGAAGGAGGGACGGAGGGACTGAGTGTCAAGAGTACAAGTGCTGGTGGTGCTGGTGGTGGTGTCGTGAGACCCGATGGAGACAGTGCGAACGGGGATGGAGGGATGTCAGAATCGATTTGATCCAGATCGATTGGGCTGGATTCGGCTGAAGACGGATGATGATGTCATGTTTCCTTCGTCATCATACCCGTTGAGAATTGAGAGGGTACTTTCGGAATCAACTGTGCTTCCAGATGAAAGAAGCAGACCATTCGGGACGACGTTCCACATATAAATTTGGCAGAAGGACTTGATGTTGATATAAATGTCTGTCTGCTTCCGAACAGCTTGTTGAATGAGCAAGTTGGCCTCAAGTCACAACAGACCTCGGAAAAATGACCAGGCTGCCTTCAGTAAGCACGAAACCCAAGTTTAAGCCATGCAGTTCGATTCCTGGAAACTGGTGCAGACGTGAGTTTGAAACCATAACACGGGCTTGCGGTGTTCCTTGCTTGTGATTAGATGGATCGCTGACTATGGCGTATCGCTGCGTTTGCCATGGGTCAGGAAGTTTCGGATATGGGTCGTTTCCGTTCTCAGATCCAACACCAAAAGCAGCAATTCCAAAGCAGGTCGTATTCATAGGAATGAACCACCACTGCTGGTAGATTATGCTTTCTACTCGGACAGGATCTCGAACTATATGTACAAGTATGGCTACACGCAAGAAAATTGAGGCCGAGGTGAAAAGCGTCGTTATCACTTATCCTTCTCCTTCCTAACCATCTCCGCTCTCACATCCGCAGCCCATCGGAAGAAATCGCATTTCCATCGTGGATCAACCTCTTCCCTCAACCTCTCAGCCCGTCCACGATCGTACCCAGGTCCCACTGGGCTGTGATCCCCATTGAGATTTGGCTTGCTATAGACAGGCAGGGAAAACGTACCGCGAACAGACGAAGAAAGTCTTCCCTCGATTCGGCCCCGGTTTGTTCACCGTCATCACTTTCGCCGGCTCATCGTGTACACTACATCTTGGAGGTTCCAATGGAGCAAGAATCGTTGTCCAGGCGCGTGCCGTGTGTGGGTTCGGTGGACTGGAGGAGGGCACAGATTCGGCTGCTGAGAGCGCTACCGCTAGTTGGTAGTCCGAGTCGATTGTTGACTCCGAGGAGTGGGTCACGGAAGATTGCGATGCGGATGCGGACTTGGAGCCGAAGAACGAGGCGAGCGTGGGCTGACCGTTCTTCGGCCTTTTGGAGCTGGACGATGACGGGGTCGGCCCATTCCGCTTCCTCTTCGCAGTCGACGCAGGCGATGGCGACTTCGCTGCAATGGGCAAGCATGAAGACGATGACGAAGAGGACTGTAGAATGTCCCGTTCTCTCTTTGCAATGTCTTCTGGAGGAGATGCACTAGGTGCCTTCATCTCCGCCACCGGGCTATCCTTTTTTAAAGCGACCACCTGCTTCGTGCCGGCCTTCCCAAAGAACGTGTCTACCCCTCGCTGCCGATGCTCCTCCCAAAACTTGGCTGCCAATCTGGGTGGCTCGGCACCAGGCTCCGGGTTCCCCAGCACATCGGCTAGTTTCACGAACACCCCGGACTCCAGCGTGATTTGGTCATGCAGATCGATGTACACGGGACAGTGGTCGCTGCCCTTGACGTCAGGCTGGATGTCCGCGGCTTTGATCCAAGGCAGCAGACCGGGCGTGACGAGGATGTAGTCGATGCGTGAGCCATAGTTGGAAGCGCGAGCCGACATCTTGGTGTTCCAGCCTGTGCGTGAGTGAGTTCGTGGGCGCGTAGCTATAGGTAGCCCTCACATGTATACATGGCCTTTCGCTCGGGCCAGAACTTGCGCACGACGTCCACCAAACATCCACCCCCCACCGCCAACGACGAATCTACCAGCCAGTCTCTCAACCACTTGCGAGGCTCATACTCCCAGAACCCGCCTTCCCCTCGCGCCTCGATGAGCGCACCCTCTGCATGGTCAATGACGTCTGCACACGCATTCAGGTCGCCTACGACAACAACCTCCCGTCCCTGCAGATGCACTAGCTGGCGCACGCGTTCTTTCAGCAGCTGATGAAACGCCATCTTGAAGCGGAACCGCTCGGCGTCACGTTCAGGGTCGGCCTGGCTTGCTGAGTCGCTCGGACAATACACGTTGACGAGCACGAAGAGGCCGAAGTCGAGGATAAGCGTACGGCCCTCGCTATCGAGTACTTGAGCGTCCACGTCGAGGGGTGCAGACGTTGGATCAACGTCGCGTGTGCTCGACAGTCTATCATCTGCGCTAAGCGGGGTGGGACGCGTGTATACACCCACGCCGGAATAACCCGTCTTGTGGGTCGGAAACGAGAAAAAAGAGTGGTATGATGGCGGGAGAGCAGTCGCCTTGGGGAGTGCAGAGCGCGAAGACTTCATCTCTGCGCCGTGCATCAGTAACAGCAGTGCGTCTGTAGTGTATCAGACGCGCCTTGAAAGCAGATGATGTCCGCCCCAAGATGATTCAACACGTCTTCATGCGTCTTCATTGCGTTCCACCTCCCAGTCCGAACAAACGCGTCACTTCACCGCGGACCCTGACCAAGGAAACGAAGCGCGTACGGGTGATACTTTGGAATCGTGCGGATGCCATTCTGCCGCGCGCCTTGGGTTAGACCAGAAAGCCGAAGATGGGGGGGATTCTGCTTACAATGTTCCATGTAATTATCCTCATGAACAACAGACTCGAATCACAGTCCCCTTCACTCAGTATGAAGTGGATGCCAAGCGGGAAATTCGATATGACATTGTCACAGGTGACAAGATGACACCACGTGAGGATTCACGTGCGTGTGTGTGACTCGGATCACAACACGTAGCATATTATTTTTATTCCTAGCAAAAAATTGAAAAACGTCAATTCTAATTGTGAAAATTGGACCTCTTGATTGTGTCGTATCTACCGCGGGAAGAAATCAGCCCCCGCAGTCTCGTGGCCCAATGCTGTAGAAAATATATCTATCAACTGCAGAGACTAAGATGTTATTTGCAATAGTCTATGATCTCAGTCGCGGTGATATATGAACATCGACAGCTGATGTCATACACATCTGAGTATTTGCGGATCGGTCCACGATATTCTGCGTACATCAATCTACAAGTCTACAGACTGGGCATTAAGTCAATTAGAAAATGGTCCTCATATCTGCAGTGTTGTCATCTTTCAAGTTCATCATGAAATATGACATCGGAAATGGTCATTCGTTGAGTATGTCTCTCGACTCTCTTGGGACACCCCCGCGTAGTCCTATGTTTTTTGAGATTCTGGGGCTGAGTCACGTTATGATCCAGGGCGTTCCATCTCCAGGAAGGCACAGAGAGCAGGGAAGACTCCGAACGGGGGTATTCGTGAGGCATTAGTTCATTGCGTGACTATGATAATACAGCTGAGCTACTCATTGGCAGCAACCGCGCTGCTCTTTTCAAGATCTCCCGACTTTTCAGGTATTTCTGCAGAGGAATCAAGTGTCTTTCGCATCTGCCACCCGCCTTGCCAGCCAAACCACGTATAACGCTCGCAGTGCGGACCGCGAGCGAGAAGCACGATAATCTGCCAAACGCTGAACGAGAGGGCGAGCACACCAGTCATGCGCCAGCCGTGCTGCAGGTAGACTGACGTCCCCGCAGCGGTGCCGGCTACTTGTCCGAGAAAGAGCTGCCAATCTGTAAGTTTGGGGGAAGATTTTGATCCAACGAAGAGGGACTTGCCGATAAGACATTGACTGCGTTGAAGCGAGATCTCGCTTCGGGAGCTATGCTGAGGAGATTTTCGTGAGCTGTCTATATATGCGAGGCTGGTAACGCACCTGAGAACCGTCGTCGCTAACGCAGATTGATTCATTTGTCTGAACAAGTTCAACGAGAAGGCGATGACCACCACGGCCCCTATGTTTAGCCCCTCGGCGGCCGTTTGCAGGATATACGTGGCACCCAGAGCCAGGACAGAGATGAAAGTTGGGTACCACGGGACGAAAGAATCGATGAACCGTCCCGTGAGTGGCGCAGAAAGAACTCCAGCCATCCCAACGAACCCAAACAGCCCGATGTCCAGTCTATCTAATTCTGAGGGGGAAACGACAAGAGCGGCGAAGCCAAAAACACGCACGTCGAATAATTGAACAGCGGCCCGCCAAGCAGGAATGTCAACGTGACCCAGAAGCTCGTGAACATCGCACTCGTCGCGAAATTGACCAAGCACGCCTGGATCAGCGCAGGCTCCGTACCTGCAAACTTGCCCATCGTCCACAGGATGCGCGTATACGACAGCCTCTGCCCGCGTATCGACGGCGGGCAGTCGGGGATGAAGAAGTACGCGATGAGCACCGCGAGCGCCTGGATCCCGACGGCGAAGTAGTACGTCGCGCGCCAGGTCGCCAGCTGGCCAAACACCCCCGCAAGCACGCGCGAGATGAGCACGCCGAGCAGCAGCCCCGATACGATCACGGAGATGGCCCTGGCGCGTCGGTGCGGCGGTGCGAGGTCGGCAGCGAGCGGCTGGAGCATCGCGGTGATGATCGAGGTCATGCCGACGAAGAACGAGAGGACCTCGAATGCGACAAAGTTCGCCGTGATGGCGAGACCCTGCAGGTGTCTTTGAGCGATACTCTGAGTGCGCGGAGGTCGCTGAGATGACATACGATTGTGAGCAGAGTGGATATGGCCATGAGTAGCAGCAGAAGTGGCCGCCGTCGCGTAATATCACCCACGGGAGAAATGAAGACGACACCAACAGCGTATCTACGTTCGAGACTTAGTATTCCGAAAATGATGCTGGGTTGGGAGTTCGTTACCCAGCTTGCAAGAGAGTCGGCACTCTGAGAGATATCAACAGAGAATTATTTGCCAAATCGGGACCAAACGCACTGGGATACTTTCGAGTACGATACCCCGAATGTCTCGGCCAAGTTGACTTTGATCGTCAGCATGCACGTCGCAAGAACCGAACATGCACGCACTGAGCAATGGTTGACAGTAGCTCAGGTTGGCCATCGCTGTGCTCGTTTAGAAACCCGAACTCCGGCAAGGAGCAGAGTCAGAGCAACGCAACTGAAAGTGCTCATAAACCCCAGCGCGATGTTCATCAGCAGCCCGAACTCGAACACTTTTCCCTCGACATATCGCAGCCTCTCCGGGATCGGCAGGAATCCGAAATCGCGCGTGACGGGGGGCGTGTGCGGGGTGTGCGAGGTGTGCGGCTCGTCGGCGAGGGTGCTCTCGCGAACCGAGGGCGCGGGCGTCTGCGTCTGCGTCTCTGTCTGAGTCTCTGTCGCGTTCATGGGTGAGCGGATGGAGGAAGAGGGGAGATTACGCTGGGCGTGCTTCCCGCGTGGAAAACGTCATGTGTCAGCGGGAAGACGACGAGTGATGCGGTTCGCACGCCGCTCGGGATGGATCAGCGATGCCCGAGGGGCTGGGGAGAAGCTCAGTCGCGCCCTGGGCTAAAAGGATCAGGTCAGGTAGCGTCAGCACGTGCCTGCCATGTTGATGAATGATCGATCCCAACAGTTGATCAGTCGAACACATCACCACCTATTCGCCACCAACCTCCCAAACCGTCCTGGTCATCTCAGCCACCAGGGGTAACCATGGACAACTGTTCCGGTCCCGCACCCAGAATGGCGTAGTCCTCGCAGCAAAGATTTTTGTTCTCACGATCCACAGTTGATCCGTTTGGAACGCCTTTCTGGGTCTTGTACAACGGATAATCAGGAGACTTCCCAGCCTCAGCGTCCTTACATGATCGGGAGCGGACCATGGAAGATGTGGTTTTCCGACGAGCCGGGAAATATTCGTGATTTGCTCGCCAACATGATTCCCCGATCATCAAAACAGGAAAATTCCGTTCTAGCCTTTGAGGAGGGTTCCCATGCATCAGTCCCATGTAAGCTCTCCTCGCACGCTCGGTGCGGACCTTCTTAGCCCTTGGTGACCTACTTCAAGTGCTTGGCTTCCGGCATGCAAAGCAGGAATGCGGTGAACGCGCGACCGACGGGGACATTTTCTGGTGTCTCGATTTCCTCATCCACCATCCGGGCATGAGCTCCATCTTTTTCGGAGATCGATCTCGCAGGATGAAAAGATGTGGATGGCATCCGAATCAATCAGTGGCCTGCCTGCATCCGCGTCTATGATGGCGGGTGCGGATCTTCCTCGCGGGTGGCCAGGCCTATCGGAGGCGTTTTTGTGAGTGTCCTGCTCTCAGAAATCCCCGAGATTTTCAGGGATCTCGAGCTTGAGGCATGCTGAGGGATTAAGAGAGAGAGCAGAAGAGGCCTGCATATGCATTTGGCTCTCCTTGGACAGATTACTGTCCGATGTAAGTCTTATCGATGTTATCTTTCATCATGATTTACGACATCCTGATAATTCATTCTGTGCAGTCCAGTCAGTATGCATGGAAACGAAATTGTCTTGGCAAAGTCTACGAGACTCACAATGAAATGTCCTGGAGCCACAAACGCGGATAGACGGGCTCTGCTTGGCCATTCGAATCGGAGAATCTCAACCAGTCGACACGTATCATTGGTGCGAATGCCCGGCCTCCACTGCGGTGTGCGTGCTAAATGGCAGCGTACATTTTGAAATGAGCTCCAGCCCGGTTAGCGAGAAGCTGGAGCGATATACAGCGGGCGACGCCGGGCAAGGCGACCGCCGTTACAGCTTTCGGTCCATCCTCGACAAAAATCCCTCAAATAGCGACCCCGTGGCAAAATGCACTCAGGGTCGCCATCGGTCATGGGATTGACAGGACTAGGAGATGAACAGCTTCTGCTCCAAACACGAACAGAACTCAGACAGACGACTGCAGCCTTTTGGTAGTCTGCGCTCACGCTCCAGCCATCCCAGACGCGAGCAGCAACGCAGACGGATAGGGGGTTCCCAATTGAAAAGCTGTGAGATCGCCGATCGTCGATCAACGTGGGAGAAGTCCGATCAGCAATCCATCTGGATCAATTTAACGTGATCCGCAGCAGGTGACACAAATGCAAATGTGGGGTGGAAATGCTGAAATCCAATGCGTGTGGAATAGGTAAGGCATGACGAGACGGGTGTGAGGAACTCTAAGACGACGGTCCGCTCAGGGACGGACGAATAGCACTCAACGAGGGTCCAGGCGCTGCCCACCTTCCTTGTTTTGCGGCGGAGACGTAAAGCAATTGCCGAGGCCTAGCGAGACCCCGATCGAGCCAAGATCGATGGGTGGAGTTTTTTGACAGGATGCATAGCCTCGTCTCCCGTTTCAATACTTCCGCCAGGACATATAAATGGTACGAGCGTCAGTACCTAGCTCGCCTTCCGCAACCATCACCGCATCGCATCGCATCTCTCACTATCCACCCCCCCACCATGCCTCCGTCGCACCGTCGAACGCAATCGGCGCCAGCCTTTGGAACGCCCCTCCAGCGCACGACCACGCGCACCTCATTTGACTCGTGTGACCGTCCCGCCGCGAATGCTTCTGCTTCTTCCTCGTCGTCGTCCTCGTCTAAGAAGAGTGGGGTAAAGGATTACAAGGAGATCATCATCGTGCGTGCCTTTGTCTTCTTCGCGGGGGACACGTCGCTCATGTGTGCATTACGTTCTCAGAGTGGAGTCTCCACGCTTCTGCTCATCCCTGTGCCCTACCTCATGTCTGAGCGCAAACGATCAAAACAGGCCGCGACGCCAGACGAAGTCCCAGGTCTGTCCATCTCCTCACACGCCCGAGCGAATCGATGTCTCACCTGTTCACACAGAACTGGACGACGAGGATACCGGGGATCTATTCAGCCGCCTCTTCCGGAGGAACAGCAACGGCAAGGGCAAGGGGCGCGGGTACTTCGATATCCAAGGCTCGCCTAGAGCCAACTCCGGCCCGCCGAGCCCCGCCGACCCACCCACGCCCGGCGATGACGATCCGTTCCTCTACCACCTCCCCGAGCACTCGCCCACGCTGCCGCACCCACCCCCCGCCGAGCGCCGCGCTGTGCACTTCGCGCTGCAGCCGCATCCGAACTCGGCTGCCGGTGCGTTCGCGACGCCGCCTGGCAAAGACGGGCAGGATCCGGCGTGGACAGACTATTACTGAATCTCATTCGGGTTCGGCAATCAGCGGGGTTTCCCGGGTCTCGTGTCCTTTTCTTTCATCTCGGGGTTATCTTGATGTTGTACAAATCAATCCAACGAGGGCACCTCGCAACATATGTAGTAGTACCAGCAACACTCTGTATCATACCATACCAGCTATCGTACCACACGTCACGCATTCATGAATTCTACGCCGACGCTAGTTACAACCGAGTCACGGGGCGTGTCGTCCTAGGCCGGGGATTAAATTCCCCCGCTGGTCAGATTGTCCCATTTAGAATCCATTTTCTGACAATCTGCATGTTACGGAAGGTCTCCAGACGGCGTCCGGCTTTCACAACGCATGTGATCAGGTCACGAGGACTGGTTATATGTCACGACGCAAAACTTTTTTTTTTTCCTCCGAGTCGCTGGCGCGATGTTCCATTCTGCCTATGCTGTACGCTGCGAGAGGACACTGATACAGAAACCTACGTAGAATGAAATCAACAACCTTCGTGGGAACTTTTGCAATCCCGGTTTACTCCGACATCATCAACTGAGTTACTTATGCGCGTCTGCAAGCCGACGTACGGGCTCGAAAATCGCGGCTACTACTCCGTCAGTCAGGATAAGATCCAGAATGCGGTGGACGCGTTGGTCCAGATTCCCTTCGAGCAGATGCGCGACGAGTGGAGAGCTCCTCCGCAGCGTACGATGTGGAGCGTGGAGGACTTGCTGGTGCGTTTGAGTTCGGCAGCTGCTCATACTAAGATTGTGCTCACAAGGAGTATAAGGAATCCGCGACAGACGTGCAGGCCACGCGGAAAGCGCGGCTGGTCGCGGACTGTCCAGGGCTCTTCACTGGCCCAGGTGGCAGCGAGCTTAAACAAGCCAAGACCTGGCTGCCTGTTTACCTCGCCACGGCTCGAAACGACTCCAATTCCGATTCCGAAACGAGCTCCACAGCCACGCCATTCCAAGCTGTAATCGGACTCTGGGCACAGACGGGCAGCAGCCCCGCCATCCGGTCCCTGTCGCTTTATTGCAACCACATGGGAACCAAGCACTCGGTGCAGTCGTTTTCGAAAGGGGGCTTGAAGATGGCAATCCAAGTGTTTCAGGAGTACGCCGAAAGTGTCAGTGAGCGATTTCCGTGCGTCGGTCACGTATCCGTCCGAGTCAATCAGGGTATCGGCACACTGCGGTGGAAGAAGCTACCGAGTTCGAACAGGCAGAAGCTGCGGCTCGTGTATGACGATCTGCGTCCCCGGTCTGTGCTTGAATGGAAAACTCAACTGCGTGAGTCGTTTGCTCAATGAGGTATCTGGACCATTTCAACATCGCCGACAGAGACCGAGGCGACCTCGCCCACACCAGAGGAATCAGAAGGCTCAGAGTCCGTCGATGAAGACGACGACACAATCTTTCGGGAAAAGGCGGAGAAGATCGTTGCACGCATCTCCGACGAACGACTGGAACAAAGAATGGCCCATGCCCGCGATGGTGAACTCTGCTTCATAGCCATTGGTGTCGACGAACGCCTTTCGCCCGCCTCGCTGCTCGCCGCATTGCCAAGCAAAACCTGGCACATCCCGGAATACGACGTCACTTTTTTCATCGAATCTGGCGAGAAAAAGTTCTATAGGTGCGGAAAGGTGGAGACTGCGCCGCGCGCCATAGGGAACAGACTGTCCATCAACTTCGGGTTCCTCAGGGTCAGGGGTCCGCTCGCTCAGGACGACCCACTCGCCGGCTTTGTTTCTGGAGAGTGCGGAGACTACGGTGTCGTTCTGGCTCGGTCCGTTTCGTATGCTTTCCGCCACTATCCTGATCTGGCAGAGGAACTAGCTTTTGAGATTTCTCGAGGTGATCATAAAGAATTACCACCGAACCTGAAGAAGCTCGTGCAGCTTGAGGACAGCGCGCGTTATCGTGCCGCGTTCTCGGCGGCTGCTCGTCGCAAAGAGCTCCTCGCACATTCTGCCAAAATCGAGCTCGTAGAAAGCTACGAATCATCGTATAAACACTCGCAGTTAGCAAAGAAACTGGGTCTGACGCTTATGGTTGTTTCAAAAGCTGTTTGGGAGCTCGTTACAGCCTGTGGGGCATTTCACTCTATCCCTCGGTGTGCAGAACTGAGAATTCTCGCTGCTGAGCCCCAACCGCCGTCGGCCGATCTGGAACGTTTGCGCGCTGCCATCGCCACGTTCGCGCCAACCGTTCCCTCGGAGAACGTGTCGATTCGTATTTCTGGTTTTGAGGGAGCCCCGATGGCCATTTACGATCATGAGCAGAATGTGTTCGCCTTCGCTTCACCGCCCCCGAATCCTGACTCGGATGACCCCTTGCACTGGGCGATTCCATTCCTCGAGTGTGCACTGACTGCGTTCGATGGGACAGTTGATGTCAAAAAGCTCTGCACTGCCTACGCTGCGGCGAAGAACTGGGCTGCACCGCCTGGACAAGAGCCAGGAACCGCTGAAAATCCAATGGATATTGGTTCGTCTCTGGCTCCAGTCCGAGATCTTGCCAATTGATTTGACTGTCAGATTCAGATACGGCGCAATGTCCTGACCCAGGTAAGTCCATTTCAGACGTTCATGTATACCCACAGACTGGCTTATCCGTTCTTACAGAACAAGTGCTCGATAATGCGACTGCAGCCGCTGTCGCCGCAGTCACCCATCTATCTGCCACAAACAAGCGAATTTATCTGGAATCACAGTGCAAGATCACCGAACTACAAGAACAGCTGAGGGGTAGCCAAATCGAACATGAGGAGGCCGTGAAAACGATCGAGGTTCTGAAAGAAGAGATTACCGAACTAAAGAAACAGCTCGGTGAGATCGAGGGCGTTATTTTCAGACATAAGCGCCCAAGGCTGGAGTGATATATTCTGGGCAAAGTCTTCCCCGTAATCATGTATCATAAAGTTCTTTGTGAGTTCAGCGTCACGATCCAAATCGAAGTACCGGTAAAAGATGAATTATTCGGGAAGTGTGGCGCAACGATTGGCTTAGAAACGTGAAATGGATTCATGACTGGATGAATTTCAGAGATGACGGGAGGGAGAGGCATTTAGTATTCTCGGTGAGTCTGATCATAGAACGAATACTTCATATCATGCGCCATCCTCCAGAGAGAACATCGAAGTGAGTGCATCCTGTAAAGGTTGATTGGATCACCTTGCCGGTGTTTCATGGTCCGTAAATCGGGATGCTAGGGCGATGTTCCGAAACACGGAAAGGGAGATCGCATTTGAACACCGCTCCGCATGGATTGCTGCCATCCCGCAGCTATTGACCTCAGATCGTTCGACATGATCCACAATCTCCACGGATGGAAACACAACATCCTCGTCCGTGTAAATGAGATCAAAGATCCGTTCATACTCCACTAGAGTGCTTCCTCGACAAGCCTGACTGAAGCTGAAGTGCTGGAGGAGGAGATCGTAGGTCGGAGTGCACAGTCGGCCATCTCGGAAGTTCGTCAATTTCGGCAAGCTTCCCCGCTTTCTAATCGTGGATGCCGCACGAATTTCAACCAGAAGTTGTGTTTGATGCAAAAACGCGGGACGAAATCTGAGCGCCAACTTCGTAATTATAAGTGATGCCTTGTATCTGTTCATCTGTGTTCAAACAGCGGCTGTCGACCTTCGCCAGCAGACTTGGGCCGAAGATCCACATGATCCACATCAATGTAACCAGAGAAATTAACTTTGACGTCCGTTTCGCAAGTACCGACTTGTTAGAATTCTTCGGCGGACGTCCGGGCCAACAATTTGGTCAAAGAATCAGAAGATAAGCGAATCTGTGCGTTGAAATGCTGTGCTTACTTCTGTACTTACCGAGTCGTGCGGTGACAGAAGCCTAGCGAGTACGATATCTGGGACAATATCCTGCTCGACCTTCATCTCATGGTTGCATCTGAGTCCTGGCCATTCATTCCCCGGGCCCCGATTGCGATCGAGAAGTCGATTTCAACTTATTACGACCACCGTCGACGCCGCCAGGAGCTCCTCGCAGGAAGGACTCCAGGCGACGAGGCTGGTCGGTTGCAGCAGATCGCAGACAGGACTTATAGGCACGAAAAATGCCCCGATCAGTGCGTAGGCGGTGCGACTGGTCGCTTCCAGGCACTTGCGATTGGAATGAATGCTTCTTGCACTGCATTCCTTCGCACTGTCAATTGTGTCCCAAATCATCATGATCGCTCTCCGGTGCTCCTCACCCTCCTTTTCTTAGACGGGGTGGGTCTGCGTTAGTGACAACTAAACTTCGGCAGAAGCCACAGCGAACAAAAGGGCCGCAATTTGGATCCGTGGGGACTTGCCACACATCCTCGCTTTCGAGATGTTGGTTTTCCTTTCTTCGAGCCCTTTTCATCAGCCTGAGATAGATGCGTTTCTATCGTGTCCCCGAAGTTGCAAATAATTCTAACATCATATCAAAAGAAAAACTCGTCGCGGGTCAAACAGGTTGCTCTTGTTACCTGGTTCAGCAGATGTTGGATGTGAGAAGCCTGTTGGGATGAGGCATCCGAATCAGGTTCTTTGTCGAGTGCAGACAGGTGGAATGCGATGTCTGGTTTGAAGCGCTGATAGATTCGGTCTCGGACCTCCATCTCTGTACCGTCCAACATCATAACCTATCATTCCCCTCCACTTCTGCTGCAAACAGAGTTGCGTTTTTGTGCTAGATGTGTTCTTGTAGCTCTGGTACCACTGTCAGCCCCCTTCTATAGTGCTGATTCCTTTGTCTATCAATCCTCTTTCTGAAGCTGCATTCACGTCCCATCAGACAATGTCAGCGCCTCTTTCTAACATTCGATCGGATCAAGCTTCCCGTGGCAACTAACCCCTTCTGCCGCCAGCATCTCCTTGATCGATAGTCTGGTAACTCCCATCTATCCCATTGCCTATATCAAGTTGAGTCGTCTCAGTCTAGGGAACTAGGGGAAAGAGGGGGGGATTGACCCGGAATGAGCTCTGGGAGCATTTGTCTGCATCATGTCGGGGCTCTTCTGTCTCAAAGGTGGAAGATTCAACGGCATCTCCAAAGAGACGGATCAACGCGCCAAAGAGGGTAAGACATTGCCACCCGGTTTTCCTCACACGACAGAAGATTCAAGAGCTACGGGACAGGGAATGCGGTTTATGCTGAAGGGTTGAAGGCAACAGGCCTCTGAACATGCTCTGCAACAATTCCGAAGTGTGCTACTGCAGCGGAGACGAGACAAGTTGAGCGGTTCCATCAAATCAACGCAAGGTATCACCGTACACTTGGATCATCATCATAATAAATCATTCACGCGTGGGTGCCAGAGCCCGACTGGTTCTGATTTTGTTAGAAAGAGCGATGGAACGATCGTATCTATATGTATCCGATTTGATTGTAGTTGGGACCCAGGAGAGAATGCATAAGAAAGCCACACACACCCGTCACTTGTTGTCAGAGCGCACGCCTAGTCAACACTTCCGACCATATTTGAAGGTTGGGCTCAAATCACACATCCAGACCTCAACCTCACTACCCTGGTATAGCTCATTCTTCTAATTTCGAGGCAGTCAAAACACGTTTCCAACATCGTTGCAACTGTGGAAAACGTTTTCTGTGGGTTTCTGGATAAGACATGTTGATGAAGCTATGATCTACAGCCTTGTAGAACTCCCTCGTCCCTAGGTCACCGAGCTTTTTTCATGCCTACAACAATAATCACTCCTTCGGTTCTTCTTCCTACCTCATTCCAGACTTTTTCTAACACACTCGCCCAGAGTACGAGTAGCCTAGCCCTCGAGACTCATGCTGGCTCAATATTTACCGTGACTCTTCTTGTCCCATTCGCCCCGACAAGCTCCTTTTCCCTCACACAAGGCTCGGGTAGTGGCACAGACAGCTCTGCTCAAACTAGCACCGCACAGACATCCCGTGTCGCTTCAGACAGTTCCAGGAGCCACGGAGTCATTATCGGGATCGCGCTCGGTTCATCATTGGGCGGAATTCTCGTGTGTGTGTTATCTGCGCTACTCCTCATCCGGCGGATAAAAACCAGGAGGAGGCTTCAGAGTCTCACACAAGTCGAGGAAAGAACCGGCAACATCGTTGCCCCATATGCGGGTACTGCATCCTCTGCTCCCCAGGTCAAGACCGAGCGGCGGGATGACAGACGAAATATCTCTGTCCGTCGGAATTTCAGCCGCATGGCTGAAGAGATTCAGCAGCTGCGGGGACAGGTGATGCGACTAGAGTTAGAAGGTTGGAGCCGAAGACCAGTCGGAGAGGAAGAGGGGGACGCGCCGCCTGAGTATGCTAGTCACGGTGGAGATTGAATTGGATGTCTAGATATGGCTCGTCCTACGACTCATTGATGTAATCCGGAAACATCATGAATTCCTACTTTAATTCGATATTTTTGCGTGCCAACGCCGTCACATCGCATTTGGTTTGAGTCGGCATGATTATGAAACAGGTCACACAATGATACCAAGAGAAAACGCGTGGGGGAGATCTCCAATCCCAAAAAACGGGTGCACTGGCCTTAAGTGGACAGCAAGGTCAGCGTGATGACAGCACGTGATCGTGTCTTCTATGCTGTGCGAGCTACTTTGTCATCTTCTACCTCTCCACTTTCTTACCGGCAACGGGCAGAAGCAATCACAATGTGAACCTTAACGACACAGAGAAATCACTTTCTCCTTACTGCATAATATCATTCAATGAGCAAAGCGTGACACTCTGTGAAGACAAGCCCTGAAACAATCGGCCTCGGACACTTCCTCTCACCGGTGGGCCCTTCGATGCCCGGAAATCGCTTAGCCGGGAGCCGTGAAGACAGAACAATCCTTCACAAGGAGAGGATCGACCACGATGGATGCATCACTCTATCTCTCGCGGAATATGCCACTCACCGTGTCCCGAGCTGCATCCTGGCAGACTCGAAATCTCCTTACGCCATTCCCTTCTCTGTCCAGCGAGCCATTCCCCTACCTCCAGCGAGCCAACCGAACTTTTGGAATCCCGGCGAGCAACTGGGTTTTCCGTTGCCCATAATGTATGGGCGCTCATTCCCGCTCTGGTATACCAGTAGTCCGCATACCACCCCATTCCCAGCGACCCGAACCCGATCCAAATTGCCTGACAATGCAAGCCGCACTCTCATCCCCGACTCCGCCCTGCATTTCTGTGCCGATCAGCGTAGGCTGTGCGAGCGACTTTCCGGACTGGCTAGCTCTCCCTCCAGGACGGTGAGATCGGTGTATGTGCGCGTGTATGTACGCTCCTAGCAAACCTGGGAGGATTCTAATCGCGTGTTCAGACGTTGTTGATCCTGTGCATGGTACTCCATGAGAAGTGCCGGAATGTGACGATGAAAGGCCAGATCTCATTATGAGGATGGGAACGGATTACATGTTCGACCGGTGGCCCGAGCCTCTCTTCATTGATCTTGTTGGCCAAAACGAAGTCGTTCTCTGGTTGCACTCTCGAAATTTACGGCAGGACAACCAAGTACGGTCTCTCATTGCGGTACACCCGATGCAGCAACAGGGCTTCCCAATCAGGCTTCTGGTCAGGGTGAGAAACGAGCTCTCATGATGCGCTCTCGAAGCGGAAGGACCGTATGAAACGTCATCCCTTCCTCGGCTCCCTTTCGCCTTCTTCTTCACCGTCTTCCCTCGACATCATGGACGATGCAAGCAAGCCGCACTCGCTGCCCCCACCGGACTCGCTGTCGTTTCCGTCTGAATCAAAGCAATCAACGCATGTGCATCCACCCAAACAAGACTTTGGTTTCCTCCCAATTCCGACACGCCTCCAGTACGCTCCAGGCAAGACATTTGGCTTTGGGCTGGGGATGAATCTGGGACTCGGCTTCGTGAGCACATTCAGTACGTCCAGACATCGCCCCTGTGGTCTTCTAGCGTAACGTCTGACCACTCCCAGCCGTCGCGAATGGATTCTATTGCCAGCCTCTGTTGAGTGCGCGTCGTCCCTCGGAGCCCTCTTGGGTCACATAGTGCTGACCACCTGAGTGCTGACAGTCAAGATGGCGGAGTCCTTCGGGGTGTCGTATTCACGAGTGGCAGAGTACGTCTGCTGCTGTCATCATTTTCTCAGTCTCTGATACGTGCCGGGGATGTGTAGGGTGCCCACGCTGTTGCAAGCTGGGTATATGCAACTGCTAGAATCTGCTTCTGGGTGATGATCAAGCTGCTCGTGCAGGTACGCTGCCGGCGTCGTGCTTATTGGGCCCTTGGGCGACATCACGAGACGTCGGCCTCTTATTCTGCTGCTCGTGGCGACATCCGTGCTGCTCACCATCGTGAGTCTTACCACGGGAGTCCTCGTCCGCACTGAACGCTGACCGCAAACTGCGCAGGGGCTCGCTCTAACGCACAACTTCCCCGCTTTCGAAGTTCTTTCGTTCTTTCTCGGCATGACCTCAGTAACCACCAACATCCTGCTGCCCCTGACGGCCGACCTCGCGCCTCCCAATCGCCGCGGCACCGCGCTGTCCATCGTCATCTCCGGCCTGCTCCTCGGCGTCCTCATCGCACGTGTCCTCGCGGGGATCTTCGGGCAGTACGCCACCTGGCGCGCGACGTACTACTTCGCCGTGGGCGTGCAGGCGTGTGCACTCGGCCTCTGCTGGCTCATCATCCCGGACTGCCCGCCTTCGTCAGGGCAGCAGCAGCTGTCGTACTTCAGGATCTTGTGCTCGATGGGGAAGCTTGGTGCGACGGAGCCCGCCCTGATACAAGGATGCTGCGTCAACTTCGGGACGAGCGTGGCCTTCACGAGCTTCTGGGTGACGCTGACGTTCCTGCTTGGGGGTCCTGCGTTTGGGTACTCGACGTGCGTCTGTGGAGGTCACACTCCGTTCTTCGCAGCTTACAGGATGCAGGCTCGACATCGGTCTCTTTGGCCTGATCGGCATTGTGGCAGTCATGGCGGCGCCGCTCACCGGACGGCTGATCGACGCGTTTGTCCCCTGGCACGCTACGCTGATGTCCGTGGCATGTTTGTGCCTATTCTTCGTCATCCAGACGCTGGCGGAGGGCCGCAGCATCGCCGCCGTCGTCATCATCGCCTTTGGACTGGGGCTGTTCCGCCAGATCGTTCAAGCTTCGGTGCTGACCCAGATCCTCAGGTGTGTTTCTCTCCTCTTCTCGACGGGCACAAGACTCGATTTCGCTCACACGCACGCAGCATAGCACCAGAATCACGCTCTCGCATGAACGCCCTCAGTACCCTCTCGGCGAGTCACACGCATTCTCCTGATTGCCAGGCATCTTGCTGAAAACGACATTTTCGCTAGGTTTGTGTCGGACAAGTCGTCGGCACCGCAGCAGGGACCGCGGTTTATCTTCGATACGGCTGGCGAATGGCAGGGCTGTTGTCCGTCGCACTCTGTCTGTGGCAGATTCTGATACTCCTCCTGCGTGGACCGCATTGTGAGAGGTATACTTGGTTCGGGTGGCAGGGTGGATTGGGCATCTTCAAGCGGCGGGTGGGGTGACTGGGACATATGAAGCATTTGCTACCACACCGGTGGTGAAACGGTATCATGCTTGCCTTCCAGTCCTGGTTGTCTGTCTTGTAGCAAGCGGCACGGGTTCGACTCCCGTCCGGTGTACGTCACCCTTTCCTTTGGCCGTCACTTCCTGCTAGGGTTCGATACACATGAACTTTTTCTTGTTGTTGTTGGTGAAATCTTTCATTATTGCTCTTGAAACAAGCAACCAGGAAGATCTGCGCATTTCCAACCTGTCCCTAAATCTCATGTACTACTTCAGCATCTGATTGCCAAACCCTCATCGCTCCCGTTCGATCGAGGCCGAAGTCTGGATCATCAACCTGACTCCTTCAACCGGGACAGAACCACGTCGGTTAGAGTCCGCTGCATGCTCATCTCGTCACTCTCACCTGGCACTTCTTGTGCTGACTATCGGCACGGCGAATGTCCGTCGTCTGGCAGTCGCCTGAGGGTCAAAAAGTATTTAGCGCCGCCTAGTGCCGTCGTGAGTCCTGCCAGTTCTGATCTCAGGTAGCGTGCAGAAATGCCCAGCAGCACCATCCGCACGGTCTTCATCACCGGTGCGAACCAAGGTGCGTGCCCTCCCACCCCCCGCGCACGCCGATGCCCAACGCTCATCGCCCGTCCCCAGGTTTGAGCTACCACACAGTGCACCAGCTCGCACAGACCCCGCACGTGCTCGTATTCATGGGCGCGCGGCGGATGTCCGCCGCCGCCGCGGCTCTCGCGCCGGACATGCACGCCACGTCCGCCGTCGTGCCCTTCTACATCGACCTCGGCATCCCCGCTTCCATCACCGCCGCGAGCGAATCCGTCGCGTCGGCGCTCAGCACGCGCGGCCTCCCCGCGCTGGGCATGCTGATCAACAAGTGCGCCCCCGGTTTGGGCCTGCATAGGCGTGCCTCCAGCTGACGCGCACACAGCGCAGCGATGGGCGAGGGCCGCCCGGCCGACATCCTCGCGATCAACGTCGCGGGCACGATCGCCGTCAAGGACGCGTTCCTCCCGCTGCTCGCGCCCGGCAGCGGCGAGATCATCAACGTCTCCGGGTCGATCGGGTCGCAGAATCTGTACGCTGGGCGCCCGCCGCTCGTGCGCGGCCCCGGCGCATCCCGCACGTACTGCGCGAGTAAGGCCGCGCTGAATAACCTCACGCTGCAGTGGGCGTACGAGGAGGAGGAGAAGGACAGCGGGATCCGCGTTGTCGCCATTTGTCCTGGCGAGTCGCGGCAGCGGTGTGTTTTGAGAGCTTGTGTCTGATTGATTTGCAGGGTACTGTGCGACGACGATGAGTCTGTTCGTTAGCACCGCGATGTCGCCGGCAGTGGGATGCAGGGTGATCGTGGAAGAGGTTTTATCATCGCAGGGCAAGAGCGGCGTGTTCTTCAATAAGGATGGGCCGTTGCCCTGGTAAAACTTTAAAGTTGTATACCCAGATGTATAACAAGCGGAATACAAAGATTTATCTCTGAATTTCGTACTGATTATTACTGGGTCCGATATCCGAGGAGGATCATAATTTGCAAGGCGTCATAGCTCAGCTGGGAGAGCGATAGACTGAAGATCTACAGGTCACGTGTTCAATCCACGTTGATGCCATGGTTCTTATTTTGCAACAGGCAACTTTATGACATTTCATCCCGTTTCCGCCATGCTCTTCATGAGCTCAAACTTGCATTACCAGATTTTTACTACCGCCATGTTACCATTAATTTTTTCACGCACGCAGCACTCAGTTCACAGGTAGAATAGCAGAGTTCTGGAACTTCAGAGAGTCGACGGTGAATTTTAGTCGATCCCTCATGGGCAAATGAGCTGGGTATCCCAGTATTGGATCATAGATACTTAAATTCTGCGGACCAGTTTCAAACCACACTTCGAATAGCCTTGTCGTGAACACGTCGACTTCCCTGTCTAACTGGTATTATCCACTGACGTTCAGGTGGTGCCTGACCTGTCTCTTTTCCTCATTCCGTCCCGACCTCTGCGGAGCCCGGGCGGACACGCTGATTGCCAATTTCTCGAACCAAGTCCCCCTCCGCGTGCTCTTCGGGCTACCCGGCCCGCGATCCCTCAAGGAAGATCTTCAGGGCCAAACCCAAACACTCGAAGCGCCCTTCTGGGAAAGTCGATCTCATAATTTCTGAGTTCGAGCGTGATCGGTCCAGGCAATTATGCGGGAATCGACAGCGCCCCACCCTCGGCCGCGGTGCCCGAGAAATCGGTGGTCGCAAAGCACCGTCAGAGCTGCGAAATACAGACAGGACCTGATACCGGTCTCTCAACACGGATCACTCAGACTAACCTACGAATACCCGGTGAGACTGACAAGTTACAACAGGCGCTGTTTAGATTCGATGAATATCCATTATGCATCCCTCGGTATTCAGGCCCGGTGTTAACTCAGCCCATGGAGCCGGGAGGAAAACTCTTCGCGTCAGACCACATGCATAATGATACATAACAAGACCTGTGTCGATTCCCCCGTGCGCACGACGCCGCTCTCGCTGGCTCCGCAGTCCCAGGACCGTGTCCGCGTCCGCTGCAGCAACTCCGACCGATCCGCGGGCGACTCAAGCCTGATCTCCGCGCCGGCGCCTCGATCTACAATGTATCTCACGTGCGGGCTGCAGCGCCGGCATGGCTGCTCCCGCGAACTGCGGAGGATATCTCGATTCCGCATCTGCGGCAGTCGTCGCCGCCCGTGCCGGCGCGTCGTCTTGCATGGATCTAATCTCGCTGGTTGTCAGATTCTCTTTCTGCTCATGCACTGCGGCTCGCATGCGTGCGATGCGATGTCCACCACCACCGTTCTTCCGCGGGAATTCGACACCGCTGTGTAAGGCATAATCGACTGCCGGCCCAATGAAGCGCCGCGCAGATCCGAGGGCGACCGGAGGTACAAAGGCATGTTTAAACGGCACAGACGGTGATATAAGACTGAGCGGTGGTAAAACTAACAAAAGTACACCGGACGGGAGTCGAACCCGTGCCGCTTGCTACAAGACAGACAACTAGGACTGGAAGGCAAGCATGATACCGTTTCACCACCGGTGTGCGGGCAAGACCGGAAGTATTCTGTTAGAATCATGCTGTTTCCATTATTGCAGTCGCTTGCCAGATCCCAGTTGTCGAATCGCTTCTCACACGCCTCCATTGAGTCATACTCTGATTCAGCACTCACTTGACCGATCGTATTTCCGGGTGCAATTTTCCAAGGTCGGCTTCTCCACTCTCGTCACCTGCGCTACGATACCTGACAGCCCGTTTCGCCTGAAGAAAGAACCGGAGGACCTCATGACCCGGTCACATACATCTACCTAAGCCACAGTAGCAATTCAGCGCACCGGTGATCGCACCGGTGCAAGCCTGCATACTGTACTGTATGCTGCACTGCACACCGGACCGCGGGCCTTGGAAGTGAGTGACATTTGCAATTTATACTTCGCATTTGCAGGTGCTGATGGACGGACGGATGGATATAATGGTCTGTGACTGTGTGAATGTGCGGATGTACTGGGGGCTGGGGGTGCTAGCTAGATACAGAATTGCGAAGGCGATCATATACAGTACGGTACGGTATTGTGCGTGGTATGCGGTGCGTAACGAGCGAAGTGCGGTGCTATCTATTATATAGGAAGGGCGGTATTGTCGTTAGGTGTATGTCGAGTACGGTAGGCTACAAGGGAGAGATAGATCGATGGCGGTGAGGATGATGATGATGCATGGGGCAGAGAGAGAAAGAGAGGGGGAGACAGATGAGTATGTAGCGTAACAAACAGACGGGAGCGTTCATCGGCGACGGCGAAGCCGGTCACGAAACCGGGATCCCTTCTTCCGCTTCTGACGCGACCTGCCGCGCACGACGGCGAGCAGGATCGGGGGGGCCGCAGGCTTGCCACATACAGGACGGATATTCCGGGACGAGGCGATGGTGCGACGGGCGCGACGACACGATGACGCGACGGAACGGTAGGGGATGCACCGTCCGGGGGGCGGATTCGATAGCAATGACGACAGAGGAAAATGGAGGAGCAAGGAGCGTGGGTCGGTCGGAGATTCGAGAGATAACAGCGGAGATTCTAGCAATGGAAGCCGCAAGTGTCTTGGGATCCTGCGCATTGGGGCATGCACCGGCCCGACAGCCACATCCAGATCCGCAAGGTGGGCAATGGGCAGACAACACAATGTGCGAGACTTGCCGCTGTCGTGTCCATTCACCCGCACCCTAGACAAGGATCCCAGACGGGACGGGCAAAAGGAGCGTGCGAACTGAAGCGGGACGTCAGCTTCCGTATGCCCCGAACCCGAAGACGGTTGCCCACGCTGAGTATGAGCAGTGCGGCTAGCAGAGGTCGAGGAGGAAGAAGATCCCGCCTCCCGCGCGGGATCGTACGCACGGGACGTCGCGCGATGCCGGCCTCCCTCAGCACGATACGGATGGAATCCGACATCCCCGTGCCGCGAGGAGGACGATGAAGACGATGGCGGAGGCGGTCCCGGTCCCGGTCCCGGTGCTGGCCCCAGCCCCATCAACGGCGGAAGCGCCCCATGCTCCCCCCGCCTGGCGCGCTCCCGAGGAGACAAACTTCTGACCCGGCTGTCCGGAGCAGCGGCCGACGAAGGCGGCGGCCCAGACGGCAACGGCAGGTCAAACGATGATGCTGACGGGCCAGCAGAATGCGGGACCGTCAGACCAGGCGGAGACGCGTCACCGTCGGCAGATAGGGGACGGCGCGTCCCTTCGCCAAAACTGCGCGAGCGCGCATGCCCTGGACGATACCCTGGGCTGCTCGGGAACGGGGACGAGTCGAGAAGGACGAGATGATGCGGCGGCATGCCCGCCGGTGGGGGCATCGGCATCGGCATGTACCCCACCCGCGCAGGCAGCGGTGCCCGCGACTGGATCGGCGAATATGCGAGCCCGGGATCATGCGCGGACGGACCGGGTGGTGCGGGATAAGGCCCTGCCGCGATGCCCATAAGCATCTCGGCGGGAGGGTGAATCGTATCGGGAGACTGCATCTGGGCCTGCGGGAAGAAGCCCGTCGGAGCAGTGCCGCCGAACGTGGAAGACGCGGGCCCGGGACCGGGCAGACGACGGATGTAGTCTTCGAGTGTGTCGACTCTGGCCCGCAGTGCTTCGAATTCAGAGCGGGGGACGTATTTGTCCGTGCTGCAGCCAGATGCAAATGAGCGTAACGTCGTACGAGAAAGTATCCGCCACTTACGCTGGCTCGACGATATGCCACCGACACTTGGCTTGGTCCCCCCTTCTCGAGCACGGACCACACGGCTGGGACCTGTTTTCGGCCGTTAGCACACGCAAACTCCCTCGAGACCAAGCCACAACGACACACACACCTATCGCACTTGATCTTACGTCTCTTGCATTCTAGACAGCGAGGCACACAACAACACATCAGAATCACATCCACGCCGGCATGGCACACACACGAGCACACACACGCACCGGTACAACTCAATGGCTGGCGCCTCCGCTTCTTCTTCGGCGGCTCCGGCATGCTGTCACGCTCGTCCCCATCTCCATCCGACTCCTCGACCGGGTACGACGAGAACGGGGGGAGCGTACCCCGCGCCTCCTCGTGCTCGCGGTCGCGGTCATAGTCGCGGTCGTGGTCCCGTGCGGCGGACGGGCCGGCGTGTGGTGGCGGGGTGCGGGAAACGGGCGGAGCGAGCGAGGATGGCGCCGGTGCGGTCGACGGGGCAGGGGGGAGGTAGGGGTGCAGCGAACGGATGCTGGGTAGAGACGGGCCGCCGCGCGCGTTGGTGGTGTTCATCGGGACGACGACGGGCGGGGGTGGATGGTGCGGCTCACAGCTCCCTCAGCCCACTGTGCGGTCCGACTGGCATCCGACGAGTGCAAGGGGGAGAGGCGTTGGCTGGGTGTGTCGACTGGGGAATGCTGGTCGAGGTGTTATTGGGCGGGCAGAAATCACCAGGGGTCCCTGTGTCTGTGCTTTATATAGAGTTAGTCTGGAATCGAATCGGAATCGCGCTACGGCACGGAGACTCGACTGGATGGGACCGAATCAGTGGTAAATTCCAAGAGCACAGCACCGGGCGCTAACGAACGCAGATAAGAACCCGAGCGAAAAAAAACCAGGACCCGAATCTCGTCTCAATCTGCGCGCGTGCGCGCCGCCTCCGTCCCTCATCATTTACAGTATCGAATCGGATCCAGATTCCAAGCGGTTTCGCGCGAGGGCCGAACGAAGCCCAAGAAGGACGGACTGACGGATGGGTGCCAGCCAGGCCCATCCGGGGCTATTTCTGCATTATCCCCGCTGCTTCCCTGCAGAACCGAGAGATTCGATGCAGATTGAGTGCGAGCGCAGGTGGTAACGTGGCCACATCGCCGTAGCCGGACCACGTTTTCCCCGAAGTGGCTGGTGTCGTGATGATCGTCGGCGTGGCCCAGATTCGCATCGTCGCTCCCCGCCGTGGCGCGTATGTAAGGGAAGGATGAATAGCGTCCCCGGCTTCGGCCGCCGCCATCGTTCCCCTTCCCCCTCGCTAGAGAAGGACGAGAACACCTCCAAGAGTCCACACCCATGTGCTCGTAACGCCAAACTCGCCCGCCCGCCACCATCATCTCGTATCGATCCACCACACATGCGGGCGGCAGTTCGTCTCGCCTTCATTTTGATGATGGCGTTCGGACCGGACGTAAATTACCCACTTGGTCGCGAAACACCAATAGTCAGGTCTCATCCATCCATCACGCATCGGGATCTGGGAGGAGAAGGGCATAGCACTATGCGAAAGTGATGCGAGTGGCTGTGCACCCATCACATTCCTCAGTCCGCGAGAAACAGACTTGACCCTTGTTCTCATGTCAAAGCACCCATGCGCGATGTTTCCATTTTATTCGGCTAGGCGTCCGTGCATGCGATGCTTTCCACGCCCACGGCTCGACTTCTGTGTCGCAGACTTCGGTCTCACGTCTGGGTCTAGACCAAGGCTCTGCGCGCTGCGCTGGCTAGTAACATCCGTTTTTCCTCCATCCATGAACAGGCTGGGGGAATCTACGCAAGACATGACGCTGTATCAGCCATAGGGTGTGCCAAGCAGAGACGCAGAAGCGGCCATCCGACTTCATCTCCGCGCCGGTCCGTCGCTCTCCGCTGCCTGGCGCAAGACGGCTCAAATGTTCCTAACAGCGTATTCATCCGCAAATCCCGTTGGCACAACTCAGGCCCACGGCACGATGATTGGGGGGAGAATACCTTGCGCCCATTTCTGCTCGTGACCTACTAGCCGGAACATGCGCCAGGGGCAGCGTCCGGCCATGACCTCCGCTGTCTCTGTCCTCCTTCCATCCCCCGCCACGTACATGGGGCTATCGGATCCGCGCTGTGGAGATAGCGGGCGGGGTGAGGCGGCCTGACAAAGAGACAATGGGTCTTCCGCTTCCAGCTCGCACGACCGGACCGCCGCCGCATCTCGACGCAGCTTCCCCACTTCTACGTCCATTCCACTCGATTCTCGTTCCCAGGGATCACAGAATATCCACCTCGCGCCCGAGCGCGGCAGAAGATGTGAGGATCTCCCCACCACGTCAGCTTCGCCGTCGATCCGCCACCGTCAAGCCGGGCGTGGGTGTTGCTGATCATGAAGGAGCACCACGCACACACACACAATTCGATCATGGACTTCACAGCCAGCGAAAGGGCGTGCCGAACAGAACTCGGGTGCTGAAGGAGTTTGTGTGACTTACGGTGACGATCTCAATCTGTGGGCAAAACAATGAACGGAGTTTCACACGTGATCAATTTATCAATTTCGTGTGTGAAATGCCTCCGTCTCCATGTTTTTTCACTTCGCCCTTCCAGCGTCATGTTCTCCCCGTCATGAAAAATACAGGCGAGTTGTTCTTGTGATGAATGTGAAATTTGTATCGCAGTGCCCGGAGGGTAAGCGAGGGAGACTACTCACACTGAGCTCGGAGTTTCCGAGACGCAAAGTTCCGAAAACGAGGATCGATCGATGATGTTATATTCCTTTCGCTAATGCCAACCCAACAGTCCCATGTCAAATCCCCGGGCAATTCCCTGCCTATCGTTATGCTGAATACCGCTTCCCAATGCCAAGGTAGAGCCAAGGATCGCCGTCGAAATTCATCGCAGGGATCATGAGCGGCGAACGCGATTGTATATAATCGTGACGAGGCGAGCCCGCCGACACTTTCTGATATCTGATGCCCCGGTCGACGCGCGAAATGGAGCTTTCATTCATTTCTGCGCGTTACGTGAATCGCCCGTCGATCGATGGAATGACCTCGCGCGCTTGGCGACATTCATAAGAGCCTGTTCGGGTGGAGGTAGCTTTTTTGATAGTAGATCCGCGCGTCTGACCGTCAAACAGACTTGAGCGGTTGTTCGGACGGATGCAGCAGCACCCGTAGAGTGGGGATGTGCTGTAGCTTTTAATGGACCTAAATTCCACAAGTCGTGGTAAGTACTTGGCTTTTAATAGCCCCGAATCCCTTAAAGTCTGTTTGACGGGGATCCAGCCCCATCTCCAGGATGTGGGATCCGAACAGACAGCAAGTCTGTTTGACGGTAGGATAAGGACGGCGTCCGAGCAGTGAGCTGAAAGGCGGAACTTGGTTAGTCTCGTGGTCACAGATAACTTCGCATGTTCCGAGCCGAGACACTGTCCTGGAAGTCATGCTGCCAGAATGGGAAAGTTCAATAGTGACGTCTCAGATCGTCACTGAACTAAACTTGCACACGACATATATGCGAACGGCAAACGTAACATTCGAGAATCCATCGATTCCAAGAGTACGGTACTGCATCACTACAAAAATAATAAGTAGAGCAAGGGTGTCACGTCCTAACGGGCCGCCGCCAGCCTAGAAATTGTGGCACGGACTTGAAGGAAGTATTATTCTCCCTAAGCAAAAGAGCTCAAGATCTCCCCGTATTGCAACAGGAACACCCCAAATATCAGCTCGCCAGGTGACTTTCGATAAGGGATCAAACCGCGCGCAAGTGCCATTTATATCAGATCAACGCGCACGGACCAGTCACGTGCCTTAAGTCAGTATAAATTCCGTCGGAGTTTGAAATGAGGGCTCTCCTTACAGTCATCGCGCAGCGACTTTCAGCCAATCCTCTCTTCTCTCAGTGGGAGGTGCGAGGGAGCGCCGCGCGTCGAGTGATTCTCCAACACTGGGCATGCCGTTTATCGTGTGACTCTACTGGTCAAGTGGCTAATCAGCGGCGGATACATCGTTCTTTACGCACACATGCATGTACGTAGAGTCGCTCCAATGCACCATATCGTCTCCCATTTTTTCGTCGCTTCCGGCGGGGACGCGTGATATATGTCCGAAACCCATCATTGCAGCTGTCCTGTGGTACTCGCCTAAAGTTTTTGCCCCAGTGAACGGCCCAGACTGCTAGCTCTTTCTGCTACCGTCGTCCATAAGGGTCAAGGTCTGTTTTAGGAAAGTGCGATCATGATCCAATGCTGGGGTGCAGTGAGTGATCTCCAGTCACACCGAGGCCCCTCCTCGGTGTGTCATTCGTTGTTAGTCATCGCCTGGTTATCTCTTCATCCCATCGTTATTTGTCGCGTCGCGCTTGGACCAGCGCGCTCTATGTGTTCTTTGTGTGTACGGCTACAACCTCTCATTCATATATATCCCAGTTAAATATGTACACACCCTCTGTGCTCAAACCCGATGAGAATTTTACAACTCTTATTACCCCTCCGTAAAACACGACCCTATCACTTTTCAAGGGCAAGGTCTGATTTACCCACGGAAGAACGCGAAGACCCCTGCACCGACTCTCCCCCTCCTCCACAGACGATGGGCCATTGCGATGGCTGCTCAAGCGCTCACAGCTTGCCCGCCGTATCAAGCGCTCAACGACAAGGGTGTCAAGAACCCCAAACCGGTCTTTTTGACGCGCGACAAGTCAAACTCACGAGATGACCTCAGATTAGCCGACAGGCAATGCTTTTTCCTCTAAAGCATTGGTCCTAGGATCTCTCAACATACTAATATTTACTGTACAATGAAAAAAAAAATCACTCTGCAGCGCGAAATTACTAGAAGCCGTCGTTGCCATCGACGACGACGGCGCTCACTGTACCGAAAAATGTCTCCCGATATCACCTCACTAAGCAGATATGAGGCATAGGGTCACGGAGTGCCAGGACCCCCAGCACTTAGTAAATTTCCATCATCAAGATAGACCTTGACCCTTATGGACGACGGTATTCTGCCCCACCACTTCTCGGCGGCCGGGCGCACACACATGTACGTACGTACGACATATGTTGTAAACGTCCCAGCCAGATCTTCCCACCCGTCTTGACCACACTCGCCAAAGTGAAATTTCTGCGGCGAGGCAGGCGGGAAGGCTTGGCTGCACCGCGCCCCTCGCTAAGCGCACAAAAGCCACATGGCGCGCATCATCACGCTGTGCGGTCTATTCGAAGTGCCGCGCTTCAGGAAGGCGGGCTCGACCGGGCACGAGAGGATCGCGCAGCAGGGCTGCGGCAGCTGCGCGCTGTTTTTTTTCACTCGTTCTAGATGTTCCGGGAGTGTGCTCGTGTTGCTGTGATATTAGGTCTACTCAATAATTGGTGGTCAAGCCGTGGTGATCAAACTTGAGATCGCTAGCGTGATGCTTACTCAGTCATTTTCTCTCGTTTTCCTCAGGTCGCTTTCCTGCAATAGAGAAATTGAGTGTACTCCGGATATGAACCGGTTGCTTTTTTCCGAATAGCCGAAACCTTGAAATGAGCAACGTGAGCACTCTAGGTGAATCATGGCATGAGATCCAGGAGAAGTTGAAGCCTGATCAATTCAGGCCTGATCTGTAGCTCCTTGTGGAGATTTACTGAATGGGGACACCGACTGACCCATCCATCGTTGTACGTACGCACGCCATATTTACCGTATGTTGTTTCACCTGCAGCCGGACGAAGCCCGGAGACTAAGTTATTCCACGTGGCTTCATGCATGAGAAGACGACGTTCAAGGTTGTCTCGGGCCCCGCACGCCTAAAGTCGAATGATTCATCCGGATGCCCTACAGACACCGCGCTTCGCAGCAATGGACGCACTGGCCGCTGCGCCCACGGCGGTGGGCCTTGTGCGTCGAGTCCCGCCCGTGCACAGGTAGGGTGAAATGTTTCTCCGAAGAAGTCCTATTCGAACGGACCACATCGCATGATCCGTCTGTCCACCCTAATTACTTGCCGGCGGACCTGCCGGCGGACTATCTAGCGGTCAGCCGCCTGATCAGGGTTATCGAGAAATCGCAGGTCGCAGCAGGTCGCCTCGCTTCCCCTCTGGTTTACTGTCCCGTTGTCGCCATGTCGTGCTGTACGTGCATGATCTCGTGTGCGAGCTTCAGATCCGGTTTCAAATGTCAGCTGCCCGAGCCTCGTGTGGCTGCTGCCGGGAAGAGAAGCGCTGTCGTCCGTAGTTTGCAGGCCCACCACAACGTGATCGACCTCCTCCACATCTCCAGACCAACGAATGCCAGATGAGGCCGTTTCAGTCCGGGCTTTTGGACATGTGGACGATGGAGTGGTTGCCTCGGACATGTTCGCCGTGCGTGGGGCTGCAGCCTAATCCGGGGCTCGGGCTCTGCTTCCAAAGGTTCCAGTCGCACCATAGGGTGTGTAAGCACCCATGGTTGCCGGTGCTCTGATCTAGAACATTGAGAGAATTATGCCAGGGACCCCTCCCGGGCCCCGGCGCCGCTCGGATGTTACCAAATGTCCGTCGTCCGGTTCGCAACAGCGCAGTCTTTCTCTTTTCGCGTTCAGCTTGACAATCGCAGTTACATCCAGATTCCAAAAACGAAGGCTCAGATGGTTTTACACATGGGATGGCACTATATACGTTCATGGCTCATCATATCAATGGCATCGCGTCCGGAGTCGCGCGATAGACAGTCACGGGACCGTGGTAGGCCTCAGATTCAACAACCGCCACATCCGAGGATGTTTGCCTCCATGGCACCTTGGACACCCCATAATTGTACCTCGAGAGGTACCTTTTTGAGGCCCAAAAAAGGTACCTCAGTGGTAGTGGGCGGCCGTGGGCTGGGCGGCAGCCGGGCGCCCCCCAATGCTCTGGGGGGCCCCAGCTACATTTTTGTGGGCGTCCAGCGGGCGTCCCTGGGCGGGCATGTGGGCGGGCCCATGGCTCCTGGGGTCCTTGTAGCGCGCGCAGCGCCAGAAAAATTTCCGTTTTTTGACCTATTTGGGAAGTTAAAGTCAAGTATATATTTGCAATCTATTCGATAATACGGGCGTACAACGTACATAGGAGCTAAATTTATCCTTTGCAGTCTATTCAATAATACGGGTGAGTGTATGCAATAATATTGATTTGACGCACACAAAAATCCTTGTTGCTTTTGTCATGGATATATAAAATCACCATTGAATGTACATAAGGGCTGTTTCAAACACTTGGAAGACACTCCTGTCAAGAATATATGGGGCCGCTTTCTCATGGGCTTATGAGTGACTTCAATCATATGCATCCACAACATTTTATGCGGTAGATATCATCAAATCTGTTTTGATCGAATGTTGATTTCTTCTTATGGACATAAGGTGATTCCCAGCGGACTACCACATGTGACCTGCTCGAAACCCGGGAAAGTGTGGGCCCGCCCATAGAATAACGGGCCTGCCCAAATAAACGTGGGGCGCCCACAGAATTACGGGGCTGCCCACAGAATACCGGGGCCGCCCAAATAAGTATGGGGGCGCCCAGAAAAGTATGGGGGTGCCCACAGACGCCAAGAGAACTATGGGCCCGCCCGCAGACGCCAAGAGAACTATGGGCCCGCCCACGGATGCCAAGAGAACTATGGGGCCGCCCACCCGTACACGCGTATTAAAGTGATACCAAATGTTCCCGTGTATCAAACCTTGATTGGCGCACTAGGTCACAAACCTCTTTTGCCCACTTGAGATTCTATGCTATGTTGATGCACAGCACGGACCCACAAGAAATTTACATTTGCAAACACAAGTAATTAAAAATGCTCGGGCTGTGCAGCCGTGCAATGAGTGCGTGCCCACCATTTCAGCGATCATTACAGAAGATTGGACTCGGTATTATAGACGGTGCAAAGTAAATACGCTTTTCTCTAGTTGTTGATGACTGTAAGGGCAACCTCGAGGCCCGATCTCAGAGTCCTGACAAGGGAGAGTCCAAAGCGTCAGATAAGAGGATCGACTAGTACAGGAGACTGGCAAACCTGACAAGGGAGAGTCCAAAGAGAAACCGAGTTGGGGACTCTCCTTGTCAGGGCCCACTATATATAGCCTACAGAACAATGGATGACCAAGCACAATGGAAGCGCCAGACAATGGGGCCAGGGGACGATGAGGGGCCGGATCGGGGGGAACAATGGGAGCCGGACCGTCGGGACAATGGGGGTCCGGGCCGGAGTGTCATGTGGACGTGCTTGGCAGGGAAGTCCGGACCGAAGCATGTGACGTTTGACAGATGGCACGTGCGCGGTCACATGCGAGATCCCATGATGATCGGACGAAAGCAGGGGTTCCCCTGACATCACCCCCCCTCTTGATTGCGGCGCCTCGACGCAAGGTACGGTTAGGGGTCGATGAGTTCCTGAAGGGTAGCGAGTCGAATACTGCTGCTGCAATGACACGTGGCTTTCCCGGGTATCTGCGGTAGAATGCTGCCACTGCGTCGTCAGCAAACACATCTGAGTGCTTGACCCACTGGTCGTGAGATGGGTCATAGCCCTTCCATCGCACTCGGAACCAGACACTCCGGTATCGCATCTTTGCGTCTAGGATCTCCTCCACTTCCCACTCCTCTCCTTCGCCTTGTCCCAGGACAGGGGGTGGTTCCTCGTGACGCGGGCGAGTGGGGAACGGGTCGTCTTCGGCCAACTGGAGCTTGACCACAGGGAAGACTGGGTGGAGGCGAGAGAGGCTGGTGGGGAGGGCGAGCTTGTATGCGCCCCGGCCTACAACTTGGGTGACTTTGAAGGGGCCCAGGCGTCGGTGGGAGAGGCCGCGAGAGGGTCGCGTTGTCGTGATGTCCGAGGCGTCGAGCCAGACTCGGCTGCCAACCTTGATGTCGGGAGCGGTAGTCCTTCGTCGGTCATAGTACCTCTTGTACTCGTCCTTTGCTTTGACAAGTGCCAATTTAGCCTCGGTTACACCCGATGCGACCCGGTCCAGAAACTCATTGGCGGACTCTGCTCGGGTGGAGTGCTGCTCTGTTGGCTCGAATCCCATGCGTGGTAAACGTCCCGTGTCCGTCATGAAGGGAACCTGCTGGGTCGAGGAGTGGATGTGGTTGTTGTAAGCGAACTCAGCTGCGGGCAAGAGCTCATCCCAGTCGTCCTGCTTGTAGCTGGTGAAGATCCGGAGGTACTGCTCCAACTCCTGGTTGACCCGTTTGGTCTGGCCATCAGTCTGCGGGTGGTAAGCGGTGGACGTGGCAGGGGAGACGCCAACCAGCTTCCATAGCTCTTGGGTGAAGTCTGCCACAAACTGAGGGCCACGGTCCGAGACGTATTTGATGGGTAATCCGTGGTGTCGCCAGACATGCTTGTAGAACAATCGAGCCATCCCTTCGGCCGAGAGGCGAGTGTGGCACTCAATGAAGTGAGCACGCTTCCCTAGCATATCAACGACCACCATGATGGCATCGTAGCCATGCGCCTCAGGCAGCTCCACGATAAAGTCCACCAACACCGATTCCCAACGTTCCGAGGGGATCTCCGTGGGGTGAAGCTCTCCGGTGGGGAGTCGTCGGAGGGCCTTGGTCCAACAGCACAGGTCGCAGGTGGCCACGTACCGGCCAACATGTCGTGAGAGCTGGGGCCACCAGTAGTTCCGGGAGACCAGCTCCAGCGTCTTGAAGCGGCCAGCATGCCCCGCAACGCGGGTGTCATGATGTTGCTCAAGGATGCGTCGCCGTAGGTCTCTGTCGCGCGGGACCACTAGCTTCCCACGGAAGTAGAGGAGGCCGTCCTGGATGCGCCATTCCGCTGCTACAGCAGAGCGGGCCCCCTTCATCCCTTTCAGAAGCCGTCGCGCTATAAGCGCAAGTTCTTCCTCAAGGTCAGGGTCACCGGAGAGCGATTCCCGAATGTCGCGGACAAGCGGGGCTTCCGGGCCAGAGACGGACAGTCCTTCGAGTGCTCGCACATGGAACAGTTCCGGTTTCAACAGGGTAACGTCCGTGTTGTCCAAAGGGGCTCCGTGGTCCGGGCGTCGGGAGAGTGCGTCTGGTCGTCCCATGAGCCGGCCGGGTTGGTGGTGGAGCGTGAAGTCGAAGCGGGATAGGTAGAGCGACCATCGGGCTTGCCGGCGATTGAGGTTCTGGGCCTTGCGGAAGTACTCCAGGTTCTTGTGATTGGTCCAGATCTCCACCGGGTACTCAGCGCCCTCCAAGAAGTGCCGCCACTCCTCTAGAGCTCGCACAATTGCAAGCATCTCTTTGTCGTGGATCTCGTAGTTGCGCTGGACGTCGTTAAGGCTTTTGGAGAAGAAGGCGACTGGGTGCCACTTGTCGTCTGAGGGGGACTGCTGCGAGATGACGGCTCCTGTGGCAAAATCGGAGCTGTCAGCCTCTAGGCGATAGGGACGGGAGGAGTCTGGGAGGAGAAGAACCGGCGTAGAGGTAACTGCATCCTTCAAGGCCTGGAACGAAGTGGACTCGTTGTCGCCCCAAGACCATGGTACGTCCTTCTTGGTGAGGTCAAAGAGCGGGCGTGCGACGTGCGAGAAGTCCCGGATAAACCTCCGATAGAAGTTAGTGAACCCAAGGAACTGCTGCACTTCCTTCTTGTTAGAGGGGGCCAGCCATTCGGCCACGCCTGCCACTTTGACGGGGTCCATCTCGACGTGGTTGTGGGAGATGATCACGCCGAGGTACTCGATGGACTCCATCTCGAATTCGCACTTCTCGGCTCGGAGGTACAACTTGTTTTCGCGGAGGCGCCGGAGGACTTCGTTCACAATACGACGATGGAGGTGAGGATCGGAGTGCGCGATGAGGATGTCGTCCAGGTACACCATGACGTCGCCCGAGAGGATGAGGTCCTGGAGGATGTCATTCATCATGGTCTGGAACGTCGCAGGGGAGTTGGTAAGGCCGAAATACATCACCAGTGGCTCGAAGAGCCCACGGTTGGTCCGAAACGCAGCCTTCCACTCGTCTCCTTCTCGTATCCGTACGTTGTTGAAGCCCCATCGAACATCGAGTTTGGTGAAGAAGCGGGCACCCTTGAGCTTGTTGATCAGGTCGTTGATCAAGGGGAGGGGGTACCGATTCTTCACTGTCATTGCATTCAGTGCCCGGTAATCCTGGACAAACCGTAGGCTGCCATCCTTCTTCTTGACAAAGAAGACAGGGGAGGCCATGGGGGACTTCGAGGGTCGGATTCAGCCGGTGGCCATGCCTTCTTCGATGAAAGCGTCGAGCTGCTTCTGCTCCAAGGGGGAGATAGGGTAGACCTTGCAGTTTGTTGGCTTTGCATCGGGCACCAGTTCGATGGCGTGGTCCCAAGGGCGACGTTCCGGAAGATTGTCAAAGGATTCCTTGCTGAAAACATCCTCGAACTCGCGCGCCCACTCGGGTATGGAATCTCGAGAGGGGGCGGAGTTCTTGGCAAATGCCTCTGCAAGACGCTGGGAGACGGTGCTAGTGGCTCGGATGTCTTCAGAAGGGTTGAAACGGGTGTAGAAGATACGGTCACCGGTGTCCAGACAGTCTTCCTCTTCATCGGAATCTTCTCCGTCGTCTTCCTGGAGTAGCGGCATAGCCTCGTCTTCGCGGTCTTCCATGTCGACGACGCAGATGGAGGGGGCGGGGCCTTGTCGGGCTGACTGGAGTGCTCGGGCCAAAATTCGGGCTATCCGTCTCTCTTGGCGAGACTCCTCGGTGCAGGTGGAGCAGCCGGACGGGCAGCGGCTCATCTTTACTTCCTGCGTGTCCCAGTTAATTTCCGGGTTGTGCTTCCGAAGCCAAGAGTAGCCGAGGATCAGCTTCTGCTTGCCGAGCCGAGTGACAGCAAGCTGGACCCGCTCACTGTGTCCTTGGTAACGCAGAACCACATCGGCGACTTGTCAAATGGAGCCAGCTTCGTTTGGCGTGCCGTCCACATTGTAGACTGGGATAGGCTGGGAGAGCTGCCGGACAGGAAGTCGGTTTTCGGAGGCCTAGGTGGAGTCGATGAAGTCCGACGTGGCGCCGCAGTCGACCAGTCCGTTGAGAGAGAGCTGGACTGCGTTGTCGGTGGACTGGATCTCCAGGGGGAGGTGCAGGGAGTTGGCGCCAGGGGAGGCCGCAACTACATAGCGCTGAGGGAGTTTTCGTTCCCACTTTTCCTTGCGGACCAGCGGGACTGAGCGGGGGGCAAGAGGTACGTCTACCGTTTCGTTTGTGGGGGAAATGAGGTCGCATTCATCATACAGACATTCGAAACGATTACGTGAGGCGATCGAGGGCGTACTATTCACTCGTCGCGGGGGAGAAAACCCTGCTCCAACTTGTCGGCGATCTCCGCTTCATGCTCTTCTACGGCCGCTGTGGTTGCCAGCCGGGCTACTAATTCCGCCAATAAGTCGCTTCCCAGCTGATTGATCACTTCGTCCAGGACGTCGGTGTGCCGGACATCAGCGGGGGTCGGGCAGTCTCGGGCCAGATGTCCTGGGCTGCCGCACCGGAAGCATGTGCGACAAACACTGTTGCGGGCTCGGGTTCGGTCGATATCCATGGGAATGCCCGGTGGGAGGACTACCGGGGCTGGTCGGGGAACAGGGGGTGGGGCGACCACCGGAGGAGCCATGGGGCGAGGGCGGGGGGCCGCAGGGGGCGGAGCGCAGGATGGAGAGAACACCTGTCCTCGTGCAGCTCGGGCAGCCACCTCAGCGTTGTACTGGCGGAATGCGCGGGTACGCCACTCCGAGTAATTTGTGAGGCTAGGCGGGTTACCAGAGGTCGTGATCGCCTGATTGATTCTGGGGTCCAGACCCGCCCGGTACTTGGTGACCTTAACCAAGTTGTCAGAGTAACCCGCCAAGTCGAGAAGGTCGTCGAACTCGTCCGTGTATTTGAACACGTCGCGGGATCCCATGTAGTAAGCGTGGGTCTCCAGTCGTGCCAGGGCGTGGTCTTGCTTGTTCTCCTCGACAAACCGGAGCTTGAACTCGGCCACAAAGGAGGACCAGGTCGGAAATGGGAAGACGAGGCGCTCTGACATGCGTTCTGACCAGGAGGCCGCCGAGTCCTTGGACATGTAGGAGAGGGCGAAACGTACCACCCGCTCTTCTGATACTACCCCGTTCACATGGAAGGCCTCAGGGAGGAGGCGCCAGTACTGCTTGACGGAATGGAGAAACGTCTTGCCCTGGGTGCGATCTCCGTCAAACGCGAATGGGGGATTGGGGCGGATGAGGGGTCTCGAGCTGGCTTGTTGGCCAGTAAATACACCTGGACCCACTGCCGGAGACGGGGCAGGGACAGGGGCAGGCTGTTGCTGTTCGATTATGAAGTTGTTGAGGAGTCCCTCTATTCGCTGCATGGCTTCCTCTAGATTACCAAGTCGCTGCTCAGGGGAGGACCCGTGGTCTTCTTCTTCCATGTAGGACATGATGATCGTAGAGGGGGAGGAGGGGACAAGATTGGAAGTGAGAGGCGTATGACGCTATCGGCGGTCTTCACAAGCTTGTCCAGTTATCCCTAGGAACTCGGTTTCTGCTGTAAGGGCAACCTCGAGGCCCGATCTCAGAGTCCTGACAAGGGAGAGTCCAAAGCGTCAGATAAGAGGATCGACTAGTACAGGAGACTGGCAAACCTGACAAGGGAGAGTCCAAAGAGAAACCGAGTTGGGGACTCTCCTTGTCAGGGCCCACTATATATAGCCTACAGAACAATGGATGACCAAGCACAATGGAAGCGCCAGACAATGGGGCCAGGGGACGATGAGGGGCCGGATCGGGGGGAACAATGGGAGCCGGACCGTCGGGACAATGGGGGTCCGGGCCGGAGTGTCATGTGGACGTGCTTGGCAGGGAAGTCCGGACCGAAGCATGTGACGTTTGACAGATGGCACGTGCGCGGTCACATGCGAGATCCCATGATGATCGGACGAAAGCAGGGGTTCCCCTGACAATGACGGCCAGCTGATGGATACTCGTATCATAGGACGACTGGCTGGGCTCTTTGTTCATGACACCGTCTCCCTCCACATTGACGTCAACATCACTGCCAACGAAGCCAATATCCGGAGGTAGCAACCCTTTGGGCAAGTCAACATCTGTAATGTATGAGAACTCGCAGTAAGTTTCCTGATGTAGGCAGATCAACCCACCAGGGAATTGTTGTACGAGGCGCTCGAGCTTGTCTAACACCTGCCACAGTAGATGAAATTTGACCTTGTCTGAATGCTCCCTAAGCCTTCTGAGCACGTTGATCACTTTGCGGCACTCCGCTTCGTGGTAGTTACGGCGGCGAATCTCTTCCTGAGTACTGTAAGCTGGATCCCGAAAGTCTTGGGGCCCCAGATCTTTGCAAAACGATTCCTTGTACCATAACATCATTAGATCATGGATGGCGATGCGTAGGTCCGCGCGCAAGATGGGTAGGTAGAATACGTCAGGAAAGCCTTCCTCTTTTATCACTCGGTTCCTCGCTAGACAAGGATCCAAATTAGCATGCCACTTGGTCTATGAGACGGCGGCAACATACTCGCGTGCAGGGGGCAGTTGCTGTTTGAGAGATCGATGGTGCCGTCTATTGCACATTGGCACTGGAATAAGGTGATCAGCGTGGAATCTTCAATTATAGACTAATCATTCCGCAGACCTTACTGATGTGCTTGTCCCCTTGAAGTTCCGCCTCATCACAGCCTTTACAAAGACTCGATGATGATTCGAAGGAATCACCCACGACCCGATACTCTGCCCCATACCATCTCGGAATACGCAGGCGGCATTGAACACAATTCATCCAAAGGTGCCTAGGTGAGAAGGTGCGATACTGCGCCATGGAGATAAGTTGATACTGCTGGACCGAGCAGCCCTGAATCTCTCTACAACGTTCGCAACCATCAGCGACAAGCTGGACATGGACCCGCAGCTTTCGTGGGCGATCGGCCAGCGCTGTGTTTTGTGGTGTCGTCGTTTTGACGAAACCAAGGGCATTTCGCCCTCCTGCAATGTGGGTAGAGGATCTTGCTTTGGTCGGCGACGTGGGGGCTTGCATAACGGAGGCTCGGGCACAGTGAGGGAGGGTGAAGACATTTGACCAGCTTTGCGACAAGTTTTATGACTGCTGAAAAAGTACGTCAATCTCGATTCAACTGACGCGGATGTACATCACCAAGCGGCCGATTTCACATATTCCATGACCCCAAGGAGATAGCCAATGGTTACCTCAGACATGTTTAGTTCTGTGGGTTCATAGATTAGCCTAGACACGTGCTCTGCATAAGTAATATACAAAGGGGATATACAGGCGACGCAAAATGCACATGGCCATATGGATGATCCGATTCGTAGTGCAAAAAGGGGATAGTTTGTAGTTCCGTAAGGAGCATGTGTCTAAAGTCATTTGCGATTATCCATATGTGCTTAGATACCATGAAGCTCTCGCCAATCACCGGCACGCTCAAAAGCATCCAATTCGTCGTAGGGAAAGTACTCCGTGTCAGTCCCAGAGTCGCTGTCTGATGCGCTGTCCTCTTGATGTGATGACCAATCACTCTCCTTCCAGCTGCCAACCATTGTTCGGGCAAACATATCATTGATGCGGACTTGAAGAAGATCTTCATCGGACAGGCCCCATGCTGGTAACCCGACTGTGGGATACGGCACCTGACGTAGTGGTTTCTCCCACGCGGCAGTCAATTTTGTCAATTCGGACTTGCGAAGCTTGAACTGATAGACAATCCCGGCTTCACCTGTGAAGAGATAAGGTCAAACGGAGTGAAGCACAGTCTGAAGCCGACTAGCATGTACCGTCTTCTGCAGCCAACTTGATTCCGCGCGTCAGCACTTCCCATTCCTCGGCCATCCACCAGCGCAAAGCGCGAGACTCATGGAACAAGCGCGGCTCCTCCTCGTTACAGCGGTCCTGCTCCAGCATGGCCTGGATTCCCTGACAAACTGTGTCACTTTTCATCCATAGTGGCGGCTCCGTGTCTTCATCTGCGTCCGATAGACCAACGTCAAGCCAGATTTCGGCATCAACATCCAAGCCCCATATGTCCTTCTCAATGATTTGTCTAGGTGCAATTGCATTGCGTGGGGCACGACCGAGACGAATGAGCTCCTGCAACTCCGTGCAAAGTCTATTGTACAACCGGCATACATCTTTGATGCTTTGGTCACGGCGTCGCACAGCGTCCTCAATGTGAGTCATCATTTTGGCATCTCAAGCGATTTCAGAGCTTTGCCGTGGGCCCACAAAGAGATACGTACCTGCTTTGTTTCGATGGAAGTGCCGCTCCACTCTGTCAAGCTCGAACTTCCTCTGGCGCAAGCGATTGCGCAACTTTGTTTTTGCGGCGGCGGCATTGGTGCGTGCCTGAATGTACTTGCTCTTCACTAGCTTGGATAAGTTTGCCTTGTCTTCGACGCCCATGATTGCCTTCTGCTTGCGAACTGATTCCGCAAGTTTCAGGAGCTTTGCGTTGGCTTTTGCGTACTCCTGGACAGCAAAGTCAACATATACCGGATCGGCGTCCTCCTTGTAGATGGCGTCATTCCACTGCGACATTTGGTTCTTCAGCCTATCCATTGCCACCGTCTTCCGTAGTACATCTTGTATGGCGATTTTCCCCGCATGCTTCGATTGACCTGCAATTATGATGAGATTAGACACGGGGAGCGATCGACGCGTACGAGGTAATGGCTGGGATAACGTTGCCACCTGTTTGGTGTGCTCTGCGCAAAGAACTGATACAGAGTGCGGGCATTCAGCCAGAACAGCAATTGCGTGGTGTCTGTGGCGACAGCAATCAGTGTAGCGTCGGGCTAGCCAGCTCCCTAATCTGAATAAGTTGCCCTTGTGCATGTGTACAATCTGCGCATCCAGCGTGTAGCGGCGCTTATGATACTGAATATAGATCAGCTAGCATCAACCAATGGAGGGGCAAACACGTACACCACACACACGAAGAAATGAGACGAGATGGCTGAGGGAGTGCCAAAACCGTTCTAGACCCTCCCCATCTGAATAACCAAAAAGAGTGCGGCGTCTTGGGTGATACACTGCTTGGCACGCAGCTCCATGACCGTACGAATGCAGGACGGAAACGGCCCATTCCAGTCTGGCCATGTATTCTGGAGGCAAGAACTCGTATTTGACTGCAGATCGCTGTAACTGGCAGGCAATGCGTACAGGAAGCCAACGGCAAAATCAGTCGGCAGGTGCTGGAACAGAGCTTCAAGTAGTGCAAACATGTAGAACTGCCGCTCACTGGGCGTCTTAATGTTTGCTAGAAAAAGCAGGTTATCGTGACGACACAACAAGCCCATCAGTCCTTTATCATCAAAGAAATGGGAACTGGTCTTCGCTCTGGTCTCATCTGCTGAAGCAAAGGACCTTTCACACTCATTAAGCACAGATCGAGGCAGTGGGATGCTTGGTGCTTTGATCACATCGTCATCATCCACTTCTGATGTCGGTGCAGCAGCTGTGTCCAGGGCGGAACGAGGAGGACATATTCCTTCGACCCAGTCAGCCATCTTCTGCGTTGCTTGATCGGACAAGAAAGACGACTTGGGATGCATGCGCTCCGGATCTCGACAGCCTCGGTCCTTGTTCCGTTTCTGCGTGAAGCATGCGTCTCCGCAAACAATGCAATCAAGAGCTATCCGCATGTCCTCCCATTTGCCGCCGAAGCAGGCGGGACATTGGCTCCGGAGGTATTCACTTGGTCGCGGGCAATCCTCGGGCGATGTGAATGGATAGGTGTGACGTGATGACTCGGCCACAGGCGATGACGGCTCGGTAGAAGATGCTGGTGGGGCACTAGGCGATGAATGCAGCAAATGTTTTACTGGAGATGACGAAGACGGCAACAAGGATCGCGTCGGAGATGATGGTTGCGCTGCTCAAGCGCATTTAGTTGGAGAAGATGGCGGAGAGGAGTCCCATTCCCTGCGGCCTCTCTTGCGCGGAGATTCCTGCACAGAGGTTCGTGCGATCACCGGACCTGGTGTGGTTGGGCATTCATGGTTGTTGTCCTCATTCTGGATCCTCTGCCGCACAGTGGCGAGGATGTTGTCAATGGCCTGATCTGTGCTATGGCGCAGCATAACATAGTACTCTAATGCATTGCCAAATTGGCGTCGAAGGGATTCCTACGAGGAAAGCGTCAGCACTGGCTCACAAGCAGCGAGATGACGTCCTTACATGGTTGGGCAGCTTGTAGCCTAGCCTGTCAAGGCACTGTTCAATCGTTTTTGTCAGTGCACGGTTGTTGGGTGCCTGGTTAAGGAACAGATCCTGCGCAAAGTCTAGCACTCGTATGTCCACGCCCAGGTGTGGTTCCACGGGCAAGCTTGGAAAGAAGCCACGGGCAACAAGCTGCTGCGTTCCTGGGCGACAGGCACAGTGCTGCAGTGAAATTCTGTCTAGATCTGCAACTATTCAGCAGAGACGATGGATGGGCACACAAGTACCTACTGTGCCAACGAAGCAGGTAGACCCGGATCTCTTTCTGTTTTGCGCAAACGCATGAAGCCATATACGGGGTTGCACGATCAAGGTGACGCAGACACTCTGTTCGAAGCATGAGATCCACGTAGCCAGGAAGTAGGGCGGGAATGGTTTCCGTGACCCAGCGCGTAGTCTGCTTCTCTTGGGCCACAGAGTGCGCCGTTGGGGCGGCCACCGCATCGGAGTGCACAGGTGTTATGTAGTTAGCTTTGTCATCAACTCCATCGTTGGCACGCAGCGATTCCCAGCCCTTTAGATTCTCCAGGTGGGAGGTGTTCAACGCAAACCCAACCTGACCAGGTGGGGCTCTGACGTAGTCTTGATACAATGTTACACCGTCGGCGCAGTAAACGGGAGGTGGACGCCAAGCGCCTTGTTGCTGTGGCGGTCGTACACTGCTGAGCGCAAACGCCTGGGCTTTGACGGGGCTCTTTGATGAGTGGCGCGGGTTGGGCATTGCTAGAGTATTGCAGAGACAGGTAGGTCAATCAGCAAGCGTGTATGCTGCACAGCGAAAGCGCTCACCGAGATGGAAGACGGGCCTGCCACTGAGGTGGGGGATGGACCGGCAGATGTTCCAGCAGACATCTACGGTATTCAGTGAGCTTTAAGTAGGCCGGCTTTATTATTTCTAGCTCACTGGTCCTCAATTCGGACTCTATTAATTCTATTCTATGTACTAACACTACTCGTGGGACATGAGTCCATGGGCGTTGGGAGCAAGATGCGATTTGGCACTGCCACCAACAATTGATGATTGTGGCCACGACTGATGGTTGGCGGTTCGGCACAGAAATCATGCCGGTCGTCCAACCATCAGCCATACACAACGCCAAGCACTCCAATCAGCGATCGGGATTTTGTTTCTTGCTCTTGAATCTCATGCCCCGTAAGTCAAGCTTGTCGTGTACCATAGTAGAGCATGTACATAGTCTGTATTCAGTGTTGGGCTCAAGGCCCTATAAGTCAGACCAATCAAAGCCAATGAAGCGCCAGAATACAAAGGTCTACAGGCACAGATGAATCCATGCGTAAGTACTAACCAGTGCTTCTCAGGCTCGCTAAGCCCCACTGCTAGCTTCATCAACTGTCTTCCGGACGCTGCGTACTCAACCGCTAGCCCTGTGCATCGCCAAACGTCTAATCCAGGGACGGTGGGTTCCAAGTTGCCTGGCAGCTATGATATTGAATTGCCCTTAGCCTTGCCCTGAAGGTTCCATGTCTGGCGCACACTCGACGCGGAGAACACCAAGCGGATTGTTCAGCCCCATTCCGGGTCGACTGCAGACTCCACTATTCCTCCCTGCCACGGTACGTGTATCCAATCACCTTTGGGCTACCCGGTCTCAATACCATGCGCACAGCCCTCTCCTCTGCCATCTCCTACCCTGCGTCCAGAGACACCGTCGCGATCATTGTGGGAGGCACCTCTGCCTGGCAGCATTGTCCAGGAGCAGTCGCGTCTTGCTGCGCCCCTTGTCCTACCGACCCCCGATGTCCCTAAGCCACGAGATTCCACAGATGATGGTCTGGATGATGAGGTGCGAAAGAGTGGACATCTTGCGGCAAGCTGCGTTGTGGACAAAGAAGAGGTTGAGTCACGGTGGCACGAATCTGCGATTGAGAGTCACTTGCTGGTGGAAGGATTGCTCTTTGGCCGACCAAATGAAAGTATACTTGGCGGTGGCAAAGTGCCTTCGGTACGGGCCTTGTTATGCTCACAATCCCATGGTCACTAATCACTTAAGCAGCCCACTGAACACGTTGTCAATGTACCGGAACCAGTTGGCGATGCACCGCAACCATTAGTTCTCGGGAGATCGAATCCCATTCGCACCGGATTTGTGGAGGTAGAATCAGTGCAATATGATCGACTGACAGAGATGTATGTAGCTTATTACGTTCCAGAGCATCTCTAGTGTGAGGAGCGACTCAAATCGCTCGAAGAAACAGCGTGTCGAATCAGAGCCTGCCCGCAGGAGGCAAGAAGTCCTGAAGTTCCTGAGCCTCGAAGCCGATGAGACGGAGGAAGAAGGAGACCTGGAAGACGTCAACGATGACAATGTCGAGGACTGGGTCGTTGCTGATGACACCAAAGAAGATCCAGAATCTCGTGACAGCGTCTATGACAAGCGTCCGCACTCGGAGCTGGGCAGTCCTGAGGATACCCAGACTTCGGCGTCATCCGAGCATGAGTTGCTTGAGCAATGGGCAGCCCGGTACTCCCGTACAAAACGTGCAGAGATTGCCTCGAGGGACGTTGATTTGCACGACTCTGGTCCGACCAATGAGGACATGGACCACGCGGAACACCTGTATCGCTTGCCAGACGACACGCTCGACCTCCCGATGTATCCAATTCTTGTTCGGCCAGGCTTAGAGCCTGACTTGACCCGATTCCTCAGCCACTACGACTTCCTCGACTCCGTGTTTTATCCTCGCAAGTTTGGAGGTTTCGTCTACGTTGAAACCCGCCGCCGTGCTTGGCTTGCCAAAGCGCTTGATTGTTGGCAGCACTCAAAGCCCAATATGATCAAGTCGCCAGTGCACGGGGGGGACAAGCGTCGCCTCCTGTCGTTATCCAAAGGATGGGAGCACATTGGCGTGCTTGTCCGACTGGATGAAGGATTATTTGCAGGAGATTTGGCTTACACCTGCCGGGCTATCCACGAGAACATCTACTGCTTGGTTGTTCCTCGCATTCGTGGGCCAGGCCAGAAGAGCAGACCAGACCCCGCCCTCTTCAGCAAGCAACGCGTGCAGGACATGCATCCCGCTGCAAAAATCGATTACAATGCTGTCAACAATCTCTGGGTGTGGAGAAACCGCCGCTTCACTGCGGCTGGACTCGAAGTGGTTAAAGGAAAGGACTTCGGTTTCCGCGAACAGGCGCCACTGCCCACGCCAGATGAGCTCGAGTTGTTCCGTGCCGCGCATGAGGACCTGCTCCATGTCCCTTCTCATGTCCCGCCCAAGACTGGGCTGCAGGTGGGGGACCTTGTTGTAGTCGACAACAACGGATCCCAATTCAATTGCTGCACTGGAATCCTGGTCTGTATCGCTTCCCACGACACATTCGAGTCTGCCCTTGGCGCGGTATTCACAGACTACAACGGCACCGACGCTGTCTCGGCGCGATCCATGAGGCGCAAGGAGTCGTTTGTTGTGCTGATGGCCTCCCTGTATCGACATGTCCTCTGCCCGCCTCGGTCAATCAGTGACCACTCTCGAATCAAGGTGTTTGGGCAATCGCCATTTCATTCGGCTTCAGGTCGAGTAATGGGGTTGAACGCGTCATCAGAAACCGTCGACTTCCATGGCGTCAAGCCCAATGGAGAGCTCTGCCAAGGCACGGTCAAACGATCAGAGTGCATCACTGAGTTTCGAGCAGGAGATGTAGTCCAAGTCATAACCGGGCCTCAACAAGGCGTTATCGGATTTATTGTCGCAGTCAACATGGGTGTGTCCGTGGATATCTACCCAGTGAGTCTGCCTGCGAAGTTTATATGTTTGATACTCAGTCGAAATAAACAGTGTGAGATTGGGGATATCCAGAAGCGTATTGACGGGACATTTGTGAGAGACGATCGAAAGGTAATTATAGTTAAATGGCATATTGAAAATCTACATACTGACTACTTGCAGTTGAACAACGTGGCCTACGCATTGCGAGAGGATCTGGTTGTAAGTGCTTGCCGTGGCAAACTGTCAATAGCCTGTGCTTGAACATCAGTGCAGATTCGAGTCCCAGATTGGAAAATCACGCTCCTTCCACCAGACACCACCGGATACCAACGAGTACGTGGCCATGGCTGGCAAGCCATGGAGGTCGATCCAGAGTACATTAGCTTCGCTCTCGAGAAGGACCAGAGGCAAGCCAAGATTGAGCAAGACTTGTTCCACACGGGGCGGGGCTACACCGGTCAATGTGTCATGATCGTTGGTCAACACATCCAGAAGGGGCTAGTTGGTGTGATTGTTGGCTACAAACATATCCAGCGCTCGAAACGACCAACCCTTAAGCCAGAATCTAAGCTTGAGCGGAATGTGGAGTTGATCATTTACCTCAACGGGGGAGCAACAGCTATCACGCGCTTGGATCAGGTTGTCCACCCTGAGTGAGTGCTTTGCTGTTGCTGAGACTGGAATGCTATTAACACATGCACATTGTCTTAGAGTCTTACTACCTTTGCAACAGGCCATGTTCTTCGGTGACCTATCCGAACTCATCAAGGCAATGCACCGCCTGTCTACTCCACCACCAGGTCTCGACGCGGTGAAATGCTGAGGGCGTGCTCACAAGTGAATCTACTATGGAAGTAAACCCAAATATAAACACGTTCACACTCCTCGTAATCAGCTTCTCAGTGTGTGAAAGATGCGAGGGCTTCGGGGTGTACAGAACACCAGTATCACAGCTCTCAATAGACGCAGATCCAATAGTCGCGGAAGACGAAGTCGACGACAAGGATATATACATATAGCAAACAGTGGTGTCTCAACCAATATCTTCTATACAAACACAACCAACACTAATCCAATCCACAACCAACAATATAACAAGTCAGAACTTAATACGAAGTATTAAGATCCCTTGTAGCGACAGCGTCCAGATGGTGACGCAAAGCCCAAATATCAAGTCAACGCACTGCCAACTGATACAACCAATATACTGAGTCGACGCACTGCCAACTAGTAGAACCAGAATGTCAAGTCGACGCACTGCCAACTAGTAAACCAAAATGCCGCGTCGACGCACTGCCAACTAACAGCCAATATCCAATGTCCAAAACCCGAGCACAACTTGTCGACGCACTGCCAAGCAAGAAGTGTGGAACCAAAGTTCTCAAGTCGACGCACTGCCAACTGACCAAAACAACCCGAGCACAACTAGTCGACGCACTGCCAAGCTAGAGGTGTGGAACGATCTCAACAAAGCCCTAAGGCGACGACACTAAGTGCCGCGACTAAACCAGATGCGGCGAATCCGACTTTCTGATGTCTCAACTCAAACTCAAATCACAGTAGCTACAAGTGCTCAGGGAGCAACTCGTCGCGACCGGGCAGGGGTAGCAGAACTTCTTAGGGTGGAATCACGCGGCACGCAAATTGTACAAAACAATCTGAAATGAGAGTGATTCACAGTCCGGGGGAAAGCTCCTTAATACAAAGAGACGACGTGCTACTTATACTGTCTACGACGCTGCTTAGTAAAGTCCTGTACAACTGCATAGTAGCTACGCTATCTAAGATCGGTTGCCTTTTAGGGTAATTGAAAAGTTGAACGATCGGACAGGTCCTGAGTGATCAGGACCCCGCCCCATAGTCCATATGATACTTTTGATGTGGGTCAACCCACCGCGTCATACTTTTGGAATACGACGTGCTGGATTGGCCAACGGGTATGTCTTGGCATGTGAGACCAACGTGGGCGCCCCAAGAAGCCGTATGGCCCTA